CTGTATGAAGAAAATCTGGCCTAACACAGGAAGTACAGCTACTTAGGGGGAAAGTATTTCAGATAATTAGGGCATTCTTCTTTGATAAGTTAGTGAAAATAGTTTTTTTAAAAATATTTATTTATTTTTCAGAGAGAGGGAAAGGGAGGGAGAAAGGGAGAGAAACATTGATGTGAAATGGTTGCCTCTTGCACTCACCCAGACAGGGGACTGAACCTGCAACCCAGGCATGTGCGTTGACCAGGAATCAAATGGGTGATCTTTTGTGGGATGAGGCTGAACCAGCTGAGCCACACTGGCCAGGGCTATGAAAACAGTTTTGACCTCATGGGCCCACTTTGAGAACTGCTCAACTGTACATATGTGCTTCTGCGTTTACACACACAATCTGTGAGCGTAGCAGACACTTGTGGTAGCTCAACCCAGGTCCTTCAGTAAATAATTTGAGGGTGACTTGTAGGCAGTTTCCCTTCTTGAGAATGGCTTCCTAGGTCTCTCTGCATAAAGGTGGAGCAGCCCAGACACGCATAGTGTAGACAGGGATGGCTGGCTAAGGCCCCTGGGAGCAGCCCTCGTCCAGTGAGGACAGAGTGTGTGTACAAACAACCAGCTTCCTGAGTCCTAGGTGGGATGATGCTGAGGGTGTTCTACAGCATCTTCCAGAGATCCCGAGGAGGCAAAGCCCCAGCCATCCTCAGCTGTCACCCTTGGCGATCGCCTGCTCAGGAACACATCGTGTGTTGGCTCCTTCCCTGTCTCACTTCTAGAATGCCCACTTTCTGGGATCATCTCCCAAGTAACTGATTTGTCCCCACATCCTTGAGTCAGGATCTGCTTCTGGTGGCATGCAAATAAAGACTGTGAACTATTCCTGTGTGTATATTACATGTCACAATAATGAAACCTCAGTAAATGCTCTCTAAAATTATAGATTCTCTAATTCGGGGTTGAATCCAGCGAGGTGGCCACAGGGACACAGTGAGGAGCGACTGCAGATGTCCAGGTGGGAGAGGATGTGGGTTGAGACCAGGGCACCGAAACAGAGTGAGAAGCATAAGATTTACTAGGTCTTTAAGGTACAGGTTCTTACTGATGCAAGACCAAATATGGGGCTGAGGGTCTCTGCAGGAAAAGGAAACCGGAGACCATGACAGTTCTCCAGGCCAAACTGTAAGCCAATGGTTTGGGTCATCTTACAGCTGCTAAACGCCAACTACACAGCAGTCCCAGACCGGCCCTGCTGGCCAAGAAGTGAAGCCGATGGGCCCTTTTGGGAGCTGGTGGGGGAAAGACCCGGCCCCTGCAGTCTAGGATGGGGACCACATGGGCAGCACGGAGGGGTGGCCCTGCCAGGTGGGGCCTGGGTTTGAATCTTAGCTCTGCTACTTGAAGGCCATGTGGCCAGAAACAGTGGCTCACCCTTTCTGGTCTCAATTTCCTCATCCATGAAGTGAGCATATTTGTAGCATCCACACCCTAGAAGGCTTTTGTGAATCAGGCGTCACGATATGTGTAAAGTTCTTAGGACTATACTCCGCACACGGGAAGCGTTTGCGTTTTGGCAGCTAACATTCAGTGCTTGAATCCCTTGTCCTGATGGCACTTCATTGCTGGAGCTCACTACCTCACCTTCAGACAGCTCTTCCTGCAATGTGACCAGGACCTTGCTCCATCAAGAGGCAAGGCCTACATTCCCTCCCCTGGAGCCTATGTGGACCTGTGCAGCCCTTTCCTTTCTCAGGAAGGGCAGAAGTGGCACTGCAGGACTTCCAGGAATCAGCCATAAACGGGCGTACAGCCTGGCTGGTCTGATGGTAGTGGGTTACCAGAACCTGTTAATGTTGGTGTCCCTAAGATTGGTACACAAGCCCCCAATGCTAAATTTGACTGGCTTTGAATAAAAGGGGAGGGGGAAGTGCAACCGGAAAGCTCTCTCATTGTCTCACCTGAGGAGCCCAGAGCTACCCTGAGGGCACTATGCTGAACACCAGGGAGAAAGACCCATGGAGGGAGTGGGGGAAGAGAGGGAGAGAGAAGGCCCACACAATCCCCACTCCTCCAGCCTTGGGTGCTGGACTCTTCCCATGTGCCACACACGTGCGGGAGGGAGAGTTCCAGGCATCTCGAGCCCCAGCTGCCATCTGACTGAAGCAACATGAGCTTCAGGGCCAAGCTTCTCCTGAATTTCTGACCTACAGAAGCTGACATGAAGGTAACAATTATTTTAAGCTGCTAAATCTGGGGAGATTTGTTATCTAGCAGTGGAGAACCAGTACACCTTCTTTGGGGCCACATAGTCACCACGTATTTTGGATGCCTGCTATGTGCCAGAAATGAGTTAAATGAAGGCATAGCACTAATTCTTCATTCACTGGTTTAATATTTTCTACTATGTGTTGGCACTGTGGGCTAAAGCCATCCTCCTCTGTGTTTGGAGACACACAGGGTGGAAGTTGGCACCCTACTCCATCACACTTCTGGAAACCAAAAAAGACAGAGAGGTGATTCCAGCTCCAGAATCTCTGGCCCCAGGAGAGGATCTGACTGGCTGGGTTTGCACCTCTCATCCAATCAGCTGTGACAGTGAGGTGGGGGTGGGGAGTTGTCACACAGTTTGCATTCCATCCTTGTTGGGTAGGCAATTTTCTGAGAAGGTACTGCCCTCAAAAGGCCTACTCCCTAGGGGTAACATTAAAAATGTGTGACAGTAGCCCAGCCAGACCCTGTACCAGGGTGCCAAGGCCCCAGCTGTGAGCATGCCCCCTTCCTGCTGGCTGATTGTGAGGAGTCAATGCAGACCACACTGTTCAGGCCCCAGAGTACTAATGTTTCTGGTCCCTCATCCCACATGGGACAGACTCATTTTACATTAATGTTCTAGATCTACAAGGGCCCTCTGATCGTCCTTCTAGGATTCAGCTCATCCTCAGAGCCATTTGGGGCTGCTAGGGCCCACTTCTGCCTCCAGGCCTTGCCCTGGGACTGGTCACAATGAACGCAATGTTGTGCCTGACTCTTTCCTTCCCAGGAGTCCCGTTAGGGTGGTTGTGTCTGGCACTGCACGCCTAAGTCACACAGCTGCATGGTGGCCAGGCAGGAAGTCAGTCCCCCTCCTTAGGTGGTCTCTTGGATTTCTCACAACCCTGGGACCTGCCTCCAACCCCTTCACACAGCACTGGAATGGCATGAGCCCAGGACAGCACTCTGTGGTTCTACCACTTTGTGGGTGGGCAGGCAGCAAGACAAATGAAATGTGGGTGGAGACTGCTCAGCATTTTGGAGGCCCTGGGGAGGCCTGCTGGTTGCATCCTGACCATCTACTTATCTACAGAGGGCAGGGCCTGGGCCAAATGGTCAGCAGCCAGATATCGACAAGCCTCTTGTGGTGAGGTCCAGCTGCCTCTACCCTTCCAACACCAGGTGCTTCATTTTCTAAACGTGAAACAGAGTGGAGAACCACCATGTCACTGGGAAAGGAGATAACTCCCTCTCTCCTGATGAGCAGCTATGAGCCAAAAGATTATGCTCCCATCACAGTTCTGGAATCCTGCAAGCTTCCCCTCTTTAATGAATAGTAGGCTTAAATTTGGAGTGTTCCACTTTGACTCAGGTCAATTCCTGCCTCCAACCCCCACCACATGTTTCAGAAATAAATTTTAAGTGGTGGCCCACAGCGCACATACCAAAATGAAATTTTAACAAAAACATAGCCTTAAAAATGCTGGCCGCAACCTTCCACACTGATTTCTGTTCTGCTAATAACTTGCTACTGGCTGTTTACAAAATAAAGGTCTAGTTGCTGGGACCCCTTATACACATAGGAAACGACGCTTCATCCACCTTTTCCATCAACCTCCAGCGTTCTCACTCTTGTCATTTTGCAGGCACCAGTGGCATCACCTGATATTTCTGTTAAACTTTTTTTTAAAATAGGCACAATTCATGCTCTTTACAGAAAACCTGAGAAAGTAAAGCCCCTCTCTGAGCCCTCACCCCTTCCCAAAGACAACCCGTGTGATTTCTTTTTCTCTCAGATCTGTAGCCCCACTTCAGGACCGGAGGAACGGCATTTTTCTGTGATTGGAATCACACCGCCATTGGGACTTGCTTATCTGGCATCAGTCTCTCAAATTTTCCAGACAACCTGAGTTTATGTTTTAAAAACTAACACTTCTTTTCAACTCAGCTATTTTCACACAAACTCTTTAAAATAAAAAAAAAAGCTTGAGATAGAATTCACATCATAAAACTCTTTTAAAAAGTATGTAATCCAGTAGTTTTTTAATGTTATCTCTAATTCCAGAACATTTTTCTTTTTGAGGTGTACACTGCCCCTGCCCCTCACCCCCGTTCACTCTCCAGCTGGGACTTTGGACAAGTCGCCCACGATCTGGACCTGAGTTTCCTTGTCTGTAGTAACGCGCCCAGACCCCGAGTTGTGCTAAAGGCGCGCTGGGGCGGGGACACAGGGCCCTGCCCCCGTTACGTGCGCAGCTAGGTCACGTGTACAGCCGGGTGACACGCGCAATCCCGCCACCTAGCCCAGCGCCCCTGCGCGGCGTAGTTACTGTTTTATTGCACTGTAATTAAATTTAAGCTGTAAATAGTGTAGCATTTTCCTGTTAAAAACACTGTATCGTTTTCCCGTACTGCATTGGCTTGGTGTCCAACCCCAGGCGCGCCATCCCACGCAGATCCCACGGAGACCCTGAGACGCAGCAGATTGGCGAAACCGCTGAAAAACCCGCGTTGTGACGAGTGCGCGCGGCCCGCGCAGCCTGAAAGCGCTAACGCGAAGGGGCCCGGGCGCGTCCATTTCCTCTTCCACCCCCACGCTGATGGTTCCGCCCGCGAAGTGGGCGGGGCCACGAGTGGCGCGAAAATCGGAGCGAAGCGCGGCGCCACTTCCGCCTGCTGCTTGTCCCCATCACGCTTCCCGACTCCAGCTGTCCGGCATTGTCTGCTCGGGTCCCGCTCCCTGTCTGGGTCTCAGCCTCGTCATGGCGCAGCGCCGCCTCACCGACTTCTTTGCGCGACGCCGCCCTGGGCCCCGCGCCGCGTTGTCGCGGTCCAAGCCGACCTGGAGCACCCCGAGCCCCGCCAAGCCCGCGTCCCCCGCCCGGACTCCCAACTCGGGCGGTAGCCGCAAACGCGCCCGTCCCGACAAGCCCGCGTGCGATGAGCCCACGCGCGACGAATCCGCGCCGCCCGCACGCAGGAGGCTGAGGCTGCCCGCCAATGCGGTGAGGGTGCAGGGAGACAGGGGCCGTGAGGGGAGGGGAGAAACTAAGGCGGGGCGGGGACAGACCGGAGAGGGCTTCTGGAGAGACGCGCCCCGGAGGGACTACTCGGACGTCGGGACGGGGCGGCGGGAAATACAGCGAGGCCCCAAATAAGAGGATTGGTCACTGGTCTGGGCTAAGAGAACAGACTGGGAGTCACTGCAGGACCTAAGTCTGAGCTAGCAGGCCGGTGTCCTGTGGCCACCGTACGGATTTGGCTTGCAGAGTACTTGCAGTGATGGGGATGAAGCTTTGAGCTGGCGGATATGGCTGATGCTGGGGAGGGCCAGAGCTGGGCCAGCTGGTAAATGCCAGGCCCATCTGCAAGGCTAGTTTGGGGCTCAAGCCCTGTTACCCTCCTGAGAATAACGAACAAGTGGGTGGGCCAGGCCCTTCCCTTAATGGAGGTGCTTTCAAGAGGCTGGAATGAGGGCAGCAAAAAATTATCTTTGTGTAGAGCCAGTACCCCACAAGGTCTTGCCATTTGTTCACCTTTGGGGTCCTTTCCCCTAGGTCCCTGGCCCTGGCTCCACAGCGGCCCCTGGTTCCCCAGGTCCTGGCTCCCCAGACGCCCTTAGCTCCCGGGAGCACTCGTCTCTGAGCAAGAAGACAAAGAAGGTTGCACTCTCAGCAAGTCAGCTGCCCAGACTGGCACCCCAGGAGGACAAGGTGAAAAGGCTGGACCAAGGGCTGAGGGTGGGCTTGGGGTGACTGGCTGGCTGACAGCACCCTGTGTCTACAGGTCCCCTCAAAAATCGCCTTCTCAGAATTCAAGTCGTGCCTGCAGCGGGCCCAGGAGCTGGGTGCACGTGTCCAGGAGCTGAGGGCAAGTGCCCAGAAGAATGAGGCTGGGGAACCCGGTGCGCTGGAGGCTGAGGGGCACTCACAAAGGCCATGGTGAGTTTTGGTTTGGGTGGTCAGGCACCCCGGGAAAGGGTAGGCTAGTGGGAGGCCTGGTGGGGGAAGGGTAGAGAGAGGGCAGGGGCCGCTATGTCAAACAGCCTGGACAGTCCATAGGGCACAGGTCCCAGTAGTGCCAATCACTAACTTTACCTCTTTCATCTGCAAGAGGGCTCCAATTCCTGCCTCAGTGAGCCCTGTGAGTTTCAAATGATTGGCAGCAGTTATTATGTGATTCCTGTCTTCATGTCTTCTCCCCAGGTGCTGTGATCATCATGTGTCTCTTAGAGATAAGGAAACCATGGCTGGGGGTGGCCAGGGACCTCCCTGGGTGATGGGGCAGGACATGGCAGAGTTGGGTTTGAAGCCACCCTTTTCTGTCGCCATCCCTGAGAGTGTTTGTCATGGGGAGCTGGGCATACAAGGAATTTGGAATCTGGTATGCAGTATGCCATGGGGGCAATTTTGCAAGCCCTCGCTCTGGGGTATACCCAGCTGCTCTGCCAGCCATTGGGTCCTGGAGGGGATGTGGGTCTGATGCTTCTCTTAATGCCTGGCTTCTTCCCTGGCAGTGGAGAAAGGGCGCCTGCCTATCAGCGCTTCCATGCTCTGGCCCAGCCAGGGCCTCCTGGCCTTGTGCTGCCCTATAAGTACCAGGTGTTGGCTGAGATGTTTCGCAGTATGGACACCATTGTGGGCATGCTCTACAACCGCTCAGAGACCGTGACCTTTGCCAAGGTCAAGAAGGGTGTCCAGGACATGATGCGCAAGTGAGTGGGGTCCCTGGGAGGGTGAGGGCCTTGTCACGCAGGGAAGGCTGACTTGCTCTCTGACCTGTGGCACCCTCATCCCGTAGGCGCTTTGAGGAGCGCAACGTGGGCCAGATCAAAACTGTGTATCCTACCTCCTACCGTTTCCGCCAGGAGCGCAATGTCCCCACGTTCAAGGATGACATCAAGAGGTCTGATTACCAGCTCACCATTGAGCCACTGCTGGACCAGGGTGAGTGTGCTGTGGCCAAGTCCACTCATCTCTGGGCCTCATTTTTCCCACCTGTGACACTGCAGTTTTGAGCGTGGCTGTGAGATGCTGGCCACTGAGCCCCATGGTTGCGGGGCTTGGTGGCTGGGTGGGCCTGGCCCAGGGGCTCAGGCTTGGATTCTTCTTGCAGAGGATGGCAACACGGCTCCCCAGCTCACAGCCTCACGTCTTCTGCAGCGACGACAGGTCTTCAGCCAGAATCTGGTGGAGCGTGTCCGGGAGCACCACAGGGTGAGCTGGCAACCCCAAGGTGACGGGCCGTCACTGTTCTGTGAGTTGTCTCCTCTGTGCTGGGCCTTGTGCTCTGTCCTATTGTCAGAGCCCCATTTTACCCAGCAGGAAATGGGCCCTCTTGAGAGGCTGTGTTCTAGAGCTCTTCTCTTAACCAGTGGGCCATCCGTTATCTTCTGTGGATGGGGTGGGCGTGGGCTGAATGGGGATTCTGGTTCGGGCGGGGACCCTGGCCCTGTCTCCCAACTGAGGGGACATTGCTGCCTTGAACAGAGCAGGGATCTCAGAGATGTGGCCTTAAGCCTTCTAAGTCTTGTGATAACGTCAGTGGGTGCTGGTGGGTCCTCTGCTTATGCCTGAGGGTGCCCATCTGGGCTGGGAACCAGGACAGCCCTTCTATACCCCAGTCAGATGAGCCTAGGGTCATTGTAGCCCTCCTTTTTGGACAGGTATTCCTGGCCTCCCTGAACCCCCCCATGGTGGTGCCTGAGGATCAGCTGACACGCTGGCACCCCCGCTTCAATGTGGATGAAGTGCCTGACATTGAGCCTACTGAGCTGCCCCAGCCACCCACCACTGAGAAGCTGGCCACCGCTCAGGAGGTGCTGGCCCGAGCCCGAAGCCTGATGTCACCCAGGGTGAGGCTGGCCCCTGTATCTCAGGGTTGGGTAGCCTGACCCCCACATGGGCACCTGACAAGCTCCATGAACCTGTGGGCCTTGAGGGCAGTGCGTGTGCCCTCCGTGTGTTCACAGTGCTGCCCGCTGGCAGGTTCTACCCTGAGGTGCCCAGCACAGGTCTCTGACGTTCTGGGGGTAAACTTGGGCTGAAAGGAGGGCCTCGGGCAGGGGGTCCATGCAAATTGGATGGGAGGGGCCTCCTCTGTGGCTGGGTCAGGAGAGGCTTCTGAGCTCTCCTCTCTGACCTGCTCCAGATGGAGAAGGCCCTGAGTGACTTGGCCCTGCGCACAGCTGAGCCCAGCAGCCCCCGGTCCTCCAGTCCAGTGCTGCCGGCCACTCCCCCGGCCACTCCCCCGGCTCCCCTCAAGGGGGTGTCCCAGGACCTGTTGGAGAGGGTGAGTATTTGGGGTCCAGGGATGGGGTGGAGTGGGGCCAGCCGTCCACTGACCACTCCCCATGCCCAGTGCAGATCCGGGCCAAGGAGGTGCAGAAGCAGCTGGCACAGATGACGCGGCGCCCAGAGCAGGAGCAGAGGTTGCAGCGGCTTGAGCGGCTGCCTGAGCTGGCCCGGGTGCTGCGTAGCATTTTTGTGTCTGAGCGCAAGCCAGCACTCACCATGGAGGTGGCCTGTGCCAGGATGGTGAGCAGCTACCGCGTGGCCATGAGCCCAGGTGTGTGCAGGGGCAGGAGCCAATTCGTGTCCCCAAGTCCCAGATGAGGGTGGGCACCATTCTCCACACACGCTTGTGTGCACTGGCTGGGAACAGTGCCCTTGAGGTCACCTCCTGAGCCTCCACCTGGCCCCTTTAACCCTGCAGCCTCTTGAAGCTGCCTCTCCTTCACAAACCTGGCCTTTGCCCTTGAAGTCCCAGGAGACCACCCTCTCCTGAGACTTCTAGTCCCACAAAGCTACAGAATACCCCTGCTTCAGGATCTTTGAGGGCTGGGACATGTGACAGGCTCAGTGGGAGAGCCACTTCTTTGGGAAAGTTGTAGAGTCTCTGCCCTGGCCCCGGTCCTTCTGGGGGAAGTGCTGGGGGTGGGGGCTGACACTGGGAGCAGCCTGTGTGCACCCCCTCACAGATGTGCTCACAGGCTCCCTCTCTCTGCAGGGGAGATGGAGAAACATGTGCAGCTCCTCTCTGAGCTGCTGCCAGACTGGCTTAGCCTCCACCGCATTCGCACTGACATCTATGTCAAGCTGGACAAAGCTGCTGACCTGGCACGTGTCACTGAGCGGCTGGCTTGTCTCACCCGTGCAGAAGAGGTGCTGCGAGCCTGATGGCTGCACACCAACACGTATGTGGGCTCAAGGCCTGGGCCTGGCCCAGGATGCCTGTTTTATTCTCTAAGAACATGATGCACTTTGCTCTCCCATTCCCGAGTCCCCATGAATGTCAGAGGTTTTGCTGGACTCCGGCTGCAGGGTCTGGGGGTAATTCTCTGACCAATGTGGGTGGTATGCCCACCTCATATAGCATGCTGTCATTAAACTGGTTTTGTTTGGCTTTCTCTTTTGCTGCATGGAGTGCAGGTCTAGGGTGGCTTTGCTGCCTACCAGAATGGGTTTGGGCAGTGTGGTTGGCAGAACACCCCTCTCTCAAACCCATGTAGGGATGCTGAGATATGGGAGCCCATCCTGTGTTATGCTGGTGGGCCCAGTGTTATCACAGCAGAGGTTGGAGGACAGCACACGACTGGCTTTGAAGGTGGAGGGTGGGGCCATGAGACGGGGAATGTGGATGGTCCTTAGTAGCTGGGACAGGCATGAACAGGAACCAGCCCCATCTACACCTTGGCTGTTAGGATAGTTGGCCTTTTATCTGCCATTCAACTGACCAAGCAAAGGGAAAGTCACATTGTTGGTGTGTACTATGTAGCTGGGTCCAGGATGGTTGCTCTGTAGTGAACATGCATGGACCAGTCTATTCCCTAAACAACAGAGTATAACAACTGTTTAGTGCAGAGGTTTTACGTAAACACTATAACATTATTTATAATCCTCACTCAAGGATATTTTTTCATTGCTTGATAGAGGGAGAAACATCAATGCAAGGGACAGGCATCAATTAGTTGCCTCCCATATGGTGCCTAAGCTGGGGATGGAGCCCACAGCCTTCTGGTTATGGGATGCTCCCACCAACCCACAGTGGTCAAGGCCTAAACACTGTGCCATTTTAGGTAAGGGACTTGAGCATCTTCATATTTTGGTATTGGGGGAGGGTCCTGGACTGAATCCCCTTGTAGAAGCAGAACTTTAAGATAAAGTTTTAAGCCAAACTTGTATCTTCTGATGCAGCAGCAATGGGAAACTAAACCAATTTGAACAATACCTGCTTCCTGAGAAGTCTGTTGCCCCACCAGAGAAGAGAACCACAAATCACTAAACACTCTGAAAGCTCACACATGCACACCCAGGCCAGCTGGGGTGTTGCTGCACCCCTCCCCACCTCCTGGTCCTGAGGCCCAGATCACACCCTGGGCACTGAATAACACCACTCTAGTCAAGTTGGTCATACATGTTTTCATTTCATTGTAAATGAACCCGAACAGCCTGTGCTTGGCTTTGCCCTGGGCTATGGGCTCCAGACCGTTGTACTTTCAGAACCCGCAGGAAGGTCTCTGGGTGCTGGATAAAGTCCAGGTGGGCAGCGAGTGCCCCTGGCAGCCAGTGGGGGCTGGACCTTTTCTTTTTCTAGTTGATGTGGGGCAGGATATTGAGATCACTCATACTGTAGGAGGGAGAAAAAGGGCATGGCCCCCAGCTTCTCCCTGCCCTTCAGCGACGTCAGCTCCACCACGCTCACACACTCCACCACCTCAGCCCGCAGCTGGCCCAGCAGCTCACAGGCTGCAAGCATGGTTCCTGGTGGGGCGAGGGAGGAGCACAGTGAGGCCTGCATGCAGCCTACGCCACCCAGGGGGTTGGGGGAGGAAGGAGTTGGCATCGCAACAGGGATCACATCTGGCATGCAGATGAACTAGTGTGAAGGGCCTAATCCACTTCTCTCACACAGCAAGGCACTTCCACCCCCACAAACTTGGGTAAGACCCTCACCGCCAGTGGCCAGCAAATCATCCACGACTACCACCTTCTGCCCTGGCTCCAGGGCGTCTTTCTGGATTTCCAGGTCAGCCTGTGGATGGGAAGCAGGCACACAGTCAACACATCTGAGAATGGCCTTGGTGTGTAGAGCCCAGGAGCTGCCAAGTGGCTACCACTTGGGTCCCAATTTCAACCCACGCTGCTGTTTCCTGGCTGTGTGAACCTGGCCCAGTGTCTCAGCCTCTGAACTCTCATGTCCACTCCAGCCATGGCAGCTCTGCTTGATTCTACAACTTTCCCTTTGGGAACAGAGGGTCCATGGCAGCAGCCCCCCCTCTCACCTTCCCATATTCCAGTGTGTAGGAGGTAGACACTGTGGGACCAGGCAGCTTTCCTTGTTTTCGGATGAGCACGCAGCCCAAGCCAAGTTCCTGGGCCAGGGAGGGTCCAAACAGAAAGCCCCGGGAGTCCAGGCCTGTTGGAGAGAGCTGAGGTATTGGGAAGCAGCTGTGTGGCACAGCAGCATGAGGGATCCCCGGGGTCAACTTCCCGGGGTAATGACATCCATCCATTTAGGGAATGTTGACCTAAAAAGTGCTGGTACTGCTGGGTGCTGGAAAGTGGGAAGTTAGAAACGGGCCAGGGACTAAATCCATCCTACATGGTTGAGTAAATAACCAAGTGACTCTGGGGAAGTCACCTGACCTCTTTCACAAAGCTCAGCGGTATCTCTAACTGGGCAGGTAGTAACTACGAAAGGCATTCGGCACAGTACTCGTCTTTAAAAGCAGCTTCTGGCCCAGAAGCTTCTCCAGGAGGAGCGGCAATGACAGGCTATCACGGTGTGCTGAGACGCGTGCTGAGAGACCTTCCGAAAGATCCCGAGGGACGCCCGCAATTGAAGAGGGGAACGGCAGTGCTCTGCCCTCAAGGCAGCCGGGTTCCTGGGAGGGTCCGGGGTGGAGCTCCCACAGGGAGACTAGACCCCAGGGTCCTCCCTGATCTCCTCTGCTCCTTTCTGAAAGCCTCACACTAGGTCAAGCACTTGGCCATGCCAGAGGTATTACCCAAGCACCATGCGGGCGGGTCCCCTGAAAAAGCCCCATCAAGAACCTCCCCCAAACAGAGGCGGAGCCGTCCCTCCCGCCCTCTGCCAGCTTAGCAGAGAGGAACCTCTCCCGAACATGTCTCCCAAACCCAGTGCCCCTCCACCTCATGATCCCGAGTCGGACAGGGCCCCCCCTTGCCCCGGACCCTGCACTTGCCCACGATGTAGTCGATCTTGCCCCCGTGGGTCTTCTTCAGGTGTTTCGCCAGAAGGCTGATGGAAGCGCGGAAGGAGTCTGGGTCCTTCAGGAGGGGAGTGATGTCCCTGGAGCGGAAGCACAGACCTAGTAATTTCGGGAACGGATCTGGTGTGCAGGCCGCGGTCCCCTGGAGCACATCCCATGGGCGCCCGGACAGCCCCACTCTAGGCGCAGGACAACGGCCCAGCCCGGTGGGGCCCTACGTCCAACGGAGCCCTCAGGTCGTTGGGTCCCAGGTGGGCAGCCTGCGCGTGCGCGCGCGCGCGCACCTAAACAGCACGCCCGGCGTGGGGAAGTCGGGGAAGCTGCGGATGCGCCGTGCCACCAGTTGCAGCTGAGGGTCCGCCATTGCGGCCTCTGCACTCGTCCAGCCACGTGAAGACCTCTTGGGTTTCACGCCTGCGCAGGCAGGGAGGTGCGTGAGGAACGGGCGCCTGCGTACCGGGAAGGTTGGGCTGGACGCCAGGGGCGGGGCTCGCTGGCTCCTGTAGGAAGCCCCAAATTTCATCGAATCTTAAGTGTTTTCGATTTTAGGAGGTGTGGTTCTTTTTTTTTTTAGCTCTTTAATTTTGTTTTAAAATCACTTTATTTTTCAATTATAGTTGACATATAATAGTTCCAGGTGTATACCCTGGTGATTAAACATTATATAACATGCTAAGCGATCATCCCAACAAATCTCATAGCCATCTGACACCATACATAGTTATTAGAATATTACTGACTATATTCCCTATGCTGTACTTTATATCCCCATGATATAACTGCTTATTTGTACTTCTGCTTATTTGTACTTCTGCTTATTTGTACTTCTAAATTCCTTTATCTTTTTCACCCATCCCACCATCTCTCCTATTTGACAATGGTCAAAATGTTCTCTATGAATCTGTTTCTGTTCTGCTTGTTTATTTATTTTGATTTTTAGGTTCAATTGATATATATTTATTGCCATTTTATTTTTCACATTTTTAATCTTTTTTCCCCCTCCTTAAAAAAGACTCTTGAATAGTTCACATAATACTGGTTTGGTGGTGATGAACTCCTTTAGCTTTTTGTCTGGGAAGCTCTTTATCGGTCCTTCCATTCTAAGTGTTAGCTTTGCTGGGTAGAGTAACCTTGGTTGTACGTTCTTGCTTTCCATCACTTTGAATGTTTCTTGCCATTTCTCTGGTCTGCAAAGCTTCTGCTGAGAAATCAGCTCATAGTCTTAAGGGATTTAACTTCTAAGTAACTAACTAATTACTTTTCTCTTGCTGCTTTAAAGAGTCTCTTTAATTTTTTGCATATTAATTATGTGTCATCTTGTGGGCCTCTTTCAGTTCATCTTGTTTGGGACTCTCTGCACTTCCTGGACTTGTATGTCTATTTGCTTCACCAGAGTAGGGAAGTTTTCTGTTATTTTAAAAAATCCTCATGGGGGGGGCAGAGAAGGGGGGAGGGAGAGAAACATTAATGTGAGAGAGCAATATCAGTTGGTTGCCTTCCTTATGTGCTCTGACCAGTGATCAAACCTGCAGACTTTTGGTATATGGGATCATGTTCCAGTCAACTGAGCCACCCGGCCAGAGATTTCTGTCATTTTTTTCAAATAGGTTTTCAATTTCTTGCTCTCTCCCTTCTCCTTCTGGCATCCCCATTATGCACATTTTGGTATGCTTGAAGTTGTCCCTGAGGTTCCTTACACTATCTTCACATTTTTGGATTCTTTTTTCTTTTTGCTGTCCTGATTGGGTTTTTTTTTTCTTTTTTTCCCTTATATTCCAAATTACTGACTTGATTCTTGGCATCGTCTACTCTTCTGTTGATTTCCTGTAAATTCTTCATCTCAGTTAGTGTATCCTTAATTTTTTTTTTTATGGTTTCTATGTCCTTTTTTCATGCTATTAAGGTTCTCACTAAGTTCCTCGAACATCCTTATAACCATTGTTTTGAATTCTGTATCTGGTTGTTTGCTTGCCTCCATTTCATTTAGTTTATTTTCTGGAGATTTTTTCTGTTCTTTCATCTGGGACCTTTTTCTTTGTCTTCACATTTTGGCTGCTTCCCTATGTTTGTTTTTGTGTATTATGTAGAGATGCTATGTCTCTTGGACTTAGTAGCGTGGCCTTATGCAGTAGGTGTCCTATAGGGCCCAGTGGCTCAGCCTCCCCAGTCACCCAAGCTAGGTGCTCCAGGTGTGCCCCTATGAGGGCTGTGTGCACTGTCCTGTTGTAATTGAACCTTGATTGCTGTTGGTGTCACTGGGAGGGATTGACCCTCAGACCTATCATCTGAGAGGAATATGTCATTGGTGGGGGTGGTGGGGTTGTGATCTGGCATGGTCTGAGAGTGCACTGGTTCTGGGGCCTACTGGGAGGTGCAAAGTCAGCCATTGCTTGTGCCCTGTCTGGGGCCACCTGGTTATGAGCTACAGAGCAATCTGCAGATGGTTATCACTTGTATTGGGCTTGGAGGTGTCCAGGAAAGGCCAAGCTGTGAACCAAGACCAGCTGTTGCTAATGCCAGGCCTGGGGCCACTTAGCAAGAGGTTGGAGGCACACACAGGCCAGATGCTGCTTGTTTGAGGGATTTTAGGAAAGCCCCAAGCATGAGGCAAAAGGGGCCAGTTGCATGGAAAAGCCATTGGAAACAGCTTAGATGGGCCCAGAAGTTGGATGGGCCCAGAAGTTGGATGGAGCAAGAACCTCAGGGAATCCCCAGGGTGGGGCAAACAGTGTAAGCCAAATTGATGGAGACTCAGATATGGTGTCCACCAGTCAGCTCTGTGTTTGGAGGGGGGGGGGGTCTCAGAACAGGAACAGTGGCCTCTGCCAGCACTTTTGTCTGCAGAAAGCTGCCCTCCTCCCAGTTCTTGCCCTGATTCTAGACAATTCAGTTCCTCCCTGTATGTCCCTGGTTCCTTTCAAGCTGCTGCCCCACGGCTGGAGCTCAGAGGAAGTTGAGTCTGAGTAAGTCTGAGAGCACACCCTTTAAGAGGAACTGCCTGGGACTCCCGAAGCCCTGTTTCACTCAGCGACAATCCCTGCTGGTTTTTTACAGCCAGAAATTATGGGGACCTCTCTGGCACTGGAACCCTGGGGCTGGGGGTTCCGGTGTGGGGCTGGGACTCTCTCGCTCCTCAGGGGAACCTTTGCAGTCAAGATATCTATCCCAATTTTATCACCACACGTGGGTGTGGGACCTGCCTTGTCCATGTCTCTGCACTTTTCTGCCCCTCCTTCTGGTCTCCAAGTGGCTTCTTTAAATCCCTAGTTGTAGGACTTCCATTCAGCTAGATTTTAGGTGGTTCTAAATGATGGCCGGTCTGTAGTTTGGTTATATTTTTGATGTGGTTGTGGGAGGATTTGAGTATCCATTTACCTATGCTGCCATCTTGACCAGAAGTCACCCACTTATTTCTTACCCTGAACACACACATCCTGCCTCAGGGACATTTGTGTGGGGCCACAGTGAGTCAAGGTCGATGGAGTAGAGCCTCTATGCAGGCCTGGCCGGATTTGGGGGGAAACCCTCACGTGGTTTTGGCCTTCCTGGGAGCACCTGGCAGGTCCTTCGGGAAGCTTTGGCAGGGACCCCTGGGCCAGGGGCAGGTGTGTTCTGGCCCTGCCATGCTTCCCGTTATGTACTCGTCCTGCTGCTGCTATGCCCTGCTCTTCCTGACATCCTCGAGAGTCTGGCTGAGGTTCTGCTGGTGTAAGAGGGCGGACACATGGCTGTGGCACACAGAGGACACACATGTATAGGCACATGCGGGTGTGGTCTGGGCCTTCCCTCCAGGAGCACAGGGGGTGAATAAGGATGGGAGCAAGGAGGTGTGCCCAGCAGGAGGGCAGTGCAGTGCAGCAGCCTGGCGGGGGAGGGGCAGAGCTGGATACAGTTCAGGGAAGACCAGTGAGCCTGGGTTGGACAGCCTGGGAAGGAGCTGAACCAGTGGTGGAGGCCTGGACATAGGGTGGCTGGCGCCTGGCTTGGAGTGAGGTTTGCAGTAGGAGAGAGCCCTTCCCAGTCTTTCTGGGAAGTGGGGAGGAGGGAGGCTGAAATGCTTGGCCTGGCTGGAGGCCCACGCTGGAGAGCACGGATGCTTGTGTCTGTGGAGGCAGCGAAGGGGGATACCACTGAAGCTGCCCATCATGGTACCCAGGAGGTACCCTAAATCATCATCTCCCTAAAACATAATCTCAGTTTAAAAAACAAGACCTAAAATGCCTGTTACTTTATTCTAAAACTGTTTTCTTCATAATTTCCCAACTTACAGAAATTACAGTTTTGGCAGCTGATCCCTGCAGATGTGAAAAGCCTGTTTGGTGGAAGCAGCTCCACATGCCTTCAAGGGAGGGACTGCGGAGTCGGTGCGTGGTTGTTCAGGCTCTTCCGAGTTGGGCGAGTGAAAGGGCTCATCTTTATGCTTTGCCATCCCTGGCACCAAGGGGAAGAGGGCGGTCGGGATGGCTGCGAGGCATAGGCACACCTCGCAGCGCGCAGGAGTCCACGGCCTAGATCCCTGTGGAAGGTGGGAGATCGAGGGTGCTGACATCCTCACGTCCCAGGGAAAGAGCAACAACGGCTGTTCCATGGGGCGGGAAAGGCCTTGGCTGTGGAGGATCCCGGTCGGGGGGCCCTCTGCCCCCTCCCCGGCCGTGTGGTGCAGTGCAGGGAGGCGGGGCCAGGATGCTCCCTCCGTGCAGCACCCAGGGCCCCCCCACAGGACTGGCACAGCCTCCCTTGACGCTGGTGCTGAAGTGCGTGAGCTGACAGTCCAGGGCATCCATGGTGAGTCATGCCCTCCAGGTCCTGGGATGAAGGCCTGGCCCAGAACAAGGCCAGTGAAGGGGGTAAGAACCAAGTGGGAGGAAGAGACCGGTAGGACGACCGAGACCTGTAGGCAGCACAGCGTTCAGCTCACAGATTGATGCAGGACTCAGGCAGCGGGATCGGGTGGGCCAGGGAGAGGGCTGAGGAGTGACTTCAGGGCCAGGCAGTGTAGCCTTGCAGGTACTGCTGCTGGCTGCAGGTGACATCCCTCTGGCGGTGAGCGGGGCAGAGGGCCGCTGAGGCTCTCCCAGTGTGGGAGCCAGACCCTCTTACCCCCAGGCACTTGCAGGGCCTGGACCTGGCCTGAGCCTGAGCAGGTGCTAGTGAGGCCAAGAGCACTTCTCAGGGATGGACTCCGGGGGCGTCAGGCACTTCCCTAACTTTTCACAGCCTGGGGGCGCCCAGTTCTGGAAAATGAAAATTCAGAAACAGAATGTGCAGTTATTCTAAGAGCGTCCGGACTTAGCAGGTTCTGGATGGTTCCCTTGCCCAGTCCCTGACCTGGCCTATTGGACCAGTTGTGGTGCAGAAGCCACCATTGTCTCCACTGCACCCCACGTGATGCCAGCACAGGAGGCGCCCCGGTTCCCGGAGGCCAGTGAGGGCAAGAGCGTGAGGCCTTATGGTGTGGGTGCCCATTGGGTAGGGCCCACATCTCAGCCCTCTGTTATCCAAGGGGACTGTGTCAGCTGCCCTAATCCCCTGGCCATGGTCCCAAGGAGACCCAAGGCCAGGGCCTGCACAAGGCCTGCTGAGATAGAGAAGGGGCTCCGTGCTCCAGCAAGGGCTGACGGGCTTTGCACACCTCCTCAGGATTTCCCGCAGAATGCTCTTTCATTGTCCGGAACCCTCTCTCCAGCAGAGAGCCAGCCTGTTCGAGCGCAGCCCTAGCCCAGGTGTGTACTTTGACATGCAGGCTTAATTTATGTGGCCATATTTTTCCTGGCAACAGAAAGAGTGACCCATAACCTTAAGAGGGAGTCTTCCTGGTTTTGCCACGTTCCCCGAGTGTCCAGGGGTTATATCCCTGTGCCATGGTCGGGAGCCTCAGGATCACTCTGGGGGCAGTGCCCTGGGACAGGATCTTAGAGTTTGAGTATTAACGAGTTGACCATCAGCAGTAGGGAAAGCCTTCTCCCACTGGGGCCGCCCACGTGGGGAGGGGCTGGCCGGTGTGTCCAGCCAGGCTTGGGTAAGGAAGCTGTTCCTGATCTTCAAGGCAGAGCAGAGGGAGCAAGTTCTTGCCGAACAGACCTGGGCCCAGCCTGTGAGTCTGGGGGTCTGGAAGGGCCAGTGCCTTGGGTGTCCAATGCTCAGCAGGGCAGCCCGCCACTCTCAAGGGCCACAGTGGGCTGCATGGGGCTGGGCTTGTCAGGGAGGCCAGAGGAGGCCGCACGGAATGCTCACCTGGGCTGGCCTGGAACTGCAGGGGCCCCGAGGCGAGCTAGAGGGTGGAAGTGTGTGGGGAGTCCAGGACTGAGCTGAGGGGCCTGGAAGTGGGGAGAGCCCAGGACTGAGCTGGGGGCTGGGTGCATGGGGCCCAGGGCTGAACTGGGGGGCTGGAAGCGTGCGAGTGGGGGTTCAGGGCGTAGCTGCGAGGCCTGGAGGCACGGGGGGAGGGTGGAAGTACAGGGGTCAGGGCTGAGCTTGGGCGTATGTGTGGAAGGAGGGGCCAAGGACGGAGAGTGGAACCTTCCTTCCATCTGGGGATTGAGGAGGGCCAGGGGTATGGAGACGGCAAGTGGGGGACCTCCCAGGCTTTGCACACACACATACCACACGTGCTCACACACCTGTAAATCCACACACCTCCCCAGTGACTGCTCATTTTAAGTCTGGAGGTTGACCCACATTGTTCCCACTTGTCTTCAGTTCACTTTCCGTATATGAGGGGGTCCCCAACTTTCTCCCATTCCAGGCGTGGTCATATTGTGGCAGTTCCTGAAGGGGCCACGAGGTGGCAGCAGCACCCTGGCCAGGCCGTTCGCCTCCCCTTCCCTCCCTTCCCCTCCCTTCCCCTCCCCTCCCCTCTAGTCACTAAGACTCTTTTCCCCCCCCGAAGCTGGGACTCTGCCTGTCCCCATATAGCAGTCACCAATGGGAGACGGTGTGTTGGGGATGGGGACAGCATCGCTTTCACAGAAGAACAAGCCAGGGTGTGCAGACCCCACAGCACTTCCATGGTTCTGGGGATGCCCCCCACAGGAACCGCACCCTCCCAGCATCAGTAGTCAGGTATAAACCACTTACCATGACGGCCTGGTTGCACACATTGAGCTGGGGCTGTCCAGGGACCAAGGCCTCCTGGTGCTGCTGAACAACCGGAGTGATCCTGTGGAGGACGCTCAGGTACTCGGTGCTGGCAAAGCTAGAGATGAGAGAGCACCAGGTCAGTGAGGCAGGAGGGTCTTGCGAGGGCGGGTGGGGCGGGGCACCCAGCTGGGCTACCAGGTCGGCTGGGAAGAGGCCTGGGGACCAGGAGGCCCAGATTTGTTTCTCTCAGGTGTGGCTGGCCTGGCCACGACTGCCACATCTCGGGGCAGTCTGACAGTGTCACCCCCAGGTGAGCCCTGCTCCTCAGGCCGCCACACCAGCCTGGTGCCAGCTTCCTGCTCTGTTGGCTGCACGCCTTCCACACACAACCCCCAGGCTCTTCAAAGTAGGTCTTAGGCAGGTCTCATGTCTTTCCAGGATTCTGTGGCCAAATGCACCGGAAAGGATGGGCCACTTAACCAAGTGTGGCAGTTTGAGGACAGGGCTCCTCTAAACACGGTGAGCACAGGTGGGAAGCTCCAGGAGGCTCTGCCCTCAGCCCGGAACAGTTCTGGTCCAGGCGGTGGCTCCAGGGTCCTCTTGCCCAGAGGTGTGCCCTCTAAGTGACTATGGGTAAGTCATGTCCCAACCCAGGTCCCAGCCTCCTCTTCTGGAGCCCAGGAACAAGGTGCTGTGAGCTTGTGAGGGGGTGGGGGTGGGGGGTGTGTGGGTGCCCAAGGGGGCCTCCAGTTGGGGCAATAGCCCTGAATGCCACAGCACCGCTGAATAGTGACAACGTGGATTTAAGGAGGGCACTCGGCTGGGAGGGGTGTTCCTCACATCTTCACTCTGAGCAGCAGGTGCCGTGACCTCAAATTTCTGGGAAAGCAGAGGCAAGGAAGTGGTGCCTTCCAGCCACACTCATAGCCAGAGAGGGGCAGGGGCAGGATTTGCACCAAGCCTCTTCCGCCTCAGCCAGCTCACTGCGTCAACCTTCTCGTGGACGTTTGACTCTGAGAAGCCACATCATTCGTGCTGCCACAGGGCAGGGGCTATCAGAAGCTCAGCCGCTGTCTCTGTCCTCATGGCCACCTTGAGGGAGCCCGAGCCTGGGTGGCCAGGTCGCTTCAGCCACGGAGGGATCAGCAAGGTGGCTAAAGGCTTGGAGGCTGCGCGGGCAGGAGCGTGTGTCCTGACCTCAGCCTGCCTATAAGAAGCTCTGGTGCCCTGGATTGGCGGGTCACTACTTCACCCTTGGCGTTGGCTCTCCACCTTTCTTCCCCGTGCTTCCAGGCTGCGGAGCAGGACAAAACTCCAGGAAAGCGAGGTGCTGCTGAGGAAGCCCCGAGGGTTCCCCAGCAGCATGGAGAGGCCCCAGCTGATCTTACTGGGAGGGCATGCCTGGCAGGCGGCTGCCCTGCTGAGGGCCTCAGTGGCTCTTTCTGGGCTCGAGGTGCTGCCCTCCACGTCCTCAGTGCTGTCTGTCATGGAAGAGGTGGCCATGCGGAGAGGTTCCCATCCCCCCACACCTGGACTGTCACCCTCCACTGAGGCCATCCCCGAAGGCAGTGTGAGATGGGGGATGGCCTCAGTGGAGGGCCACAGGGAGGGAGAAGACAATTGAGGGAGATGGTGGCACCTGGAGAGGAAAGGCCACGGCACGCACGCCCCACAAGGAAAACTGCAGCACAGTTTCCGAGCTCCAGGCGGAGGCGAGGCCCCATGCTTCCCTTCCCGAGGTCATGCATCTCCAAGTGTTCACAGTGTGCTGTCTCTTCCAGAAACTCAGCATGTGCCATGTGCTTGCATTGCTTGGGCCTGGCTAATGTTTCCTTGGCAGCTTCAAGGTCTCCTTGTGCCCAGCTCACCTGATGGGGTACTTCTCCCCTGGGTCGCGTCCCAGGTGGAAGATGAGAGGCAGCTTCGTGTGCTCCTCCTGCATGTGGGTGGTGACTCCTGAGACATTCTGTCCAGGGCAGAAATCAATGCCCTGAAACGAGAGGCAGGGAAAGCGGGTGAGCACTTTCTCTGTGTAAGCTCCTGCAGCAAGGCTGGCCAGCCCACCTAGAACAGGTCCGAGTGGTCAAGGCCCGAGCAGGCCAGAGGATGGTCCTAGAGGGCGGAGCCTTCCCGCCACGCCAGCCCCAGAGCTGCTGAGCAGTTCTGTCCTGTGTACTGACCCCTAGATATTTTAGAACCCCCTTTTGGGGAGAGGAGGAGGTAAATCTCTCTCAGCTATTTTAGCCCATCTCACATCTTGACTACCTCTAATTTTTTTTTTTAAATTTCACCTGTGGACAAGTTTTTTGATTTTAGAGACACAAGAAGGGAGAAGGGGAGGGAGAGAGAGAAAAACGGAGATGAAAGAGAAACGACAACAGGAGGCCGCTGCCTCCTGGACACGCCCCAACCAAGGATTGAACCCACAACCTAGATAAGTGCCCTGACTAGGAAGTGAACTCGCAGCCCTTTGGTTTACTGGATGATGCTCCAACCAGCTGAGCCACCTGGCTGGACTACCTCTAACTTCTAGAGCAGCCATTTTCAACCTTTTTTGTTTCATGGCACACATAATCTAATTATTAAAATTCTTCAGCACACCAAAAAATGTTTCCATATAATCTTGGTTCTTTCAAACCAGGTGGCTATTGTGTCGGCTGTTGTCATTTTTAAAAAAATTTGACAATCTAAGGGAAAAGAAGTCAGTGTCCCTGACCACACAGTCAGGTACTGCATGTTTTAAAAATTCTTGCGGCGCCCTCTGGCTGAACATCGCTGTTCCAGAGCAAAGCTTTTCCCCGTCACTCAGTCCGCTTCGTGGCTCCGCATTCTCTTAAGGCTCCTTCACTGGTCAGGAGGGGCCACTGGCCTGAAGACTGGAGATACACAGAGACAGGAATGGCCCATGGGTGATCCATGTGGCCAAGTTAACAGGCAGGGGCCTTAAAATGACAACAGTTAGTATCTTCAAGAAAGCAGGAAAAGATGGAGAAAGCAGGTAACAACAGGCTCCCCTAAGGCTCAGGTGTGGCACCCACGGCCCCATCTATAGCCTCTGATGCGCATCTGAAATGGGCTTCCTCTGCCTGTGTGTGCTCTGAGCTTTGTAAGGTCTTGGGGTGGCCTTGGACCACAGGCTCCCCTGAAGCAGTGGCCTGCAGTCTGGAAGGCTGTCCCTCGGTAATTCTAACTTGGTAAAAGTCCCCCGCCATCCAGGGGCAGGGGAACTGGAAGAGGTCAAGGGCCACATCCTGAGGCCCTGGTGACCGCAGGGCCCCACAAGTGGCTTGGCATCAGTCTCCAGCCAACACGAGGCACTGCTCACAGGTGTGGAGAGGCGGCCACGACTCCGTGGTAACCAATGGGAAAGCTAGGCTTTCTGTAAGCGTTAGGGCCACTGACTGGGCAAACCGTTTCTAAGCCCCGTGTGTCTGTAATCAACAGCTGGTCAGTGGAGCAGTTAATATTATGCTTTTCAATAAAGCAGGGAAGTTAGGAGTCCATGAAATTCCGTTTATCTGCACTGAGCAGTCAATTCCCAAGTCAGGGGCTGCAGTCCAAGTCATTGAGGGAAGCCAACAGTGGACACGCACAGATACCAAAGGTGGTGACCCTTCGACCTTCTGGGAGCAGAACTGCTAAAGAGCAAGAGTGGCTTTAACAGTGGGAGAAGTAACCACACTTAGCATAAAATGCTGAGCAGTTCACAGAGAAGTATCTAAGTCTAGACAGAAGACACAAATTATAATTTGGATGCAAATCAAATAAGCTATTTAATTAAGATCCCGCTAATTAGTACAGGATTTTTTTCTTACAACTGTTGTCTTGTGAGGGTGGCCTCACCCTGGGGGCATCACAGCTGAGCCGGCGCCCCCCCCCGCCCCGTACCTTTCCTTCTCCCCTCAGAGCAAGGGAACCTGCAGTGCAGTTGTGGGAAGGGAGGAGGGGGGCGTGTGCCCCTGGGACAGAGTCTGGAAAAGCAGGCACACATACCTCCCCCCGGCCTCTCACCCAGGACCTCAGGCAGCCCCCACGGTGGGAGGTCGGGGCTGGTCCGGGGCGGCGGCATCAGGCTGGGCCTCCACCACCCAACAGCCACGAGGAGATGGAGCTTGGGCCAGTGGGCGCCACACAGCAGGACCCCAGGACCAGGGCGGGGGTCCCTGTGGGGGGTGTGAGATGCCCCAGGACGAGCATAGAGCTGGGAAGCTAATACAGTCCATCCAGGGGACCCCCAAACCTGGGGACCCCAGACTGGCACACAGACAGCTAGGCCATACCCTAGGCCTCTCCCTCGGGGCAGAGCCAGTCCAGCTGGGCCCTCCGTGGCCTCTGAACAAAGCTGTCCTGCACCTGTGAATCATCTGGAAGGGATTGGAGGAGGATCCAAGTCTCCCCTGGTACTTAGGGGGGCTGCTGATGGCCACAGGGTCTTTACCAACTTCATGTACCCTCTTAGTTTTATTGGCCCCTTTATCGATCCCTGGAGGGAGAAGGGCCATCACAACGACCGTGCGGCCGTCCTCCGCGAATGCGCTGTGAGGCAGTGAACCCACAGCCGGAGCCTGTGTCCGCCAGCCGCCTTCCCAGGGAGGGCTTCCTGTAGTGACTGCTCACACTGGAGAAAGTTGTTTTGGCCTCCCAAGAAGACACAAGCTGAATAGACCAAACCAACCCAGGTGGTCTCACAAATAACCCTCAGAAAATGGAAGAACTGCTTCCTGCTGAGCACCGTGGATGTCGGGGCTGCAAGAGTTGGGGGTGGGGATATCCTGGCTGCGCTGAGGCGGCCTCTCCTGGCTCATTCTAAGCCCACTGTGAACGTGGCCAGGTCAGGACAGGCTGTGTAGGCGCTGGACTTTTCGGTGCTCTTTCTGGAAGAGCTCTCCCAGCCCTTTTGAGTTCTGAGTGAGTGGAAGCTGGACTGTGTCTCACTTGGGGCAGGGCTGACTGGACCTGCCCTGAGCGCCTGGCCGGCCACAGGGAGCCCCAAGGGGCAGCTCCCAGAACACCAGCCACACCTGCCAGCTGGTCCTCCCGGACCCCCAAGCAGCCAACAGTGGGGACCCTAGAGGCCGCGTGGGGGGCTGTAGGTGCCATTAGGAGGGGCAGGGAGGGAGAAGCGAGGCCTCACAGCTTCCACCTAGGGTCCCCAGACTGCCAGCCTCTGGGCCCCTTCTGGGCGCACCTATGGCTTCCCCACCCCTGGGCATGGAAAAGGGCAAGCCAGGCATGGCCCTGCCTGGCAGGGGCCAGGGACAGGAGGTGATGGCCACAAGTCAGAAGGGCCAGTGGGGGCTGGGGAGATGAGAGTGGCCAGGGGACACAGCTCTGACGTGCTGCTCGCAGAGTTCCAGCAGAGGCCGGGTTGGGGGTTGTTGTCACAAAGTTTGTGAGGCCCACAGGACACTCAGAGGCTCAGAGCGCAGGAGAGAAGCAAAGACCCACTTGGTCCAGCGGAGCCCTCCCAATGCCAGTGCGTATTTCAGGCACTGGGCTACATGGAAGGAGCACACACTGTCCTCGGCTCTGCCCAAGTGCCTGCGTCTGCACGAGGCCCCTGGGTCCAGGCCTGCACAGGTGGCCCGTGGCTGCGCAGCCCTCTCCGCCCAGGGCCAGACCCAGGACTCACTAAACCTGCAATCTGCATCCCAAGTGGTGCACAGTGTTCTAGTACTTAGGTTTTTCATTAACTTAAATTGCTTTTCCTCCCAATTAAGGCACATTAGCAGGCTTTTCTTGTGCCTAAAGACCTACATGCTGGGAGGGAGGGGTTGTGGAGGAGGAGGCAGCGGAGAGAAGACTCAGCAGGAGGGAAAGGCAGGCGTGTGGGGCAGCAGGCAGTAGGAGAGGTGCCCTGAGGGGCAGCAGGAATCGGAGAACGTGCGGAGAACTCTGGGGCCCAGCGAGTGTGCGGCATTTCACCCGCAAGCCCTTGTAGCAGAACTGTGATGCACACACTATGTCAGCTGTTCACAGGGCCCACAGGGCACCTGACCAGGCCTCGGAGCGGGGCAAGCAGGAGGGGGCTGGGGGAAGGTGCCCTGGGTTCACCTGGACTTGGAGGCATCTGGCTTGGACCTGAGCCTGAGCCTGCCCAAAGGCCTTCTTTCCCCAGGCTCCGGGTGGCCTGAGAGGGTGGGGTGCCCAGGGTCCTAAGGGGCTATCCTGGTAGCTATACTGCGGCGCCCCAAATTCTTACCACAGATAAACACAGAAGGTGGGAAGCACGAGGCCACGTGGCTGTCACCACGCCACAGAAGCCTCCTGCCAGCCTTCTCTGCCCAGGTCTGTTCTCCTCAAGGGCAGGGCATAGGGGTGCAAAGTCCACAGCCCCAAGCCTCCTTACCTGACTGAACTCCTCCCAGGAATTGGTCCAGGTCCAGAAGTGGGCTTTGTACTGGCCAAGGGTGACTGCCATCAGTGTGTTGCCACGGTAATAGAATATTGGCCTGTTAGGGAAGGAGAAGGGTCAGGTGACGTGAGACACTTGTGGACACATGGTTAGGGCTGAGATTCTATAGAAACAACCATGATGAAATCACATGGGCACAAGTTGCAGAGGTCCCTGAGGCTGTGGGTGGGCCCTTGGTGCCTGTCATTCCTGGCTTTGGGAGGCCACGGCGCAGACCGAGGCAGTAGCAGGTGGCTGCCAGAGGCTCTGTCCCACTGAGGGGCAGACAGCGCACTGGGCCCACAGCCTTTGGCACCTTCCCTACTCCACAGTAAAGAAAAGAACAAAAGCCCACCTAATCCCTGCCCTAAACCCAAAATGGGTAGCTGGTCTCAAGCTCAAGCGGAAGAGAAGCTGACTCTGGACACAAAGCATTCTGGTGCAGAGGTGGAAGGCGGCAGGACACGGCCAGTCCTCAGGGGTCCGCAGTAGCTGGTGACTCTGGCAGAGGGCTGTCCCCTCCTTGCTCCCATGGTCAGGGCAGAAGTGATGGACCCCAAGGGACGATGCACTTTGTGCCAGAAGGTCCCAGAGGTGGTGTCTCCCTTTGCCCCAAGCCAGCTGGGCGAGGGAAGCAGCTCTGTCAGCCGGCTCTGGCTCCGTCGCTTGGTCACGTGGTGCTGGCAGGTGGGTGGGGGAGCACCTGTCTGGAACTAACCTGTCCATCAGCTGGCCCTGCAGCATGGCGGGGAGGAGATCAAGGCCGTCGATCACCCTGTCGCTGGGTGGCTCCAGGCCTGCGAGGGACAGGCTGGTAGTGAAGAGGTCCATGATGCTGCCCAGCTGGTGGCTCACCTGAAATACACGAGTGGCCACCCGCTCAGGGCACCCTGTCCTTGGTTGTGTGTCCTGCTGCTGTCCAAGTGGGTCTACAGACACACGTGCGCTCACACACATGCAACACCAGCCACATCCCTTACAACGTGTCTACACACGACGACGCAATGTACGTGTCTGTACAAACCCAGCCCTACCCACCTCAGCCGGCCTGGTCCCCATCCCACCCGACCCCCGACTCTCCTAGAGCTCCTCACGCCCTTGGGTGTCTGGCCGAGTGCTGCCACCACACAGCTCTTCCACCTCAGGGCCTGAGAGGGAGAGACAACCCTCCTCGTTGGGAGAGTGGCCACGGGGAGATCAGGGGCTAAGTGGGGATCAAACCAGCTGTCCGACCCCAGAGCTGGCAGGACCTTGTCCCATCCCTAATGCCGAGCCCTCGCTGCTGCCCAGTGCCTGTGAGTGGGAACCAGACAGAAAGGAGCAGGTGAGGCCTTCCCAAGGCGCCACCAGCGCCAGCGTCCCACCGCGGGGGGCTGCCCTCTCTGAGCCCGACCGTCCTGTCATGTTAACACCGACTCTGTGAATTCCCAGTTCAGGTACAAGTGCAGGTAGAAAATAAGACCCTCAGGCCCAGAGCAGCATGGAGAGCAAGAGGGAGAGGGGACAGAAGGGGAGGGCAGATGGACTGGGCGGGGGGGGGGGGGGGGGGGCGCTGGCCTTCCTCCCAGAGGTGGCGCCCACCAAATGCAACGGCCCGATTCCACAGGGCCAGGGGGAGGCAGCCTTTTGGAGAGGCCCAAGGAGCAGGCCGTTCCTGGCAGGGGGCCGCCCATTGGTGCTGGATGCATGTTGTTCCCCACATGTGGCGCGGCCTTGTCCGGAGCCCGCCCAGGTCTTTCACTCCTGAACTCGGCATCCGGGGGCAGGAGCTGGGTCGGTGGGGAGAGCCCCCGAGGGCCAAGGCAGTCACCCCCTCCTTTCTGCTCTTCACCCAGGGCTTGAGCCGCTGCCCAACTCAGCACTTTCCACACCCTGCGGCGCCTTCTGCAAAAGGAGGAACTGTGGAACCCGAGCACACGCCTCACGCCCACTTGTGTCGGCAGTTCTGCAGCCCGGGGGTGGGGGGGATGGGGCGTGAAGGTCCACGTTTGGTTCAAAAAGTCTGAGAAGCTGGCTTCTTCTCTTTTCACTTTTCTTTTTAGGAGAAAGAAGGAAAGGAAGAAAGGAAGGGAGAAGGAAAAAAAAGAAAGAGAGAAGAGAATAAGAGAAAAGAAGAGAAATCCAGATACTTTAACCCTCTGGAAAAATAAAGAGGGGAGGTTGCAGTGCTGGGCGGGGGTGGTGTGGGAAGGAGCGGATATCTGAAGTCCTCATATCAGCACAGAACAGCTGGGCGCACTCATGGAAGATGCTCTTTTTGAAAAATAGACACTCTCAATGTGCACGTAATGCCTTTAAGAAAATGCAATTTGTCTGCCATGGGCCCATGGCAAGAAGTCACCGCGGCTGTTATCAGCACTTTCAAGACTTAACTCTGAATCAAAGGCTACAATTAATAAAGTCACCCCGCCAGGCGTGAAGGGGAGAGTTAAATATTTGAAACTGGTTGGACAAATGGCAGGGTGTTTTTAAATAAAATCCTCTCATAGTTATCACAGGGTGCAGGCCTGATAGCCCGTCTAATTCAATTTCAGCGCGTGCCATGAAATGCGGTGGAGGGAAGGCGGCTGAGCAGTTCTGTGCAACGTTCTTCCTCCAGGGAGCAGGGCCCAGAGGGGCAGGGAGCCAGGCAGACAAGGGGCAGAGGATCCCAAAGGCTGGAGATTCCCCCGGGCAGAGCAGGTGGGGAAAGGGGTCCTAGGAGAGAGGCAGTGGGGGGAAGGTGTGGGGGGGGAGGGTGGGCTACACCCCCCATACCTGGGCATCTGCTTTAGTTCTGCAACCTGCCAGCTGGGGGGTCCTGACAAGGGGCTGCCTCTCACTGGGCTTCAGTTGCTGATGTGGAGAGCGGGGGTGATGATGATAGGCTCTCCAGGGCTCTCCCCACTGACCCTACTTCTGCCCCCAGATCCAGAGTTCAGGAGTGAAAGAACAGGGTGGGCTCCGGACAAGGCCCCGATTCTGGACCCTGCTGAAGGTTTTTCCCTACGAGGGGTGTCCAACCTGTAGCCCCGCAGGCCGCAGGCAGCCCAGGACGGCTGTGACTGTGGCCCAACACAAAATCGTAAATTTACTTAAAACATTTGAGATTTTTTTGTGATCACATGTTGCAATGTAGTTAATGTGTGGCCCAACACAACTCCTCCTCTTCCAGTGTGGCCCAGAGACGCCCAAAGGTTGGACACCCCTGCCAGAGAAGGGGAATCAGAGTGTCAATCAGCGAACCTTAAAACGGGCTGATCTTGGGTCCCTGTGAGACAGGAGAGTGAGAAGCTAGGAAAATTCTTCGGCGAGCGAAATGGGGAAACTGAGACAGATAGCTGAACACAATGGCTGAGCAATTTACAGCCACATTCAAAAGGTCACTTCCCTGGAGGTAACATTTAGGCCTCAGTCTTGTTTCAGCTCCAGGCTCAGAAAAGCAGGAAACCAGGTGGGTAAAGCCAGGACCCACTGCAATGACTAAGACCCCCTGCCCTGCCGCTGACCCCCGTCAGGGGAGACGGTGACCCTGAAAGGGCCCACCTGGAGAACTGATGAATGTTCTGCTGACACCCTCCCGAGACCTCCCCTAAGATTCCTGGCTGCAGGAGAGAGAGAAAATCCTCAAGACAAAGGTCCCAGCTCCTGCACTCTCCCTCTGGGAGCAGCCCGGCCACTCCCTTTCCCTTCTTCCCTCACTTCTTCCCCCACAGGCACAGTCTCCTAAACTCTAAGGCAATGGCAGCTGGCAGCTTGTCCCAGGCTGATCCCCTGAAACTGTCCCCACAGCCCCTCTTCTCTGACTTCCCAGTGAGCTAAGGCAGCCCAGCCTAGGGCTTCCTCTATGCTAAGCCCTTCCTGGTGCCACTGTCCCCAGCTTTAATAAACACATCCTCCCAGTCACCTGGACTTGTGTTGTGAAACCTTTCCTACACGAAGTCAAGAACACACATACTACAGTTAGCCCTGGGCAGCCCCGGGCAGCCCCGCTCTGGGCCAGGCCCCTGCCTGGTGACACCTGGGTGGGCTCAGGGCAATCAGAGGGTCCTAGACTGGGAGAGGGGCAGAAGGGCCAGAGTCCAGGTGACTGGGTGACACTCGAACAGCCACTGTGGGCCTGGATGAAGGAGAGAGGGAGGGACCCAAGGCCAAGATGCCTGAAAAGACAAGGAAGAAGGATCTCCCTGGAGCCTCCAGGAGAAGCCAGCCCCGTGGCACCTGATTTTAGCCCCATGAGACAGTGCTGCACTCCAGCCTCCAACTGTGAGGGAACAAAGGGGTGTGGTTCCAGCCCCTCAGTGCAGTGACTGTCCCAGCAGCCACAGGACTCAGAGGCCCCTCAAGGCTCTGCTGAGGTCTGGGCTGACACCAGCAATGTGATCAGTGTTCTCTGGGGAAGCTTTCTAGAAGGGAAAGAGACCAGCTGAGACAGTGACTCACATGCTTACGAAGATTAGTCTGGACACCTCAAGAGTGTCTCAGTCAAGGTGCCCACTTACAGAAGACCCCATGTTCTTGGCTGATAGGGACTGAGTGAGGGCTCTGAGGAGCAGGACACACACCTCGTCCAGCAAGAGGACCACGCTACCCGGCCCTGCGGTTTGCACCATGTGCTGCTGATGGACACCAACCGCACACGGTGTCTGCTGTCTGTGGGAGTGTGTCTGCAGAACAGTGGCCTGGAGGGTGCCCTCTGGAGGAAAAGGTTCTATGGCCAAACAAGATTTTAAAAACTCAGCTTCTCGATGCTCCTTCCAGAAGTTCACTATAATCATTAGCACACTGAAGGCTCTGACAAGTCCTGCAGGAAAGAAACCCGCTCCACTCCGTGGTACTCAGGACTGACCTACCGACCGACCACGGACGCCTCCTCCCCCATGGCAGCTCCTGACACCCCATGCCACGTCAGCGGGAGACCGCTCCAGCGCCCACCCACACACCCTTCACTCGTTAGCTGTCTCCCTCGGGAAGGGCCCTGCATGGACAAGAGCAGTGGGTGGAGACAGCAGGCCCACGAGGGGCCCAGCCTCTGACTCACCTGGCCTGCAGGGATGTGCCCGGGCCACCACGCGATCGCAGGCTCCCTCATCCCACCTTCGAATGTGGTCTGCTTCCCGCACAGAAAGGGGCCGTTACTGCCTCCTGGGGAGGGAGAGGTGCTGCCCATTAGCTCTCTCTGTCCTGAGACCCCAGGACAACACGCACGCCCTACTGGGCACTTGCCAGGGCTTGGCCTCCACGCAGCCCCTCGAAGGTGGCGCTGCCGATATGCTGAGGCACCAAGACCATCGTGGAGGTAGAGGGCTGGCCACCAGGTTGGACCGCCTCGAGGAGGCTCTGACCCAGGTGACCATCCTAGATGTTCTGGTTGTACATTGTGGTTGTACACCCAGTTTTTCTGTCCTAAAACAAAGAGCGACTACTCAGAAACGGAGAACATGACCACACTTGTTGGCACAAGATGCAGGTGCACTTCAAGTGGAGCCACAGAGCGTATCCTGACAGCAGGTCACTGGGACTCTGGCTGTCTTTTAGGTACAGCCTTTAGACGTTACTGGCTATAAGCATCCATGCGTGTTTGGGGTTGGGGAGTCCAGTCCCTGGGACCCTGAGGGATGTCCCACTGGGGTTGGGATACAGATGCATTTTGACAAGCCCTGCTATGAACAGGCGGTCCCTAAACCATGCTTGGGGAAGTGTCAGAGGGCAGAGCCCTGTTCCTGGCCGATCCAACGTCCTGCCGGCTCCCACAACGCAGAGGCTGGCTCCTGAGGACAAATAGCGTGTCTGCTGCTGTGGCATGAGCTGCCCAGGGCTCACCTCAGGCCCCACCTCAGGCCCCCTGAATAATGGAGAAAACAAAATAGAGCAGCGTTTCTCCAGCAGGAAGCTCCTCAGCTTGTCCCTGCACTGGAATCTGAATGCCACCTCCACACGTCAGCGCGGGCCAAGTCTTGAGATGTGACGATACGTCAAGGACAACACAGGAGTGCAGACAGATTCCCAATGTGTGAACGCAGGCACAGTGCGATGAGCTGCACCATGCCGGGAAGTCAGGGCTCAGGGTGCTCAGGAGGGCCCGCTGCCTTCCTCCTTCTATTTTTCAGGCTGGGTGGTAGGTGCACGGATGTCACCTTGTTGTCATTTGTACTTTAGAGCTACGCACAGATGTTTCTGTCCACGTGAACTATTCCGTAATGCAGAAATGAAGACTGGGGTGATGAAGCTCAAGCCCGTGCTGGGAGGTTGGTAGTTCTGGCAAGGCTGGGCTGTCAGGGGAGGGCTTGCCTCAGCGTCCCATTCAGGGGCCAGCAGTGACATCAACATTCAGCTGGCCCTGGGCCTTTCCGAGGAGATGGGGGTCTGCCCCTTCTCTGAGATCGTCAGCCGTACGAAGATGAAGCCCCTCCAGAAGTGGGGCTGGGCTGCGGACGGGCCACACAGCATCCTTGGGGCCCTGGACCAGCTGGGCCTGGACCCTGACCGGCTGTTCTGTTGCCAACAGGCTTCCTTCTTGACTTGAGCCAGTTGTGCTGTTCCCGTCAATTGAAACCCTGAAGCCCCCGAAAGCCCCTGACCACGGGGTTCCCCCAGTGTCTGCCCAGGCAGGCCTGTCCCCGTGGGGTTTCCTTTGGTATGTAGCCTTCCTTCCAGAGCTGTCTGAGTGCTCAGGGTCCTGCTGAGGCCTTGGCATTTTTTAAGAATGGGATCAAAGGGTAAGTGCCCACTAGGGTGAAACTCTTACAGGACAACGAAATGCTGGGGTGCAGGCAGCCACCTCACTCTGTAAGCTGGAGACCAGGGCTCACCGAGGGACCTGGGTCAGAGGCCTCAAGGGGCTGGCAGGTCTGGCTGGCTCGGGCACACAGAGCAGGTGTGGGGGGTGTGGGGCCCCTCGCAGCACCAGAGGCTCTGGGTGCCCCCATTTGCCAGCACTGCACAGGTCGGGGCTCGGCCCCATCCTTCGTGGATACCACCCCTCACAACACTGTGGTGAGGGAGCTTTGGCGGGGTGGGGGCTTGGGCTTGGCTGTCAGGGAGGCTGGGAAGTGTGTCTGCCGCATTTTTAGCTCCCAAGGGAGACAGTCAATGCCACCACCATGAAGGGAGGCTCCCTAAACTCAGAAAAAGGTGCAAATGTGGCTGATTTGACACATGACAATGGCCATCATATTGTACCTAAGTTTAGAACAAAAACGCTGATGGAGAACATTACAGGTTTAGAGAAGAAAGCCCAGAAGCGAGCTCATTCGGCGCTGAAATGTGCAGGAGGCTGAAGTGACCTGCTCCCAGGGCCAAGCAGTGGTACAGCTAGGACAGCATGAGAGTCCTGGCCTTGGTCTCCGTCTTCCCCCACTGGGCTCTCCCTGCGGACCAGGGGAGCAGAAACAATACACAATTCAGAGGAGGGGCTTGGGCAGTTCCGGTTCACACACTGACACACCCTTCCCGGGCCGGGGAAGGCCAAGGCGCTCTGGCCTTTCCAGGGAGAAGGGCGCGTCTCAGAGCATTGGTGCTGGTCGGCAGCCCCACTAGTCTCGCGAGTGATGAGGCCAGAGCCAACCCCACGTGCAGCTCTCAGGCCTCCTCGTATCTGCTCCTACTAGACGGGGCCCCCAGAGGACAGCGGGCATCTCCCCCACGGGTGGGACCCCAGGATGAGTCCCCTTTACACTCTGCCCCAAGGGTGGATGAGGCGGCCCTGAGTGTCTCAGGGGCCAGGGTTCCCAAGTGCAGCTGTGTTTGGGGACGTGCTGACAGGAACACTCTGAATACCTGCCTTGCTTGGGAGCAGAAATGAGGGCAGCACCGTTGTCAGATGTGAAGAAAACAAAGGTGTTCTCCACGATCCTCAGGTCCTTAAGAAGGTTCAGGATTTTCCCCACGCAGTCGTCAATCTCCCGAACAGCATCCCCGTACCTATGGGAAAGGTGGAACATTTACCAGGTGGCCGAGGGCATCAGTGTGACCAAAGAGCAGTTACATCATAACTTCAGGGACGGACAATGAAAGGGACTGGCTAAGTTCACAGAGGAGGAGGGGAAAAGTTCAAGTCCTCAGAGCTAATCCAGGAGAGAGCCGACCACGCTGCTGCAGCATCCGCCCACTGATCCTGGGCTGGTGGGTAGCTTCAGGGCACAAACGCTTCCATCTTTTTCTACAATTGATAACTTAAAACGTAATAGTATTGAGTGCTGTGTCCCGGAAGTAATCGAGCACAGCTAACCCAAGTGTGTGTAGGGGGTGGGGGTCTATGTCTCTATAACCAAGGACTCACCGCCCTCGCTGACTGGTGCCCAAGAAAGGCTTAGAGGCATAAACAGGTGCATGTGTGGCGTCGATGGCCCAGTAGAGAAAGAAGGGGCTCTGAGCTGCCTGCTGCCTCTTAATGAAATCCAGAGCTTCCTGTGGAGGAGAACACGCCATGTGCCTCTGCCCGAAGGCTGACCCCGCCCCACCCCAGAGCCTGCCCGGCCAGGCTCCTCTTACCTGTAAGTAGATCTGGGTCAGGTTGGCTTCTCCAGTTTTTGAATTAATTGGAAATTCTTCATAAAATCTGCATTAACAGATCCAGACAGAAATCAGATTTCAGGCGAAGAAAGCCTCTTCTCCATGATATCATAGGCAAAGTCATGAGCCTCATTTGAAAGAATGAACAAATGTAATTGGAAGGTCACACTGCTCCTGAGGTCATGGTCAAGGTGGGGCTAAGACCAGGAGTCATGGTCATCATTTGGGAGAAGGATGGGGAGCAATGTGTAAGGACAGAGAGGAGAGTGAGAGAGGGAAGGCAAGAGGTGGGCCCCAGCTACTTAGGGCTGGGGTGACCACTACTAAGCGTGGGTTTTCTTTTTGAGGCGATGAAAATGCTCTGAAATTGGTGATGGCTGCATGACGCTGCGAATGCACTAGAAAGCCCTGAACTGCATACTTTAAATGGGTGAACTGTCTCGTGTGTGAATTCCAATAAAGCTACTATTAAAAAAGGTAACAAGTGGCCCTGACCGATGTGACTCAGTTGGTTCGGTGTCGTCCTGCAAAGCAAAAATCACCAGTTAGGTTGTGGGGAGGGCACACGCCTGGGTTACAGGTTCAGTTCCCAGTTGGGATGCGTACAAGAAGCAAACAACAGATGTTTCTCTCGCATCAATGTTTTTCTCCCTCTCTCCCTCCCTCCTCCTCCCCATAAATAAATAAATAAATAAATAAATAAAATCTTAAAAAAAAAAGAAAAAGGCAACAAGTGGGCCCCACTTCTTGGTCTGCTAATGTATTTAATGAGGTCCAACCAAAAATTAATAAAAAAAGGAAAAAGAAAGATGAGGCCAAACAAAACTCGTGACGGACCAGGGTCCCATCTAGCGTGGCCATGCTGCCGGCACCCCACTGCCGGGCTGTGGCCAAGACCAGGGCGATCCCAGGGCCACCTGGGCTTCAGGTGGCACTTCACTCTTGGCAGGCTCACAAGGAGGCTTCGTCCCACCAGGCCCTCTGTGATGATGCCGATGTCCTCAACACCTAGCACGCAGCTGACACGTCAGCCTGGTGAAGGCAGAGGCCTCTGCAGCCGGGGCTCGGGGCCCGCCCATGGGCCACACGGACCGAGCCCGGAAGCCGTGTGTGTGGCTACTGTGTGAACAAACCTTGTTCTGGAGAGCATCTCTGGCTCTCATACTTCCTTTCTCTTCCTCTCTTTCTCTCGCTGTCCCAAATTGTTGATTACAAGAATTTTACAAAGGACAGAAAACTCATACTTTCTAAAAGGGTGAGAGATCCCCTAGGTGTAGCTCAAGCAGCAGCCTAGGCTATGAGTCCTAAAAGGCTCTGGGCAGGACGACCAGCTGTCACAGCAAGGCCCAGCACACCGGGAAGCCAGTGCTGGTGGGAAGGCGCTTCTAGAAATGCCATCCAGCTCCTGGACAGCCTCAAGGGGCAAGGGCTGGGTTTGGCACCCGAGGGTGAGAAGGGAAGGGACTGTTACCTGCCGACCATCTCCCAGTCCCGGTACACAGGGATGTTCGGCCTGGCCCTGTTGTCATAAGGTCCAAAGTGACAGTTGGGGGATCCAAACCACTCATCAAATCCATGCTTCAGGGGGTGGAACTGAGGCCTGTGGCCCAGATGCCTAGAAACAGGAATCCAGGACACTTCAGGGAGCCCTGCATGGGACACCCCAAAGTTCCGAGTAGCAACACCCCATTACCTTCACAGAACATTTAATGAACAAACATCTCTCCAGCACCCAAAGTGTGCTAAGCCTGGACACAGAAAGACCATGCCCTCAAGGAGACGTCAGGACCACTGGCCTCCCCCAGCGAACTCTGCCAGGTTAACAGCCAAGGGTCACGCTGGCACAGGGCCAGGACCGGCAACTGCTGCTCACCAACTCAGTACCCTGGCCAGGAATGGGGTGGGCACGACTAGAAGAAAACACAACGATGTGCCTGCAGGGTGACAACTGCCAAGCTGTTCGGAAACCCAGATGCTCTGCTGGGAGTGGGGTGGCCAACTGCAAGCTCCTGCCACACGCTGCAGGTGTCATGCAAAGCCGTGAGAGCCTCTTGCTGGGTGGTGCCCTGCTCTTCCATCCTCACATGCCCCTTCCCCTTGGGGACACCTAAGGTCGGGTCCTCCTGCCCGTGAGGTGCCGACATGCCCCCATCCGAATCAGGTTCCAGCAGTCATGGAGCATGGCTCCACTGGTTCTTTGGAATACAGGGCTAATAAAAGTAGTTCTGGGGCACAGTGGCTCTGGGTTCTGGCCCCTGCGGAGGGAGCCAACCTCACCCTGCAAAGTGCATGGGTTTCCCAGGTTTTTGCAGAAAGCCTCTCACAGGGACATGTTTGGAAAGCCGCATCCCTGGGGCAGAGGATCCTGTTCCTCTGCTGCACTTGGGCAGGCCCCATCCTGACTGCTCAGAGGCCCCGCAGTGAGTCACGCAAGTCCCAAGTCCCCGTGACTCACTGTAACCACTCGGTCAATCCGTCAGAGAGAACACGGTGTACGGCAGTGAGGGAGACCCGGCTGATGCAGGCCAGAGCTGAGCCAGCCAGCATCTGAGTCTGGGCGGCGTAAGCGCAGCTCTTGGGGCCTCAGCTCCCCACTGCTGGCTCTAAAATGCTCTGCGCCCAGATGGCTGCCTGGTGCTCACCTCGGGCCTCTCTGGCCTCTCTGCCAGGTGTGTGTCAGCTCTGCCATGACCTCTGTGCTTTGTGCTTCCTGTTTGTGACTTGCGTCTTCTCTGGGCTGCTGCTACATGCCCAGTCATCTCTAAATGCCTCACTCTAGCACTGGCTGTGTGTGACTCTCTTTTGTTCCCACATCCATTAGTCAAATGGCCTTTGCATAACAGAAACACCACCCAAGGTCCTGCTCATGCTAAGCTGTCAGTTCAAAGTGCTTATTCTGAAACAGCAGTGGGGCTAGAACCACCCAAAGGTGAGCTGGAAGGGCACCGTATGGCAGCCCGCTGGGACTCGGCAGGTGGAGCGGCCTCTCCCAGGAGTCCAGGCTCCGCGAACCCCAGGCCTTGGTCAGGCTGAGGAAATCCAGATCCATGGTGCTGGGGCCCAGCGGCAGGACGTCAGAACAGTCACAACCATGCCAGCCAGCACCCCCCTGCCTATGGCCCTGCAACAGGACCCCCACTGGGACTGGGAACTCCACGGGGCCTCCCAGACCCCATCCTCACTCTGGCCACGGCCGCCCTGACCCTGGCTCATCCACCAGCACCGTGTACACCTCCTCAAGTTCACCTGAGCTGCTTCTCTGGGCCCCGCTCGACTCCTTCTTCTGCGTCTGTGTTCACCTCCCTCCTCACAGAGATACACTCCATTCCAGCTCTGGCTGCCCCCAGTCAGTGGCTATGAATGGAAGGCCGCCAGATGCCAGGCAGAGCCACTGGGCCAGGCACAGAGTTCTGGTCATCAGGGGCTCTCCCTTGTGCCAGCGCAGCCCTGACAGGGCTCTGGCAGGCCTCACAGCGGCCTCTGCCACAGTCTCCCTGGGCCTTCCTGGCAATGCTTTGTGCCGTGCAGGCAACAAGGGCTCCCTCAACCCAATGCGCCCCCACCAGGTCTGCTGTGCAGTCCCTACTTCCTCTGAGCTCACCTGCTTGGCAGGCAGCTCTCAACTTGTCTCAGAAGAGAGAAAACGTTCATTAGGCAGCTTTGAGATCACCAGGATTTTCTAACGATTACTTTCCCAGTTTCTGTGGATCTCCTATCCCTGTGACTATCAACATGCAAAGAGCAGCAGTTTCCAGCGGGCACACACAAGGCACTCATCCTTGAGAAAGCAGTACTGGTGAGTGCCAGAGGGGTTAAGGGCAGAGGGTTCACAGTGTGCTGAAAATCATGGAAGGCTTCCTGTAGGAAGTGGGCTTGCTATTTTCCAAAGGCCTCCACACCCAGAAAAGAAAAGGGGACCTCTGACATTTATACCAACCCACTTAGGCATCCTCAGGAAGTAAGAGACAGAAACCACTTAACATGCTTAAAACAGCACAAACAGCATGTGTGGTAATGTGAGCTTCTACAATCATGACAATCCCAATGACTCCACGCTGCGTGACTATGTGACTATTCTCTGCCTCCTGTCTACTGCTGCTGCCGCTACTCTCCCTTCCCCCCCTTTTTTGGCCTCTCAATGTTTTTTATTCTAGGATTTTAAAAAATACTACAAAATATTTCTGAATGACATAGAAACACCTCTGTAACCACACCAGTCTCAACATGGCTTCTTCTGTACATCCCTAGTTACAGGATTTCTGTTCAGCTAGACCTCAGGCGGTTCTCCATGCCGGCTGTTCTGTCGTTCAGTTGTTATTTGAGGTGGTCGTGGGAGGACGTGAGCACAGCGTTCCCCTACTCTGCCATCCTGACCACTGGTTGCTCCTGCCTTTCACCACCAGACAGAGCCCTTGTGCTTGCTGACAAAGTGTGTCATCCACGACAGTACTGCACGTGTGATGATGTGGCTCCCTGGGTGACACCGCGGCAGCAGGCAGCACAGGCAGAAGGATGGAAAGAAGGGGCAGGGGGCTGGGATGTGCAGTGTTCGAGGAGAACCACAGGCTCCCAGCCCACACTCCAGCCTGGAGAGGGAAGCCGCAGTGGCCCGGCCATCCCAGCTGCTAAAGGAGTGCTTCGGGGGTCTCAGTGGACCTGGAATTCAAGGACTCTACCTCCCACCCAAGAGGTTTCCCCTGTTTGGAAATGTTTAGCAACGACCCTGTGTGAATGCGCCCAGCTGGGCAGGTGTGGGGACTTACCACTTGCCCACGATCTTGCTGACGTAGCCGGCCCCCTTCAGCAGCTTGGGCAGGAGGAGCTCAGTGTCCGGGATGCCACCCACAATCTCCTGCGGTGTGTAGGCTGGAAAAGCACCGCAGTGTGTGACCCACTCACGCCCACAGAGCAGGCTGTGCTGCAGAAGGCAACGCATTTGAACACTGGCCGTGCAGCGTCAATGGGAAAAGCCCTGGTGAGGAGCTGGCACTGCCATGGGGTACCTTTGGGGTCTTCCAGGCACTTCCCCGAAGTCCGCTCAGTACTGGGTGGGGACGGACAGGGCAGACTGTATCCCCTTTCCCGCAGAAGAGTTGGGACTTCTGTGGGTTTGCCTAGAGGTCTCCAGAAAATGCCACCTGATGGCACCATGAGCCTCTCATGCTAGGCTCGCCTGTGCTTTCTGTGCTATGTTTCCCCTGGAGGGGTAGTCCTGGGATGGGCACAGCAGGAAGGACCAGCGACCAGTGCCTGTCGGCCTCAGCCATCCTCCTCAAAGCAGGCGGCGGGAAGGAGCTCTGCCCTGAATCCCTAAGACCTCGCATTAACCTTACTGTCCTTTCTACTTGCCAAAAATGTATTATTTTTGATGAAAGTGCTGCAATCTGTTTTATCCCAAACAAAGCCCTTGACTGTGGGTAGTAAGTGCTGTCCTGGAGAAGGACTTAGGTCCTATGTGAGAATGGGTGAGAAATGCTTCCCCCTCATCTCTCTGGTCCTCAGCCCCCCAGACCTTCAGTGCAGCCCAAGAGCACACGCACCGTTCCTGGCCTGCCCGTTGGTGGTGTAGAAGCCGTTGCGAATGGGCAGACGTCCGGTGAGCAGGGCCGCCCTGGCTGCGTGCGGGGAAAGAAAACAGGGACACGGTGAGAACACATTGTATGTCAGGCAGCTGTGCAGAGCTTCTAAGTCCCTGTCAGCCTCCTGATTGCCCACCCTTGTACTGACTGGCTCAGGCGTGGGTGACCGGGGAGCTCTGGCCAGGCCCTGCAGTTCGGCATCATCCAGCCCCCCACTCACTCTCCCCAGCTGCCAGGACACTGAGATGTGGGGCCCACACAGCCCCTCATACGCCACCACCCAGCATTCCTTCTCTTCTTCAAGATTAGCATTTCTGTAGAAGCCCCTCAGCAGCAGTGATTCTCTGGGTAGGGGTGGGGGGAGGGAGAGGAGGGAGGGGTAAGCTGCCACATCCATGACCTGACCTCTGTCCCCACGTCCCCACAGTGGAGAACCACTTCCCAACCAAGCACTTCTGAATGAGCCACAGCATTTAGCACTTGGAAATCAGTACCACCACATGCAGCGGCTTTGGCTTCAAAGATCCTTACAGGGGACAAGCCCTCAGGGGCCTAAGGCTCCACAGCCGACAGCATGGAGCCCGGGACCCAATGTGCCAGGGAGCCCATGGAAAGGCCGCACATGCCTGCCCGAGGTCTCGGCCCTCAGAGGAAACGTGGTGAGGCGGCCACCTCTGTCAGGGCTGCCTGCTCCTCATGCTGCCCCCCTCAATGGCCCATGCCTGCTCCCCGTGTCCGCTCTCCTCGCCTGCGCCTGTGCCCATGGACCAGCCTCACTTACATGGTGAGCACAGGGGGTTGGCCGTGTAGAAGTTCGGGAAAAGCATGCCCTCGGCAGCCATCCGGTCCAAATTTGGGGTCTCTCTGGAAGGCTCTCCATACACGCCCAGGTCACCCCACCCCATCTGCAGGGAAGAGCATGGAGAGGTGGACTGCATCTCCTTCTATCTTCGGGGCCCGGGCCACAGAGCTCCCTCACAACCCAGTGCCTGGCTTGGGCACAGAAAGCATGAGCAACAGCTGAGCTTTGGGGCTCAACTCCGCCCTGGCCTCGGCATCGAGGAGAGGCCTTCGTAAGTCTGTCGTGTGGACTGAGATTTAACATCAAGTGGGAGGCTCCCCATGAAGCTACATGGAGTATGGCTACGTGACCCGGCCATTCCACTACTGAAACGTACACCGCACAAAACTCCACGCTTGCCCACAGCAACGTGGCTCATGACGGCCCTGAGGGGACAGCCCGGTATCCATCGAGTGAGGAACTAACAAACACAATGTAGTCTATCTGTCCGGCACTGCGTTGACTAGCAGCCCCTCAAATTTATGTCCACTCAGGACCCGTGAATGCAATCTTATTGGAAGTTCGGATGCTTCAGCTAAGGTGAGGCCATCCTGGGGTGCGGCGGGCTCTAAGTCCAGTGACTGGTGTCCTCATAAAGGAGGGGAGCCACAGACACATGGGGCGACGACGGGGGCAGAGACTGGGGGGGGGGTGCAAATACAGGCCAAGGAGGAGCGGCAGGAGGGGTCGGCTCTCTGAATCTCAGGAGAAATCAGCTCCGCCAATACTTTTCTTTCAGGCTCTGGCCTCCAGAGCTGGGAAAGAAAAGATTTCTGTTGTTTTAAGGCACCAAATTTGTGGTAATTTGATATGCCCCACGAAACTAATACGCACACTGTGCAATATCACTACAGCCTGGATGAACTGTGACAAGGTCCCTCCAAGCTGGGTCTCCTTAAATGTCCCCTCAGCATGAGCCCCAGGGCATCACTTTCACAGTGGCTGACTGCCATCCCTTCTTCTCCTGGACAAGGGGCGGGGATGGAAAGACTCGGGCTGTGGAACCGGACCCAGAGAGCCAAGGCTGCCCCAGCCTCCAGCCTCCAGCCTCCAGCCTTCCCTTGTGCAGTGACACGTGACTCCCTCCTGAGAAGGTATCTGAGCGCCAATCCTGGAGCGACCACCTGACCCAGTGATTCCATTCCTGGGTGTCTCTGCAACACAGCCCAAAACATGTTTATACAAGAGTGTATGGACGATGTCCACAGCAGCATGCTCCCAGTTGCCAAAAGGTACAGACAACTAAGTGCCAGCTGAGGAGGGATGAACACAATGTGTCCATCCAAACACTGGAATGCTACTCAGCCATAAAAAGGATTGAAGTACTGGGTTGGCAAAAAAAGTCCGTTTAGTTTTTTTCCATAAAAGACATATTTTTCATTTTTCACCAATAACTTTATCGATTTGGATATTCTGAGTATGTTGGCTATCTCCCGTGTGGTATAATGTTGATTGTTTTCAATTAATGTTTCGATTTGATCATTATCAACTTCAACTGGTCTACCCGACCGTGGAGCATTGTCCAGCAAGAGGTCTCCAGCCCAAAACTTTGCAAACCACTTTTTACACATTTGGTCAGTCACAGCACCTTCTCCATACACTGCACAAATCTTTTTTTGCGTTTTAGTTGCATTTTTTCCCCATCTTGAAATAATAAAGCATAATATGCTGAAAATGTTAACTATTTTCTTTCATCTTCAATATTAAAATGGCTACACAAAAATTCACCAATTTTGATGTTTTTTAAAATGCACGCAGATATGCCAGTTGTCATATAATAAAATTGTTTCAAATGAAGTAAAAGACAACTAAGCAGCTACTAGAGCCATGGTATGGAAAAAAACAAATGAACTTGTTGGCCGATCCAATACTAACACACGCTACAACATGGATGAACCTCAAAAGCATGATGCTTTGTGACAGAAGCCAGTCACAAAAGGACAAATATCGTATGATTCCATTTACATTGAAATGTCCAGAACAGGCAAACCACAGAGACAGAAAGCAGACTGCTAGCTGCCAGGAGCAAAGGGAGAAAAGGCAGTCACTGCCACTGGGGACAGGACTTCTTCTTGGGGTGATGAGGGTGATCTGGAGTTGACTGTTGTGATGATTTCACAAGGCTGCAACTATCCTAGAAATCACTGAATTGTACACTTTATTTTTGTAAAGATTTTATTTACCTATTTTTAGAGAGAGGGGAAGGGAGGGAGAGAAACATTGGTATGAGAGGGAAACACTGATCGGTTGCCTCTCGTACACGCCTTGACTGGGGACAGAACCTGCAACCCGGGCATGTGCCCTGACCATGAATCAAACCAGCGACCTTTCACTTTGCAGTACGATGCCCCACTGAGCCATATCGGTCAGGACTGAATTGTACAACACTTAACTGGGTGAATTGCACTTACTGTGAACTCTACCTCAACAGAGCAGTTAGAAAAGTGCAGGGGCCTGCTTTCTGCGGAAGCCCGGCTCACCAAGGGCCCCCCACAGCTCTTCTCACTCATTGGGCTCTGGTGAGTCAGCTAACAAGAAGTAGTAGGCCTGTACGCAAGAACAAGGGTCTGAACGGCTCGCCTGAGACTGGACACTGCAGTGCGCTGACCTGGAAAACTCCGAAAACACTGGGCTGATTCTGCAGACGTTTCGGAGAGTTGGGCCCAGTGATCTTATGAAGGGATCTGGCAACTGTGGGTCATAGGCGGGTGGCCTCATGCACAGCTTTGTCTGGGCCGGCCCGATGTCGGTCTGTTTTCTGCCTGTAACTGTTAATGCCCCTTCTCTGCATGATAGGTTAGACAGCTACCCTCCCCATAAGGGTGAGCGCAGGAGGGTGACACTGCCTCAGGCTTCGCCCAGGCACTGCCTCCTCCGGTTGCGCCCGTCCCCTCGCTTGAGGCTGGCTGCGACACACGGGGCCTGAGAGCCTGCACAGGCTCTTTGCCTTGGCACTGTGCTCTCTGCGCTCGAGGGCCCTAATGGTTGGAGGGTCCTGGCTTTGGCCCTTTCAGCTTTGGATTTCTTTGGAGATGGTTTATTTTGAAGTCATTGAAACGGCTTTTCCATTTGGTAACAATAGGAACTGAAATAAAATATGTGCCTGAAGAGAAGTATGGCTGACAGAAGACAGGAAGGTGGGGTGCTCTCAGGCAGAGAAGGGGTGGTGTGTCTGAGTCTACCGAGGCCCACAAGAGCTTGCATGTCCAGGGACAAAGCCTATGTTCCCAAGGTGGGGGGAGGGCCAGAAAGCATCCTCAGCAGCATCTGTTGACTTAGCAAGGGCCCCGGAGCAGGCGGGGATGGCACAGATTGCTTGAGGCCTGCCCTGGAGAGGGCTCCCAGGCTGCGTGAGCAAGGGTCCGTCTTGCCCCCACCCCACTCCACCCCGACTGTGGATTTGTCCTCACAGGTACAAGTGAGCTGCTATCTCTCTAGAGATTGGAGCAACAGAGGCAGAGGGGCTGGCCACATGGCACCTTTTGCCTGGCATGCACCAAAGTTCCAGCCTCCCAGGAGGAAGGCAGGTGCTTAATATAAATCTCATTTGCATAAACAATGTAGGCACAGGGAGCCCTTCTTACTGGGGAACGGTGGGACGCTCCTCAAATCTCAGGTCCCAGGCGCTAGCCAAGGGCCAGCCAACTTACAGGCAGGCCTGTCTGAGGCCAGCAGTCACTGGCCTACTGCATTAACTTTTGTCTGCTCAATACTATTCTACTATTACTTGTTAATTAGCTTTCTTAGCTACAAAAATAGGAATATTAACATCCACCTTGCAATTATTAGGGAATGAATGAAATCATCTCACGCAGTTCACAGGGAACAAAAGCCAGCTGGGTCCCCACACTTAACAAACAGTCAAACAGTCCTCTTCCTGCCTTCGGCCTTCCTTTCACTATGAATCTCAACACTCTGGAGCAACGCGAACAGCACTCACCGCTGGCTACAAGGGACTGTTACTCGTGACTGAAGGACTTCCCAGGGTCTGCTGACTGGCTCTGGAGGCTCAGGTTGGGGACACCTGCTTGATGGGCCCACCGTGGCCACATGGGAGCTGGCCTGCATGCAGCTTGCCTTTACACTTCCTCAGTAGTCAGGGAGGTCCTCCTCAGTACTGTCTCACAAATAAGGGACCCAGACACAAAGAGTGCTAGGCCCTTGGGAGCAGGAGTGGTCTTGGGCCCAGTGGGGCTGAGACCCCCCGGGAGGGAGCTCTGTCCCCACCAACCCTGGCCTCATCAGCCTTGGAGAACAGAGCTGAGTCAGGTCCACTGGAGAAACTGTTCTCAACCTCTAAACTCACTGAATGCATGTTTACCAGGGTCTGTTCTGGATCTGAGGACACACTGGGGAAGTAGGAGGCAGATGCTATCCCTACCCTCGCCAGGTGCCACCCTGGATGAAAGGGTCCGCATGCCTACCCTATCCTACTCCCAGCCTGGCTCTCTGGGGGTGGGGATGGGGGTGGGGTACTGTCCAGAGGCCCCACAGCTGCACAGGCCAGCAGACCCCACCCCACTCCAGCCAGTGAGCCTGGCTCAGGGGCACGAACTGAGTCTTCATGGCAGCTTGTCCTCCCAACTGGAGGCCTGTTGACCATAGGGCAGGTGAGGACACAGTGAGGGGCTCCTGCTACCTGAAGTCACGGCTGCTCCAGCCTGTCAGGAGCACTGGTTTTCCTATTTTGCTTAGGTCACTTTGCATGCATTTTCTGTTATTGCCATCAAAAAGTCCTGGCTTATCTGCATTTGCTGACCGGGACAAAAGTCTTCCAGACTTTTTTGATTTCAGCTGCCAGAGAACCCCAAAGCCACAAGAAGGAACCTGTACCGGAAGGGCCGGGCACTGAGGCTTCTGGTTACTGTTCCGGTTCCTGCTACCCCACCCTGGGGCGCTCAAGCAGGGAGGCTTCCCATGTCAGCCCCTCAAGTAAAATACTCCCAGTGCTGGTCATGCTCCACCACTCGGAACCTCTGGGGCCTAAAATGACATTTCCAACAGAAATACACAGGAGCCACCTGTATAAGTTTGCACTTTCTAGGAGCGCCATTAAAAAGGCAAAAAGAAACAAATGAGTGAGGGCTACCTGATTTTCTTTAACTCAGTATAGGCATACGTCACTTTATTGCACCTTGCTTGCTTGTGCTTCACGGGTGTTTCATTTTTTTTTTTAATGAACTGAAGAGGCAAGACTCTCTACCAGCAAAAAGATCGTCACTTGTTTTATCGTGATATTCGCTTTACTGCAATATTTGTTCTATTGCGGTGGTCTGGAACTAGACCTACAAAGTCTCTGAAGAACATGTATTCAGATAATATCCAAAATATTATCATTTCAACAAGCCTTCAATAAACTGGAGGGCACATGGCTTCCCTCGCACACCCACTGCCACCCTGGAGAGAAGGGGAAGGAGCAGAAACCTGAAAGACAAAGTACTCAGCTAGAGTCGCATCATCCAAAAGAGACTGCTTGAACAAGCCTTGACAGGGACTCCGACTTGAAGAAGACTAATATTGAAACAAAAAGCAAGCACTTCCAAGACCAGTGTTGTTAGGAAGCAGTTTCCCTATTGGCCATTAGGATGGGACCAGCGGAGGGGCTGCAGAGCCTGCTTTGGAGGCAAGCATCATCTGAGTGAGTTTATGAGACTAAAAAGAAGCAGGTCCAGTGTTATGTCTGGGTGTCAGAATTATGGATGGATTTCTAAGATCTTTCCAGTCTCATTGGAATGTTGTTAATTTTTCATAATAAAAATGATTATTGTAATAAAAAATTATTGAGTTTTTTTAAACATTCTTTTTCTTGTACTGAGTCTTCAAAATTTGCGTGTAGTTAACACTCAGCACCTCTTAATTCCAACCATCAAGGACTGTCCAACAGCCATGTGAGGCTCCTGGCCTTGGTCCAAAGGCTCCTGTGAGTGTCTCTGCTGGCCTTTTGAGAAACTCTGAGCTCTGTTTATTCACATTTCTGACACCAAATATGTGGGGGGATTTCCACACCAGCCACTCCTCCAGCTCTCCAGGCACCAGCGGGGAGTCCAACAATTCTGTTCAGTTCTGACGCTATCTACCTGGAGCCTCAGACCCCACAGGTCAAGGGCTCAGTCCCACAAGACTGCCCCGCTTCAATGAGCCACAAGTCCCTGGCCTCCTGAACTTCTGACCAAGCTACTCCAGTTGAGCGTACAGACCTGCTCAAGTTCCATAATTTGCTAGAACAACTCTCAGAATTCAAGAAAGTATTGTATTTACTATTTTGAGTTCATTATAACGGATACAACTCAGGAAGAGGGGTCGAGGCTGATCCCTAGGTATGGGGAAGGGGCAAAAAGTCCCCCACCCTCCCTTGTTGCCTTCCCAGCTCCTCCACGTGTTTCTCTAGTTTAGGTTCCCTATCCCCGTACCGCCTGCCTCCCCCGCCATGTCTCGTTACACAGACGCAATTGATTGAATCATCATCGACCTCTGGTGATGGAGCTCAATCTCCAGCCACTCACTATTCTCTCCCTCGAGGTCAGGGCCGCGCTGAAAGCTTTAACCTTTTAATCACACCTTGGTCTCCTGAGGACCTCTCCTGAAGCTACCTCATTAGCACATCACAGACACTGCTATCTCGCCAAGGGTTTTAGGAGCTGTATGCCAGGACTCTGTCTTTCATCGTACCACAGGATCTGCTATCACAGCCTCTCCTCTGCCCTGCCTCAGTCCTCACATCACCGTGAGGAGAGCTGGATGGAGAAGAGACAAAGCCCAAAGAGCTTCAGTACATTCTCCAGGCTCAGGCGAGTAGGATCCGCCCGCCCAGGTTTGTCTACATCCCTACTATACCCCGAAACCTCACGTTGACTAATCTGAGAATTTCCATTTCACTCCCTGCTTCTTCGGGAAAGGAGCACAGGGGGTAAAGCTGCAAAGGGACAAGTGAACGACTCAGCTCCCTGACAGGAATCCTGCTATTTTCCTAGCTCCACAGGGCCGGCCCACAATTGTGAGTGTGTGCCTGGGGCTGAACACACATCTGCCAGGGGACATTCTTTCTGCTTCAGCTAAAGACCTGACCTTGGACTAGAATTCTCAACAGGGCCAGGGCAACCTGCCCAGGTGAACAGGGGCAGCCCTGGGGCAGGGCGGATGCAAAGGAATTGGCTTTCTAGGCAGTGTCTGGCTCTTGGTCGGCTTGTCACCCACCCGCTTCCCTGACCCCTGACACACTGGGTGGGAGGGGCAGGGGTGAGCAGGGGCTGCTACGGAGCTGGTCCTCACCTGGCCAGGGTGGCAGCTGCTCTGGGCTGCCCTTCCACCCTTCCAGAATGAAAGGGGCAAGAAATGGAACAATACAGAGGAATCTTCTCCCAGCCTGGACAAGACTACCTCGCTTCCCTATGAGGATGCAGGCCTCAGGATCAGGTGTTACCCCGACACCAGCTGACACGCCCACGACCACTCCCCTCATGGAACTGCCCCCCCAGCTACAATCCACCCTCCTCGGGTCTTCCCCACCACCCACGGTTGCCCCAACCCACTGCCCCGTGCGCAGCGTTCCCCGGGCCCACACTCACGTCGTCCATGAGCAAGAGCAGGATATTGGGGAGCTGCAGGGTGCCACTGGCCCCCAGCCCCGCTGCACTCAGCACCAGCAGCAGCACCCGCCACCTCATCGCCGCAGCAACCGCCGCCATGGCAACCACGCCGGGCTCTGCGGAGCCTGGGCCTGCGGCTGGGGTAGGGCGGGCGGCTCTTCCGATTTGGCGGCGGGGCGGGGCGGGGCGGCTGAATGACAGAAGGGGCGGGGCCTGGGAGGCCTCGTGACAGGCTGGGGAATCACGTGATGTGGCCGGCCCGGCCTCCCAAGATGGCGGTGTGCGTAGCAGTGATCGCCAAGGAGGTGCGTACGCTAGCGGGCGACGGGCGCCTCTGTGTTCCGGCGATCGTCGGGACCCGCGTCCGAGTCACGCCCGCGCTTTCCGTCTTCCCACTTCCCTTCCTCGAGGGCCCTAGAGGGAAGGGCCCGTCGGCTTCGCTGAGCCGACGGCGTTTGGGCGGTTCCGGGGAGGCGGCGCCCACGCCCGTTTCTGCAGCTGCGGAAGCGTCAGACCCCGGCGTCCACAAGCCGGGACCTCCTCTCCCTTCCGGGCTCGGGGCCTGCCCCCGATCCCCGGACCCCGCCCCGTCCCCCATCCCCCACCGGCCTTGCTCAAGTGTCACCTGTTCACTTCTCTGTCCTGCTTCACTGCGCCTCCCAGCCGGCCACGCCATCCCCCACTCGGTCAATCGACTCAGCAGTCACAATACTGCTTTAAGAACAAATCAGGTCGTGTCATGCTCCCCGCCTAAAATTTCTCCAGTGGCTTCTCATTGCCTTAGGCTAATGTCTGAATAACCTGCTCGCCTTGGCCCCGTCTCTGACACCGCTAATACCCTCTACTTTAACCCAGCGGAATCACTTGCAGCTCCCTAACAGTCTCTGCTGTCTCACCTCCGGCCTTCGCACCTGGAACTCATCTCTCTCTAACCGCCTTTCTCCACCTTCCCTCCCCTTCACTGGCCACTATAGATTTTATTTTCTCTAGAAAGCTGTTTCTGAATCCTGATACTGAGCTCGATAGCTGTCCACATGCTCCGATTACGGAGCCCTTTTGTGTCCTTTGCATCAGGCTTACGAGGCCTGCCTTCCTTGAAGCTCTTGAGTGCTGGCTTCCTTTTTAGCACGTGCTACAATGTGTTATTTTTTGTTGGTGGATTTGTTGACTGTGTCAGCCCCACTAGAGTAGGGGCAGTGTAGTGTTCACTATATCTGGGCAGCACCAGGCGCGGGACGGAAGCAGTGAATTGTGACATGAGGGAGCTCCGGGAAGATGCTGTAAACTCCGGATGAAGATGGTCAGAAATGGATGTGCGGAAATGAAGGGAGGTTTGAACCAAGCCTTGAAGGGTTTAGTGACAGGGCATGCCAGTGCGTCTGCTAGGGTGAAGAGGTTGCAGGAGGTGACTTATCAGGAAACAGCTAGTATTATAGGGCCAGGAGGAGCATGTGCTGGGGCTGGGCCCCACACATGAGGTGAGTGACCTGTCCAGGCCGGCCACGCCATCCCCCACTCGGTCAATCGACTCAGCACACAGCATTCCGCTCTCCGTCTTTCCACTTCCCTTCCTCGAGGGCCCTGGAGAGAGAAGGGCCCATCGGCTTCGCTGAGCCGACGGCGTTTGGGCGGTTCCGGGGAGGCGGCGCCCACTCCCGTTTCTCCCCGGAACCGCCCTATTTTTGTGAGCCAATTTTTTTCTGCCCATCCTATTCAGGCCCCTTTGTAGATAATATGTAAACGTTCTCCAAAGGCAGTGTGTTTCTGTTGCTAATTGACACTTGGCTGGTTCTCCATCCTGAGTGCTCTGGCTTCATTTTCATATTCGGTGCACACAGTGGATTCTCATCACCTCAGTTGCTGTCATCCTCTCTTGCAGAATTACCCTCTTTACATCCGCAGTGTCCCCACGGAGAATGAGCTTAAGTTCCACTACATGGTGCACACGTCCCTGGACGTGGTGGATGAGAAGATCTCTGCAATGGGGAAGGCCCTGGTGGACCAGAGGGAGCTCTACCTGGGCCTGCTGTACCCCACAGAGGACTACAAGGTGTATCCTTCACACCCAGCAGGGGCCTCTTCCCACAGGGTTCGAATCCAGGGATCACACCTGCAGCTGTGTGGGGTACTATAGGTCAGATAACCTTGAAAAGCATTTTGAACCATCACTTGGAAAAAAAAAAAAAAAAGATGAGGGCGTTCAGCCTAGGGGGAATTAGGACAGCTTGAAGCTAATTGAGACCTTGGTTTTTTCCCCTTTAATTAGGAGGATAATGTGAGAAAAGCCAGGCTTGAATTACCTAGAGAATTGTCTGCATGTGTCCCTTGTTAGGTTTATGGAAGAGCTGGGGAAGCTCCTCCTTTGTGCCCGCAAGGATTTCTTTCTCACCACCTCCGAGCAAGGGATGATTGGCTCACTTATTTCATTATCAGGCCCAGCCCCCCCTCCCGCCCCCCACAAGTCACTATAAAATCTTGACCACTCCCTTGGGGCAAATGGATTGAAACCCAAGGAGTTCAAAGATGTTCCCACGGGCAGTAACGTAGCTTGCCCACAGTGACGCTTGCCTGGGAGCCAGTGTTCTGCAAGATGAAGTGGCCTTGAGAGGTGTGGATACCTTTCAAGGGCAAGTAGATTTGCCCTTTGTGAAACCTCTTGTTTTTCATAGAGGGCAAGGCCTGGGCAGGCAGCCCGGAAGTTTGAATCAGGATGGGGCTTAGCTGCCTGCCTTTTGCTTCTCTAGTAAACACCAGAAGCTGCCCCAAGGAAGTGTCTAGTCACACCCAGTGTGGTCCATGTGGTCCTCCTGGCATTGCAAGACAGGCCCAGCCTGAGGCACTTACTGTGGTGCAAGGTTTGTCATGTTTCTCCGAAGTGGCTTTGGAGCCAGGGATATGCACAGATGGCCTTTTGCTTTCACACTCCACACAGTGAGGCTGTGTTTCATGCTGCCACAGAGTCCCTGTGTTGATAGTGTGTTCCCTAACCAGCTGTGCAGATACGGTTACGTGACCAACTCCAAGGTGAAGTTTGTTATGGTGGTGGATTCCTCCAACCCGGCGCTTCGAGACAACGAGATTCGCAGTGTAAGTGCAGGGGGTTTATAAGCCGTGCCTGAGGCTGTTTTCCTTTTTCACCTTGTTTTAAAGTATTGAAAAGCAAGAAATATGGCCATAATCATGTGTACACACGAATTAAAAATGCTGGCTCTTGTTTCAGATGTTCCGGAAGCTGCACAACTCCTACACAGATGTGATGTGTAACCCCTTCTATAACCCAGGGGACCGCATTCAGTCCAGGTGGGTCCGCTGCTCTCAGTTTTGCCGCCTTCCTTTGTAGGCCCTGACCAGCCAAAAGGCAATGATTCTGAAAGGGAGGGAGGGAAGGTCTTTTGAAGCCATGGACAGTGTTTTCCTAAGGCAGAGCTCTGAGGCAACAGAGCACTGTCTTTTTCAAACCAACTCTCACACAAATTTTCAACATATAAAACAGGAATTGGGGGGCAGAGCTTGCCCATTTGGTTTCCCACGTGCGCCCAGCAGTTACTGGGGTGCCGTCATAGAATCCTGTGAGGGCCCTGGCATGTGGACAGAAGCCTCCTAGGAAAACAGCCTCCTGTCATTGTCTAATTCTTTGATATTGAACTTGGATGGTGAGGAAACTGGATGGAAGAGATCTTCAAATAACCTTCAAATAAACACAGTCTTTTAATATTGGAACATCATGAATACACTTCATGAAGAAGCATTCACACACCCCAAGTCAGCTCCTGGGAATTCCCTACATTTCTAGACAGGTTTCCCAAGGGGCTTCTTGTAGTTGGCAGGTAAGAGGACACTGCAGTGACCCAAGCAAGGCCCTTCCATGGTGCCTTCTCTCACCTGTGACACTGTGTTTTGGGTCACCCTGCGTCCTCGGGGGAGAAGCCAGTGCTGTTATGTGGAACCCTGTGTCTCCTGGGCTGTTCAGGGCAGTGACGGCCACTGTTCCCGCCACACTGCAGCCCTGGGTGCCCGCGCCTGGAGACCCCGCAGGCGAGGCCTTGGGAAACCCAAAGAACGTCGGAGGCAGGAGACTTAAATTCCCATCGCCAGGACACACGTCCTGGCTTCTCAGCCAAGTTAATTTATCTGGATGTTAGAGGCTGACTCCCAGAGTGTCCGGGGACGCAGGCAGTGCCCCAGAGCCTGTCTCTGCCTGGGCGAGCGATGCAGAGCAGGTCTCTTCATTGGTCTGTTTCTGTTTTCAGGGCCTTCGACAGCATGGTGACATCTATGATGATACAGGTCTGTTGAGCGAGAAAACATTGCTGCCTGTTGATTGAAGAGAAGTGTTTTGTATATAACCATATTGTGTAAATGTGTATTTATTATCATTTACCTCTTCCTGAATGTCACAGACATGCCATATGGGGGCAAGGCCTGGTGCAGCACATGTCAACTAAATGTTTTGTGACATCAGATTTGGTGTTTTCCTTCTGTGTCTGCAGAGGGTTTAACTACAGAGTTTAATGCAGGAATTTTCAAGGAGGAGGCAGAGGTCAGGGACTAGGCAGAGCAGGGAACTGTGATCCCCACAAGGCACAAAGGAGCAGTGGGAGCTGGGTGGCGGGAGCCCACAGAGCTTGGAGCCTTGGAGAGGCTGAGCCCATGGGGCAGGAAAGGAGCTTCAGAGGGACTTGGGGGCCAGCCTCAGCTTTACTGGCTGCTCTCGCAGCGCCCTCCAGTGGCTGTCCAGGTGGTGTGGCGTATAGAGCCTCCTGTGTCTGTAGATTTAGAGGAGCACCGGACAGGCCACTTACCTTCCTCCACGGGGCAAAGTTCTCTTTCTGGTCTCACATCCGGCCTGACGTCTGGTCTCTGCCCAACCTTGGGAAGCAGCCCTCCCAGGAACTAGGACTCTGTGTATTGGCAGTGTCTTGCCTGTGGCTGCTTGCTTTCTGAGGGAATGAGCCCTCTTCCGCCTACTAGTGCATGGGGTTTCTAGTGGCCTGAGGGCCAGGCAGGGTTAGGGGGATGAGGCCCCTGCTGCCCCCCAGGCCTGTGGGCAAGCTGCCTGGGTGGGGCGGGGATTACATTTGAGGAGGAGCTGATGTAATTGGATGTCTGTCTGTAATCTGCTTCCCCAGAAGGCTTCTCAGCCAAGTCCAGCGGACAGTCCTAATAGTTGGCTCTGACTGAGGTGTCAGCCCCTTCTGGGGTCAGGCAGCCCAGGTTCTAACACCCTTTGCCATTTGGTACTGTGCCCCGTGAAGTGGGAGAGGCGACAAGGACCTGCTGAGCCTCAGCTCCACCCGCACAGTCTGCTCTGAGTTGCGTTCAGTGCAGCCGGTGGCCGGCCTCCTTGAGTCAGTGCCCCTGGACAGCTGTGAGCCCCTCCCGCCCCCACCTCAGACGCTGGGGAGGGGGTCTTTGACCAGGAGGAAGGTGGCTCAGATCCCTCTGGGGAGTGGGAAAGGCTGTAGCGTTGGTCAGCCTGGGGCTGGAACTGGGAGGTGAACTTCTCCCTGCACCCTGTTGGATCTCCCTCCTGTCTAACAAGCGCAGGATTAATTTTTTAAATTACAGAAGTAAACAAAACAAATCAACTAGGAGTGCATGTTAAAAACAAGTCCCAGCCCCCTCCTCCCACTCTCACTGCAGGTGGAATTGGAAGGCCTAGAATCGGGCTGAGAAGTACCAACAAGCAGGCACTGGTTGCAACACCAGTGGACCTTAGGCCCCCTCACCCAGGATTCCTTCCTTGCGGTCCGTGGTTGAGGTTTCAGTAGTGACCTCTCCTGCCTGCGTAGTGGCTCTGGTAGGGACTGCAAGTTGCTGACCCAACATTCTTCCTTGTTTCTTTACTAACTTCCCCGGTATTATTGAGGACCATTGCCTAGATACGAGATAATTTCCTACCTTTCATAGTACACAGGGTAGGTAGTTACGGCATGTAAGTGGGTGGTGTTGGGAGAGACTTACAAAAAAGATGTTTTAAAGGGGTTCACCTGGCAGATGGAGTATCCCTCCTTCATTTTTTCCCTTCTTCCTGCCTAGAACTTGAATATGATGGCTGGGATTCTGGCCCATTTTTTTTCCCTAGATATTATATAGATTTATGATTTTCTATTGCTTCTTAATCCACTTAAAACTTCACAGTATAACAGTTTCAGGCAGCTTCTTTGTTACTTTCTTTGGTTTCTACTGCTTTAGGCAACAATGGCTCGACCTTTAGTAATAAGCCTTCATTTGTTGAACTACGAAGGAAAGCTTGTACCACAAAGGGTCCCAAATCCAGCGGTCTGTGCTGACAAACTTCATTGATAACGACTTGCAGATTAGCAGCTATCTCATCACTTGACATATTCAGTGTTGCTGTTTTGGTCTTGAGAAAGTTTTCCCTTTCTTCATCTACCTTAATTTCATGTCCAGTTTTAAATAACTCAAGCATTTTGGGGATGTCCTGGCCAATGAAATTTCGAGTAAGCTTTGGAAATCTTCAGTTTCTTCTTTAAAGGCTTAAGCTCAGGCATTATTTCTGGAACAGCTACATAAAAGTCTGATTGAATTTCATCATCCAAAATCTTCTGAATGAGATCAGCTCCTCCTGCAAACGCAGCTCCATTTTCTTCTGCAGCCATATTGAGAACCTGATAAGGTTCATCCTCTAGGACAGAGGAAAAAGCTAGCAGGAGCTGGTTTGAGACATACTAGCCCTGGGCTACTTGTGTTCAGCAATTTATGTGAAAACAAACAAAAAAACCCCTGTCGAAGCCATTGCTATTTGGGTTTTTCTGTAGGTGCAGCCAGACCAACCCATAAATGCTTCCTACATTAGGGAGTTTCTACACACATTGTTAGGTAGCATTACCACATTAGGCCTGAGGAAATCAAGCGCTAGACGTTATCTGCTAGTCTTTGTTCTGCCAGCAGAACTGTCAGATGGCAGTTTCACATTATCTTTTTACAGCTTTATACAGGAGGTGGCCTCATTGAGCCCCTCGGGTGCATCTCCTAGTCAGCCCTTGACCATTGTTCCAGGTGACGTCTTTGGCTGAAGTTCACTGCCAGCAGTCTGTCAGTCTTCCCTCCGCCGTCAGTGCCTCTCCCTCTCTTCTGCCCCAGACCAGACGGGGGCGAGGGGAGCCATGGGTCTCGGCCTTCCCCAGGCACAGCCACTTGGGTCTGCTCAGTGGCTCACTGCTCAGAGCCCCGCCACCCACGTGGTGGCCACGTCCAGGAGTGTCGTCTGTCCCCCCTCCACCTTGGCCTGCTCAGGCCTGAGAACCACTGGAAGGGAGGGATTCCCAGGCCCACTCTCCTCAAAATGGCCACACAGAGGGGACCAAGAAAAGGCTTCTAAAGAGGAACTAACTACTTGGGGTAGAAGACTCAGCAGGGCCTTATCAGAAAAGCCAACATGCACAATGAGTGTATCAACACCAATGAAGGTGCCCCTGCTGAGGCCTAAGGTGCTGAGCTCGCAGGAGCCCGCGATACCTAACCTGCGGCTCGGGGACCGCATCTGATGGCATGCCTCCCCTGCTGCCCCTGCTGCTCACGGTCCTGACCGCGCACAGAAGTTCCACAGCCAAGCCTGGCTCTGCCCTGGGCTGCTGGGTGACCTTGGCAAGGCTTCCTGACGTCAGACCTCCTGCTCACCTTTTCACTGGAGGGGGACGGGACCTAAAACTAGAGATTCCCTCTCGCAGCTCTGGAGGCCAGGGTCGAACCAAGGTGTCAGCAGAGTGGGTTCCTTCTGGAGGCTCTGAGGGGGGATCCGCTCCAGGCTTCTCTCCATCTTCTGGTGGCCACCAATGATCCTGGGGGCTCCTTGTGTAGGCACACGCCCCAGCTTCTGCCTCTGTGTCCCCACCATCCTCTCCATGTGTCTGTGTCTCAGATCCGGTGTGCGCCGTTGGACGTCGGGCCCATTCCCAGATCGCCCAGGGTGATCTCATTTCAAGATCTCTAAAGACCCATTTGCCAAGTAAGTTCACATTTATAGGTTCTGGAGATTAGGATGTGGACATCTTTTTCTTTGAAGGCCATCGTTCACCCCACTATAAGAGACAGCGTTGACCCAGGTCACAAGGGACAAGTGAACCTGGCCTGAAGGGGGAAGTTAAAGACACGTGTGGGTGGAGTCAAGGGGCAGTCCACTGTCCCCTGCCTTCGCCAGTGTTAGAGGGAACCAGGGACAGACAGGGACCAACCCATCTGTGGACAGACTGGGTGGCACCACCTGTAGATTGAAGCACAAGGCATTTCTGTTTGAAGCTTAAGGAATCGATCATCAAATAAACATAACAAGGCAGAGAGAGTTGCCTTTGAAAAGCCAAGAGAGGGCTCATTAATGGTTAATGCCAGAACCTAGTGTGTTGGCACCTGGCTCCAAGCTTCCTTCCCCAGCTCAGAATGCAGTCGGGCGACGGAGAACGCGCCGCCCCCTCAGGGAGAAGGCCACTGTGTCCGTCTGAGAGAGGGCAGCAGTCGGGGTGCACAGGGAGTGCAGAAAACTCCCCTCTGCTTCCCGAACTGATGCGGGCTGGACCTGTGCCTGGTGCCTGAGGTGCATGCCCGTCTGCAGTCCCTCACGGGTGAGGACACACAAAGGCGAGTGTCTGGGTCACTCACTGTTGGGGGAGCAGGTGCCCCGCAGGCCACCAGACCTGGGGTGAAGACAAAATTAGCTACTGCTTCCCCTGTAGCATGGGGGCGGATGGCGACTCTGTAAGCCCCGACGCTGCCCATTCGCAGTGCGCGGTGAAGCGGGGTGGAGGTGGGTCCTGGCCTCACAGCCTCGTGCTGTCACCTGCCTTTCGCTGTAGTGTCTGCCCCCAGAGAGAGTGAGTGTCTCTGAGAGACGAATAAAGGAAGGTCTGTTGTCACGTGCTTTTAAAAACTATTCAAGTTTAATAAATTTATGCTTTACCATTAAGACACATTTCTATTTTTCTTTAAAAGGAGTTCGTTGATGAACCCTGAGTATGACAACCCTGGGCAGACTCAGCATTGCCTGGGCCTCACCTGCCCAAAGCTTTGCCCAGTGCCCTCCAAGGCTCCAAGGAGCGTTCTCCCCCTAGACCCACCATTGTACCCTGCTTCGTGAGTTGGGGCTTTAGCTGTTGGGTCTGGGCCACTGTGTGTGGCTCTTGTGGGCCAGGCCATCTTCCCGCCTGAATGAAGCGGGGTGAGGTGGTTTCTTCTGAACGTGGAGGCAGCTCTCCACTGACCACCACCTTTCTCCTCTGGCCTCAGGCCCTCTCCCCAACCGTGCTGTTCCCGCCAGCCTGCTTTATGGCCCCTCAGCACCCCAGGCCCGCCCCCCTAGAGTAAATGGTCCCACAGGGAGCACAGCTGTATATCCTGACCCGCCCCACTCTCAAAATCTGGTTCTTCCTTCAGTACGGTGAATACCACGGTGAGACTCTTCCCTGTCCCCTGTGCAGAGAGAGAATGGGAGGTGAGTGCCCACAGGGCCTCACCCAGCCTGGGACAAGCCCTCCCTACCTGCACTCACCTCTTCCGCCCTTGTAGTCTGAAGCAGGCCCCACCCAGGAAGCTGCTGCTGTGGGACATGGGTGCCCCCCTGGCACCTGGGTGTCTCTGCAGGCCCCCTCGGTCTGTGGAGCTGATTCCTGGCAAGTTGGTCCTTTTGGGCAGTACCTGGAACCAAAGGGCGAGTGGTCCAAGATCCCGTTCTCACACCCTCCTCTCCAGTACTGCCTAAATCCCTCTCCCGGGCCGATCCGAGGACTAAAGCTGCCTCCAGGAAGTCTTCCTGGGTTTCTTTGCTAGAGGCTCACAGGTGGTGGCCCTGGAGCCCACCAGGCACCCAGGATGTGTGTCCTCCCAAGGCGTCAGACCCCAACCTGTTCTCAACCTTGTCAGGATCGCCACTTAGGCCGAAACTGTCCCGCTACAGCTGTGGTCACGTGATAGATCCCTGTTGAGCCAACATCTCCCCCTTTGTGAGCCACAGTGCCACACACAAGCCAAACCCTTTGGGGTCTGGCGGTCCTTCACCCTGCCCCTGCAGCCCAGCAGGTGTGCCCAGAGACCCTGGGAGATTGGAGAGGGGTCAGGCTGGGCCCTTTTGTCAGCCTCCTTGTGTTAGCCTCTCTGCCTGCATCTCAGGGATTAGTAGGTTAATGTAGAGGAGCTCAGAGCACAGCCCGCACCCCCAGCACCCCCACCTCAAGGTGCCCTGGTGACTCATGGGGTTCCCGCACCTTGATGACCCGGCCTCGGAAGACGCTCTCGTCCAGCTCCACAGCAGCCTGGGCCGAGCTCTCAGCAGCGAACTCTATGTAGGCATAGCTGGGGTGAAGCGAGGGCTAGTGAGGGTCCAGCCCAGGCTACCCGCGCTAGGCAGTACCCGGGGCGCCTCGCCCCCTCCCCAAGGCCCTGTGCTGACCCTTTAGGGTGTCCGGAGAACTTGTCGCACAGAATGGTGACCCGCTGGACCTCCCCGCAGAGGTTGAAGTAGGCCTCCAGCTCCTTGGCGGTGCCCCCGTAGTCCACCTGGCACAGGCACGCCAGCATGGGGCTCTCCTGCAGAGGCCTCGCCCCTCCAGCCCCCCGACCCAGCACGTCTTCTCATCTGTCTTCTCGGTAGAGAGGGGCTGACTGGAGCCCAGGGTGTGGGCATGGCCGAGGCCTCTGCCCCCACCCCTGCTGGAGGCGGCCTGGAGACTGAGATGAACACCCCCCTCCATGTGTTAGGCAACATCCCTGGGTTTATTTGGCCTGTGCAAAGAGTGTATGGCTTTTTAAAGTGGAATTTGTTGCCAATGATTGACCAACTGGGAAATTTCACGTGGAAATCCCAACTCCCAGCTCACATTGGGGAATGAGAGCACTTGACTACACAGGCACACAGTCCCTCTGCCCTGCTCAGACCCTCCCTCCTGCTTCCCTCCTCAGGCCTGTGTGGCTTTGAGTTTGTCCCATAGTGTCCCTTTCTTTAATCCTCACAGCCAGGAGGAGGCAGCAGACCTGCGGTGGTCCCTGAAAAGACCCCATCTCACTCCCCTTCTGCACTCACATTGCCCACATAGATGGATCTGTGGTCCACTTCCACCTTCTCCACGGGGTTCTCAGGACAGGGGCAGCCTGCAGAGAGAGCAGCCCCAGGACAGATCGGGGTCGGGGGCTCAAGATGAGCTGGGGGTTTGGGCAGCTGCTAAAGGCAGGTACTTATGTTTACGGCTCATTCCTCAATCCTGGGGAAAGAGATCCTTGGGTCTGTTCTGGAAGGGTCTGCTGTTGCCTGTCAACCCAACACTCCCTGTGAGCCAGCCTCTTCCCAGCAGCAGCTCACAGCCCACCCTGATATACAGAGGAGGGAGGGGGCTCAGAGCCGCACGCCCAAGAACTTGGGGGCCCGCCTGCCCACCCACCTTGGGAATGGGTCTGCCTGGCCTGCTGGTGCCTACCTGTTTCAGGACTCAGCGGCCGTGGAGCCGGCAGAGACCTCGCTCCCCCTTCTCCTGCCCGGCCCTGTGCCCTGCTCAGCTCTGGCTCCTGGGCTTGCTCCATTGCCCACAGCTTCACTTTGATGGCCTCCAGCTCCTGCCAGCACACAGCCCCAGGCTGAGCCCCAATGCAGGACATGCCCAGCTCCTCTTGAGGGAGGGAAGAGGTGGGCTGGCCTGACCCCAGTGGTCCTCAGCGTTGGGGACCCATCAGGAACATGCTGGGGGCTTCTCCAAGGGGAAGGGGAAGGCCATGTGGACTTGGGCCACAGAGAAGCCCCTGTAACCCTCCCCCAACACATCAAGCTCCCTCCAGAGAGGCTGTTCTGCTCCCTCCAGCCTGTGCAGGGCAGGGCACCCCCACTACCCTCTTCTAGGCAGGGGACAGTGGCACTCTTGCCTCTGAGGCCAGAGCTGCAGTTCATCCCCTGCCCCCAGCCAGCCCCCACCCAGCCCCCACCCCACACAGGGAGCCCGAGGTCTCTGGCCGGCCTCCGCCCCATGCTCCAAGCAGCTGTGCTCCACGAGGCTGTTAACCTGGTCAGGTACTGGGTGCCCGGGCAGGTCCTCGGGCAGGTTCTCACTCTCGAGTAGAAACAGAGGGAAGCCTGCATCTTCCTCGCTGTTCTCTGCGTTCCCAATTTCCTCCTCCTCCTCTTTCCTGTCCCCACACTCCGGCTCCAGAGGGGTCTTCTCAGTCCAGCTCCAGGCCCCCCAGCCCTGGGCCTCGGGGTCCGAGGAAGCCCTCTGGAGCCAGGCCTCGGTGGGGGGTGGGAAGAGAGCACGGCTACAGAAAGGCCACATGGTGGCTGAAGATGAGGGGCCGGGCAGGCAGGTCCTCCAATGCTCACCTCCACACCAGCGCCTACTGGTGCCCGCCTTGGGTTTTAAGCCCTCCCCCAGGCCAGCTGCTCCCACTAAGCACTTACAAGGCCTGCAGGTGCAGCCAGGCTTCCAGCCCTGGCTTCTGGGTCTGGGGGAGCCAAAGGCCATGGACCTCTGCCCCTGTCCCCTTGTCCCTCACTGGGGCAGGAATCTCCAGGACACCCAGGGTGGAGAGGTGTATAGTGGAGGTGGAGCCCGGGAGGGCCTCCCCAACATCAGCTCAGCCTGGCTTGCTCTGAGGCCTGGGCTGGGGCAGTGACAACTCAGGAAGCAGATCGGAGTCACCAGTCCACACACCAGTGGCAGGCCACGGTTAAGGTGACACAGACAGGAGCAAGTTATCTGAGTGTGCAGGAGGAGGAAGGATGGCATATGGGTTCAGAGCAGGCTTCCTGGAGGAGGTGGCATTTGAGCCAGCCTTGATGGACCAGGTCAGGTCGAGTTGGGGCCAAGGATGGCCTGGGCACAGGGAACAGCTTGAGCAAAGGCCTGGAGTAGTGAGGACAGGGTGGGTGCCCAGGGGTCAGGGGTCTACCTCCATCCCTTCTCCTGACCCCTCCATCTGTCCCCCATGGACCCTCCCTTCCCCACTCTCATTCCGGACCAGCTTTTAGGTGGCAGCCACTTAATTGAAGCCAGAATCCTGCTCCGGCTACAGGGCACAATGGTTGAATTAAGTGCAGAGCAGCCAATGGGCTCTGGGGGCTGGAAGGCAATCCATAAAGCCTGCCTCTGCCTCCTCTACGGCTCCTCGTTGGCTGCCCAGGGAGGACAGCCACAAGCCCATGTCCCTGTGTGCCCTGGTCTCCTCCATCTGTCCTCGCCTGGCTCAGTCTTGGTGGAGGTCCTGTTGTGGCTTTTCTGTCCTCTTGACATTTTTACAGGGGACCCCTCTAGCACGTTCGCCCACCCCAGGCCATAGCTGGTAGGTCCAAGCTGGGCCAGTCGGGGGCTCTTCCCTGGGAACTTGTTACGGGGGAGGAGAGATGCAGGCCACAGTGGAGCTGTACTGTGAACCCAGAGCCAGGGAGCATTCCTCCCCCAGAGGCTGTGGGGGGGATGAGACAAGCGTCCTGGAAGTGGGGACACTTGTGGCTGCTGCCTCAGCCCTGGGAAGCTGTGGGCTTCTGCCCCTCTGCTCTCGAGAGGAGACGGTCTCCAGGCAGTCTCCTGGCCCCCAGTTGGCTGTGGTCCTTTCTGCATAGGCCTCCCAGCTCAAACACAGGTCCTCCTTGCCTCTCCCCTTTCTCCGGCTCCACACGCCTGCCCGTACTTACATGTGCACGACTCCAGGGGGCACTATTGCTACTGTACTGCTGCTTCCAGGGAGCCTCCCTGGTTGTTCCCTCTCCTTGTCGCACTGCTCCTGGGCCTCGCCCTCTGTCTGTCCAATATAAGTCTCACATCCCCATGCCTCCGCTGGCAGGCCAGAGTGCCTCAAGGGCAGTGTCCATGTCTGCACCGAGCACAGGGCCTCAGCCCAAGGCTGGCTGGACAGGAACGGAGGTGCGGCCACCGTCTGTCTTTCTCCCCTCACATGAGGCAGCTGGAGCCCACCCTCCTGTGCATCTGAGGCCTCACAGAGGGCCTCTGGTCAGGGCCCTTTCCTCTGCCTCCACATGGGAGGCAGGGCACCACGGGGCTGTGTCCAAGCTGAGAGCCGCTGGACTCAGGCCCAGTCCCCGGCAGCCTCCCTCTGAGCTCAGACCTCTGCAATGGAAAAATGTAGTCATCCCACTCTATGCTGAGATTGCTGACACACCAGGCCCAGCTGGGGCTCCCGCCAGCCGCCTGGCGTGGGGACAGCCTCGCCCCCACACTGGCCTTTGCAATGACGCCTTTCAAAATACAGCATGTTCCAAGCCTGGGCCCAAGTATCAATAACACCCGTCCCGCGGGGGCCGCCCGTGAAGCAGGGGTGCTAAGAACTGGGCACCTGACTCTGGATGGGACCGGCCCTAGGAACTGGGGCACCATGGCTGACACCCCGGCTCCTTGGGGGTCCAGGTGTTGCTTCCCGTGGTATCCACCTTCAGGGTCTTATGGAAAGTGCCCAGCACTGCCACAGGCAGTGGGACTCAGGGGCCATGAAGCCACAGGTGTCATCTGGGGTCTAGGGTCATCTAGATTGCCTCGGGGACACAACATTGGAAAGTTTACTGTACAGGAGACTGTGCGTGGACTGAGCAGGGGGTCATCTGCTCGTGTCCCATTCATACTCCAACGTACGTCACATGGTTGTTCACTCACTTGGGGCAGGATTTTGTGTCTCTTGGCTGGAACTGAGAAAGCTCCCAACACACGTTCAGTGAATATATGTGTGAAATGGGGCTTAGCCGGAGTCGCCTGGAACTCAAGGAGAGGCAGAGCCATGATGGCAAATGTTGGGCTTTATTACACAACACAGAGGTAACTGACGTGACCTGAATAGTAACATCTTACAGCGTCCAGGTCAAACAGAGTACATCAGAGGACACGCGACAGGGACGGCATGCCACGGATCCTACACAGCGCAAGGGAAACCCGTTACAGGAAAAACGACCCAACACTCACTGTCCAACTCCTTTTGGGGAATTAGAAAAAAAAGGAAAAAAAAAAAAAAAAAAAGAACAAGAGGAAGAGGAGGAAGAAGAAGTGGAAAACCAATGTGTTCCCCACGAGGTTGTGAGAGGCTGTGCCCAAGCCCCATTCCCACGGCCCGAACCCCTTGGCCTGCGAAGGACGCAGGGATGCAGTGGGTGAGCTGACGACTGGCCTGGCTGGGCCCCGGCCCAGTTTGGGAGCAAGGGCATCCAATGCCTTCATTCTAATATTTAAAAACCAGGCTCCACCTGGAGTCCTAACATGGCATTACTGCTACAAGGGGTATTTGGGGTGGTGCTCCAGGGGCCAGTTGAAAGAGAAGGAACGGAAGCATGCAAGATGGTGTTTTCTGGAACTTAGGGGGACCAGTACAGGCGCTGTCGCAGACACCCAGCTCCCCCAGGCCTTATCTGCGAGGTGTCCAGGGAGCAGACATGTCCTCAGAGTCCAGCTCCTGCACCCCCTCTGCTTTCCTCTTCTCCCTCCTCTCCTGCCAGCAGAGCCTAACCCAGGACCTCGATCCCGGGCCCTCCACCCCCATTTTTGGAAAATGCCCTGTGTGGCGTGGGAGCCTGAGGGCTGTGGAAACAGACCGCTGGGGAGAAGTGGGCAGGGGGCCTCTACGGGGCCTCTAGGTGCCCAGAACACTTATCACCATCAGCCAAATTCAGCCTGGGCGGGGTCTGCTCCTGCATCATTCAGCGCTCCGAAGAGCAAATTCCCATCTGTCCAGGACCCCAGGGTGGAAGATGGGAGAGGGAGTGGGGCAGGGTGACCGTGAGCGCTTGGGGAGAAGAGGGGCTCCAGGAGCTGGTGTCTGGGTTGGGGGCCAGCATTGGGTTTTTTCTTCCCCTTCTCCTTTCCTGGGGACACTTCCTTGGGGGCAGTGACCCCTGGAGGCAAGGAGAGGAGAGGCAGCCCCAGCCCACAGTGTCGGGGTTCTTGTCAGGGAATGTGCTCACCCTGACTGGTGGTTCTGGTCACAGGGTTCCTGAGTGGGTGTGTGGGCTACCTCTCAACTCACACTCCTGGCCCACGGTGGGCCCAGACTGGCCAGAGCTATTGTTAGGACTTTGCTCCAACCTGCCCATAATACCTGCAACAGAAACTTATCTGTCTCTGGAGCAGGCCTGGAACAATAACTGGGGCACTGGGAGGGGGCGGCTGTGCCCATAGGCAGGTTCCTTTAGGGCAGCTAAGGTCATGGGAAGATCCAAGCACCCTCGAAGCTTTGGAATACAGCAGGGGCTGGCCGTGCTACTGGGTTCAGTGGATGCAGAGGTGAATGGGTGGACGGGTTGAGGCATGGTTGTGTGGGTTAGATCGGAGGATGGATGGACACATGCATGGTATGTGTAAGGGTGAATGGTGGAGAGGAGCTGGATAGGTAAAAGGATGAATGGGGGAGGATGGGATCAAGTGATAGCTGGGATAGAGTAGATGGACTGATGGATGGATGTGGAGATGGGTGGGTGAGTGGGTGGATAAGTGGATAATGAGTGGATAGATGGTGGATGGATGGCCGGACGAATGGATGGGGGAGTGAGCGGGTGGATGGGTGAGAGGGTTAATGGATGGCCACACAGATGACTGGATTGGTCAGAAGATGAACTGAGGAAAGAAAAGAATCAATAAATAATTGTACATGGCCTGAGGAAATGGGCAGAATAATGGCTGGACATGTTGCTCGAGTGAGCTGGACAGGCAAGATGGGTGGATGACAGAGACAAGGCTTTGGTGTCATTTTGAGGATATATTTGGAAAAATTGGCAAACAGGCGAAAGCTAGGGCCTGAGCTGATCTCTCTTCACCACGCTGTTGGGATGACTCCAAAGCCAACACTGCCCTGCCCCTTTCCCGCCCATCTCCCTCAGCGATGGGACCTCTCGGGGCCCTGATGAGCAGCTCCACTGCCGAACCCACAGGCCAACCCCCTCCTGGGAGGCCAGCTTCCCTTGTCCTACAGCCCTGACCCCCCGGGACCACTGAGACTTTCTCCAGCTTTTCTCTTTGCCACTGGTAACACCCAAGGCTTCCCCATGTCCTGGTGAGCCATGGGAATGGGAACCCTCTCTATTCGGATGAGGTCTGGGGTGCGCCAGCCGGCCCGTGCATGGAATGGGAGACGCTGGTCTTTGCAAACAAAATACCCCCCAGACACCACCCTGGGTTGGCGACACAGCCTAAGAGGGAGACCAGCCTGGGCCCAGGGCAGGACGGAAAATAAGGAGACGACAAGAGGAGGGGATGGGAAAGGTTGAGGGTCACACACCAGGGTGCTGTCCCCCTGCCTGTGGGCTCTGGCTGCTGCCTTCCTGTCATAGTTTTGGCCCCAGAACAGGAGAGGTAAAGCTGCCATTTTGGTTTGATTTGTGGGGAAGGAGTTTCTTCCAGCAGCTGCATCTCACAGAGCTTTTGGGTCACCTGTGTGTCGGATCTTGGCGGTTACTTGTGGGGAGGAGACGCTTGCATGCCACACCCTTGGCCAATGGTCTGTAAGCTCAGGATGTACCAGGGCAAGATGGCCTGGCCTCTGAGCAGAGAGCAGGAGGCTACAGCCCCTTTGCAGAAGAAAGGCAGGTGCTCCAGTTGCGGGCACAGGTGTTGCATCAACATTCATGTTTAGCGCCATTAGTCTTCCCCCCGCAAAGCTACTGATTCCATGTTTGGTTGTGAGGTCTTTGGCCAGATGGGGCCTAAGCGCTGTGACCGACAGAACCGTCAGCTCCCTAAATGTGACCCAGTGCCCCAGCGCCTCCCTCAGAGCTCCCTGGGCGAGAGGAGCTGCCTTCACCAGGTCATCCCCTCCTGTGCACTCAGGCCTGGCTTTCTCACTGCCAGCTCCACCCACCGGCCGCCATCCCATTCCTGAGGGCGCTCTCAGCCAGCAGGGGCTGTCCATGGGCCTGTGGCCAGCCTCTAATGCTAGGTTTCTGCAGACCTGCCAGTGGTGGCTTCTGGGTATTTGGGATCTGCATGTGAGGACCATACCAGGAAAGCTTTTTATAGCTGGCTTGAGGGCACCCTCTTCCCAATAGCTAGGGTGGGAGGGCTGCCCCACCTCGGGCCCTCTGCCCATGGTCCAGCCCTGGAGGGTGGTCTGGCCTGGACACTGCCAGCTGGCCAATGTGCTAGTGTCCTTGGCATACTTGCTTGTTCCCAAAGGGGGACCATGCAAGGGGGAGGCAAACAGAGGCCCGCCCAGATGAGGGGCTCCTCTGTGACTTGCCTCAGACCAGCAGCCTCACCCCTAAGTCCACGCAGTAGGGATGTGTGATTAGGAGTCTTAGCCCTCCTCCCTGAGACCCCCAGCATTCCCAGGGCACACACTCTCCAGACATCCCGCTTGACAGCACAACCTTGTGGGAACAGAGTCCGAAGCGCCCACCTCCAAGGGGAGGGAAACCCATTTCGCCGCATGTCCAAAACTGCAGTTTTAATAGGCCCAATGCTTACAAGAGAGAAACACAGCAGGCTGGAAACAGGCGGGCCTCCGCTGTCTCGAGAGCCCAAATCCCAAACAGGTCCTTGCTTTTCTGAAATCCACAAAAGCAAACCTCTGAGAGGCTGATGGACCCACGCTCCAGGCAACAGAGATGGCGGCTGGAATGGGGAACTTTCTGGAGGGTAAGATAGACCTATTTCGGAATTAGGTCTATTTCGGAATTAGGTTTTCACTGTCGGGTGTGATTCGGGACGGCACCCGGTCTGTGGCAACCAGATGGGATCTTTCTTTTCAATACTCAGAAAGTGAATTCTTACAACTCTGAAAAAAAAAATAACAGTAATCAAACAAACCCATTGCTCCCCGTAGGACCACAGGTCAGATTTCTCTGAAAGTCGATTTCCTACACTTTACATACTTCTGCAGTTTCTCTTAATTTTTTTTTTATTTGGCAAACATTTCTTCTTTATTATCATCATGAGTATCATTATTTGGACCTCTGCAAGGACTATATACATTCACATTAACGTACACTATGAACTTCTTGCCTCTCGGTGGGGCCCCCCAGGAACCCCGGTTTCAGTAGCTGGTCACTCTCCATATTGCACTCCAGTCCTGGGAACTTCTTACAGCGATGCAAGAAAATGCCAGATCGTGGACCATGCTGCTGTTTGTCCTCCCATTGAGTACAGGCGAGAATTTCCTCACTCCTTTATTTCCTCCTTGAGATTGCTGGGGGCCTTGAGTTGGGTAGGGGGGACAGAGCTAGAGTGAGGGGACATTCCCCCTGAGGATCAGCTGGACAGAAGAGTGAGGTTATACACAGCTGACTAAGTCTTCAGAAGGTGTGGAGAGGGCAGGCTGTTGTTTGTAGTTTTTTTCTTTTTCTGCAAAAGTGTGAAGAACGAAGAGTAGGTTTGGGGGACACTGAGGGTAGGCGGTGACGGGGCAAAGACGAGCTAGGTAGGGCGGCTTTGAGGAGGGGAGAAGAGGTAGAGGAGGAAAAATGGAGAAGCAGTCGTTACAGGTGCAGTTGCTGTCTCCTTGTGCTTTGAAAAGCACTCAAGAATCAACCCGAAAGATTGTCACAGTTTTGTTTCAGAATTATGCTCTCTCTGGGAAGGACACGTTAGCACTTTTTTTCACAAGTGGAAGAAATGAAATGTGATGAGAATTCACAGAGGGCGTGAGGACAGATGGAGGTGTCTTCCCTGCACACGTGGTGTGACACATGGCTGGGCGCGCCCCGTGCGCACACGCACGCACTCTCTCGCACAAGGCGGGCGGGGTGCTGAGGCCACAAGGCTCACCACCCTGTGCCCAGCAATGTGCTGCCATCTAGTCGAAAAGAAACAAAAGTCGCTTCTTGGTGGGCAAAACCCTCCAAGCCCCAATATCCCAAACTCTAAAAACAGAATTGAAAGAAAAGACCAACATCTGAACAAACCCAAGAGTGGAGTAAAACAGTGAAAAAAATACTTTGGCAGTGACAAACAAATTTTGGATTTTGATTTCTCATGTTTGCTTTTTGGATTTCCTTTGGAGCAGAGGTGTGTGCGGCATCCTTGGCTGGCTAGCTGGCAAGGTAGTTTACAGGTATGCTTCCTTTACTTTTTTAAAAAAACTTTTTGGATTTCTACTTAAAGCCAAAGAGTTTGACATTGAAGGAAAAAAAAAAACTGAAACCAAAAATGCTTCTTGGGTCAGAAACTGAAGTCTTTCTTACTGTCTTCACCGAATCACGCACCTACCCCTGGGGTAGTTTCGGTGACGCAGAGGCTCAGATCTCCGGCTATAAAATAACAGTTTTCTTTTTCCCTTTTTAATCAGGAAGGGGAAAGCCCCCCAAAGTTTTCTTTGTCCATTTCTGAGAAGCTCTTTTGCCATAAATCCCCCAAAATTCTTCACTGAAAATATAAGCCCCCCAGTAATTAGTTTTTTTCATTAAAGAGAAAGTGTGAAAGTCATAAAGACAGAAAGAAGCGGAGGGGGGAGGAGAGAGCGAGAGAGAGGAGGAAGGGCAGGGGACAAGCCGGTGGTGTTCCAGCCGGTGTCCGCTCTGCTCCGTTGTCTAAAGCTCAGTGGGAGGTTCTGAGGATGCTTGAAGAGGTTGTTGCGTGAGATCATCAGGTAGCTGAGGAAGTTGCGTTGAATGCAGTTTTTGTTGGTTCTGTGTTTTCTTTTGGAGAGAAGCAGTAGCAGCAGTGACTCCAATGGTCGGGCTCCCAGGGCCCGGCGAAGCATCCGGCAACCGGGGCCGGGCGGGGTTGGTGGGCGCATGTCCGTGGGCCGAGCGGCGGGTCTGGGAGGGGTCAGCGGGGCGCAGCGTCCAGCGGGCCAGGGGAGCCTGGGCGAGATGGCCCTGTGGAGCCCGCTTCGCTGGGGCTGGCAGCACCCGTGGGCAGGCAGGGGCCCAGGCTGACGGTGGCGTCGGGCTGTCCTGGCACCGGGTCAGCCACCACCGCCGAGGGGCCCTGCAGGCTCTGGCCACATACGTGGTGGTGCTTCTCCCAGTCCTTGTGCTGGCAGAAGGAGCCGCAGTAGCGAGCTGCATTGCAGCCGCTGCAGGTCTCGCTGGCCTTGCGTCCACAGTTCCAGCAGCTCTGGATTGGGGGAAGGAGATGGTTGGGGGAGGGCCAGGGCTGGGCCGCTCCAAATCCCCAGAGTACTCAGCCCGGCTGCAGAATGGGGAAATACACCCTCTAAACAAATCGGCTTAGACCCAGCCAGGGTGTCAAGCGAGACAGAAAGACCCCAGAGTGCTACAGCCTGTGGTGACCATTGGTGACACGGCCCCTTGGCTGGGATATTTTGGGGGAATGGGCTCACACTGCTGTGCTGCACAACTCTAGCCCACCCCAGGTAGTTTCATGTTGGGCTCATAGGACCAAAGGGTCCTCACGAGGGCAGGAAGCTACAGCCCCTTTCCTCTCTTCCAGGAAGCCCTCCTGCTCCACCGGGGCTCCAATGCACAACGTGGGAACCCTGGCAGAATAAAACTGCCACGCTCTGACGTGGGATGTACGGCAGGCCTGCCTCAGTTGCACCCTTCCCATTGGGCCCCTGCCCCATTTTCATGAACAAATGTAACCCAGCCAGCCATGGGAGTAGAAGGTGGGCAGGGACACGGTTGAAGGCCCTGGGCTATGGGACAAGAAGTCCAAACCTGCCCTGGAGAGGGGCCCAGGTGCTCGTTTAGCCTCCAAAGCCTCCAGACTCCAATACCTCCTACTGTCCCTGGCTCATTCTGCTCAGCCACGTTGGTCTCGTGCAACCCTCACTCGGCCAGGTGTGCCTGGTCCCCACCCGGTCTTTGTCCCTGCTACTCCCTCCTGGGATGGCACTGTTCCCTGATGCCCGCATGCTGGCTCACTTCCTCCAGGACCGCTCAGATGTCCGCATTATTAGCCCTGCCTGACATCCCACCCTTTTCCGACACAGGTCCACAGCCTGAAATGCTCTGGGCCTCATGTCCAAACACCAGCATGATAATAATCTCAAACTTTCCTGCATGTGCACGTGTGTCAGGAACTGGGGAGGTATTTTGCATGCCACCTGGGGTCTTTACATCCTCCTCTTGCCTCCTGCTTTCACAGGTTAGAGAGAGCATGAGCTTTGGTGTTTGGAAGCCTGGGTGCAAATAATGGCTCTGCCACTTCCTAGGCTATGACCTTGGGCAAGTTACCGCCCCCTGGAGTCCTCAGTTTCCGTCTGTACAGTGGGGACACCCACAGGACCCATCTACCCAGGCCATGGGGCCCTGAGAGCCCCCAGGGCTGCCAAGGAGGCAGAGCAGCCCGGGACCTGGACTCAGGCTGTGGAGTGGGCCCCTACCTCGCTGGAGTCCTCCTGCTGGTTGACGACGGTGAGGGCGTCCTCCGAGGCCTGCCGCCTGGCCTCGGCCAGGGCCCGCTCCATCTTGGCGCGCTCCGTGCTGATGAGCTCGTGGGCCTTCCGCTCAGCGTCTGACACAGCTTTCTGCAGCTCAGACATTGCTTGCCTCTTCACCTCATTCACTGCCTCCTCTGCAAAAGGACATGTGGCCATGGTCACGTGGGCCATCCTACCCAGGTCTTCCGGGCCTTTGGCCCATAACCCAGGGGGTGGGGCTTGTGCACAAAGAAACATTCCCACACGGGTTTGCTAGCATTGTCATGGGGCAAATCTCCAAGCTCAGCCTCTCCTGCCGTGTCCTCAGACTCTAGTGTGCTGCGGCAGATTCGATGCAGGGGGTCTAGGAGGGCCATAGAATCTGCATTCCTAAGAAGTTCCAAGTGATGCTGCTGCTGCAGATCTCGGCACCCACTTTGAGAACCGCAGCTGTATTGTTCTGCCCCGTGGACAGTCTGCCTGGCCCTGCAGCCCATCCGGAAGCAGTCCGGGGAATGCCCAGTCCAGGGCTCTGCATTGTTATTTCCTCCGAAAGCTCTCTGTCATCTCCCCCATACTTGTCACTGCTGCCCATTCACGTCTGAGGATCCAGCATATTGTTCTCTCTGTGGCCAGGGAGCTTGCTCAGATTGTACCCTGCCCTCTGACATTGGGAACAATGTGGCCCCCACCCCCTACTAAATCACCCCCATAGCCTTTCAGGCCTGCCTCAGCTTACCTGGCAGTGCTGCTCTTGCAGCATGGTGTGAGACAGTCTGGGGTGGGATGAAGCAGGGCCCCCATTTAAGGGGCAGAGGTGGCCTTTAGGCCTCCCATCCGAGTGTTTGCACACTGTGTGCTGGGCTGCTGGCAGTGCCATCTGCAGCCACCTGCCCCCGTGTCACCACCCAAGCACCACATGGCTGTCACCAAGGATCCCATGAGGCCCTGCTGTGGGCCAGATGGAGGCGAAGGGGACAGGCCAAGGGAAATGAGGACTCCCATCTTCCTGTCCAGGTCTGTCCCCTACCTCGACCTAGGCAGCTGCTGCCTGGCTTGTCCCTCGGCCTCCAACTCTGAGCTGGGACCCTCCACTCTCACTGCTTTCAAGACGCCAAGATTGCCTACCTCTAATCACACTTCATACTAAATCCACCCACAAATCAAAACACGTCTGGGATCCCACCTCTTCTCTGCACCGCCGCCACCCCTGAGCGCCGGCCCAGCTCTCTTGCTGCCCGTGGGCTCCAGCGTCTGCCCAGCCCCTCCCCAAAGTCTGCTCGCACAATGCAATGAATCCCCCCCACAGCACTCCCCTGTTGCGGTGTTCAACACTATGTGCAGAAGACCACACAGATTCCAGCGCTAAGTGCCTCTCTCGTATGTGTGCATGCCTGTGCACACTGTGCGCATACTGGGACTGAGGCTCTGCTTGTTTTACTGAGCATCGTGTTGTTCCCTGGCAGGTGTGGGTGTAATCATTCTGCCCTGTATACTAAGTGCACTGTGACCCCTCCGTGAGCCCCATCCGTGAAGTCCTATGAACTTTGTCCTGAGCTGGGCGCCCCCCACCAGACAGGAAGAAGATCCTTACAGATAGAGAGGGCAAGAGGACCTGGGTTTGCGGCCCCCAGCTCCCGCCCCGTCATCCCCACTCACCAGCCTTCCTCCAGATCTCCTCGGGCATGTAGCTGGAGAGGGTCCTAGGCATGAACTCCCGGTGCACGTCTGAAACACAGGGGTCGGCATCACTCACAGGACGGGGTCACAGGGCCATGGTGTGAGTGTGTCCTTGGCAGGGGTCCCTGGGGCCCCTGGGTGGCAATGCTGTATCAGTTGCTAGGGTGCAGGCAGGGCAGTGTCCGGAAGGGACGTGCTTTGGACTGACGGACCTTAGATTCGACTGGAAGCCTCTGTTGGTGTCCATGATCATCATCCAGGGGATGAGTAGAGACCCACAGGCCACCGGAACTCTGAGTCTGGGCTTCCTAGTGGGTCAGCCAGCGTCTTTGTGCAGAGCCAAAAAGGTACCCCTTTTTCCAGTGAAGCTGTTTTGGGTGGTATTTTACTGCAGAGCCTGTATGAGGGCCCGGCCGCCTTTGGTCCGAGGCACCCCGTTCATGTGGTCCCTGCCCCATGGTGCTGCTCTCTACGTCACTCCCTCTGCTCCTCCCACCTCTCCCCACCACCACATACCTAGCTGAGACCCCTCTGCTCCTGCTGAGCTGCCGAGGGGCCGGGCTGTGGTGGACGCGGGGCCCTTCTTGGTGTCCTCAGCATCGCTGTAGCGCCGGACCCAGTGGTTGAGCTCCTCACGGTCAGCCTCCTGGCACCGGCGCAGCACGGTGAGGGACCGCCGCGTCTTCTCGGCCATGTCCATGATGCAGTTCAGGAGCTGCGGGTGGTAGTCGGGTGGCCTAAGCTCGCAGGGCCCTTTGCCCCCACTGCTGGGCCATGGCCAGCCCCACTGCCCGGAAAAACCCCTGAACAGCTGGGGCAGGGCTGGAGATGGCCCGCTGCTCCCTCCCCGGAGAGCACCGGGCTTGGGGGAGGCTTGTGTGAATGCAGGGGGCTTGGGGCCCTCCTTGCAAACCTCGAGGTGTGGTGCCCCACAGCACCACACTGGGGCCCACGTCTTCTACCTAGGCTTTCCCCAAAAAGGGAGCAGGGGCAAGGATAAACCTGGAGGTGGTGTGGGAGGTGTCCCACCCCCTTGCCAAGCGACCTCCTCCTGGGAGACTCTGCTGGAGCAGAGAAGGGAAGGTTCTCCAGGGCTGACTGGAAGTAGAGGGTGGGCCGAGATGGGTGTCCCCCACCCCCATGGTCCCAGGCCCCACCCTCCCCACGGCCTTGCCCCTGCTCCTCAAGGCCCCACCCCACGCCCCCCAAGGCAGGCACAGAGCAAGGGGGAGCCCATCTGAGTCCTGTCCCCTGAGTCCCACAGGTTGGGCAAAGCCCCTGGAGTAGCTGTGGCACCCATGCCCTGGCCGGGACACTCACATTGTTGAGGTGCTTCCACTCCTCAGCCCACTCGCGCTCTGTGAGCCTGTGGTCGATCACTTCTTCCGGCCGTGACCCGTGGACCGCTGCAGGAGGGGAGTGGGTGCTCAGGCCTCAGCCCAGGCTCCCAGGCCCCACCCATACTCCCCAAGCCCCGCCCTGGGCGCCCTGGGCTCCCTGGTCCCCTCCACATGCTGTGCCCACCTGAGTAAGAGGGAGAGGATGGAGAAGAGGACCCCGGGCACTGACCCTTTGCCCATTGCACTGAGGGGGTCAGACACAGGCCTGGCCTCTACTCAAGGCTTGGGGGGAAAAGACCCATGTCCCTATCCCTTGCTCTGGCTTTGGCCACCCTTCCTTTACCTCCCTGCCTACAAATCCTGCTGCTCTCACCCTTTCTGCCCACTACTGCCAACCAAGGCTGCCCTCAGGCCTTGCTTCTGGGGCCTCGCCACTGCTCAGAAGCTCCCAGGGCCTCTGTGTGACGACTGCCTGGCTCCAGCCCGAGCTTTACCACTTCCTCTCAGCCAGCGGGACTCCTGTGCGTCTGTCAAAACCCAGGTTACGGGCCCCTCCTCCTCCTCAGTATCCCTGGGCCTTCAGAATTCCTTAAGCCCCCGTGTGTCTCTGGTTGTTTAGTAATTGTAGGCGCTTCCTTGTTTAATCTCAGCCCTCCCTCCCAGCTCTCAGCAGGCTGTGTCAGTCTACAGAGCAGGGCCGGCAGGTCCCGTTCCGTGGCCCCTGGGCTGAGCTGCAGCCCAACAACTGCTCCAGCTTATCTGCTGGGTCTCACGCGAACTGGTCCAACCGTGGTCTCTTGGGAGACAGGAGGCCAGGAAGCCAGTAGTCCTGGTGATCATTCCCCATGGGACCTGGGACCATCATTTTGCCTTTTCAGGCCTTAGTTTCCCTACCTTGCCTATGTCGGGTGGGGGTGGGGGGCAGTGAGAAGACTTCCAGGAGGCGTGTCGGTGGGGAGAGCCTGGGGACCAGGAGGCTCTGTGCCCAGTGCTTTACATCTTTCATCCCTGCACTGACCTCGAGGGAGGCTCTGCTGTCATTGTAATTTACAGATGAGAGAACTGAGGCTGCTTCAGGGGACGTGTTTGCTCAAGGTCACCCTGAGCAGAGCTGTGCCTTTAGCCACTGGCTGGAATGGCTCCCGGGACTAAAACAATGGGGTGCCCTTCCTCCAGTAAGAAACAAAATTGCCATGAGCCGGGGCAGCAGTGCCCCAGTGTCCCCACCACGGTTACTCTTATGGTTTCAGACCTACCGAATGCTCTCACCCTCGCTGCTTTGGGTGCCCCTGCCTGTGCTGGGTGACTCAATGCCACTGATGCTTTTGGGCTGAGTTTGCTCTGTTTAGGCCTTCTTCACCTCGTAAGGGTCTTCTAGCCCCGCAAACTCAAAATGCCTCCCCAAATTGCAGAAGGGGTGAGAAGTGGCAGCCACAATACGCTCTCCACAGCCCTGCCCTGTTGCTCGTAGAGCCAGGGGCTTCGCCAACGCCCCAACCAAAATAGTGGTTGAGATCTGCCTGGCAGCTGGCATCTATTTTTGCATTAGCAGAAGCGGGTGGGAATAGCACCTGCCTGACCCAGCCACAGGGAGCCAGACGCTGTCACCTGCTGCCTGGGCAGGGGCCCTGGAAGCTTGCACGGGGTGGGGGTGAGGAGGCAGCTTTGGACAGAGCGAGGCCTCTGCTGACCCTGCCTCTGGGCCCCTCATTGGTGTCCTAGGCCCCTGTCTGTTTCTAGGCTGTTCCCCCAACACACTGGGGGGACCCTAGGATAGAAACTCGTCCTGTTCATCTCTGTCCCCAGAGGTTGGTCAGTGATCAGGCAGGTGTGGCTAGAAGACTTTGGGCATGTCAGTTGTGCTCTCTGGGCTTCGGTCTCCTCGTCGGTGCTGTGGGTATGCTAACGGATCACACACATATCGGAGCATGTTGTGGCCCACTTTAAGGACTGAGTCAAGGATAATAATGCAAGCAAGGGGGAGTGCTTCGCCCCAGACTTGTCACCACTATTATCAATAACAGCTGGGCTTCACAGCACCCACTCTGCTCCGGGTTAACCTGCTCAAACGTTACATGACCCTGAGGGCTGAGACTCCTGTTAGAGCCAGCAGACAGAGGAGGAAATTGAGGCACAGAGGTCGTGTGACCTGCCCAAGAGTGGCCCGTGGGGAATCAGCAGAGCTCAGAGGACAAGGAGGTCCGGAGCCCTCACCGCCACCACAAGCCCTCTGCTCCACCCAGGACCTGGGCGCCCCATCTCCTTCCCCCACACGGCCCATCCAGTGACCATGCTCTTACAAATTTGGTGTTTTTGTGTTCATTTTCACCCCACTCCCAGAGCAGGGTGGGCCTGTGTGGTCAGCGGGAGCTCATGAACCTTAGGGGGTGTCCGCTCTCCCTGAGCGGGCCGGCCATGCCTTGGAGGCAGGGGCTGCAGCTCCTGTGACTTGGGGACCCCACATGCTTGAACTGCCCATAAACGGGCTCCTCCTTGCTGGCCTGCGCATCCCACTTGCGGTAATGCGACTTATAGGAAACATTTGGTCATTCAGGTGACCAAAATCTCCCTCTTGTGTGTGGTCTTCATCCAGGGTTCCTGGCTCAGTGTTCCCAAAACCCTTGGAATTTCCTAAGTGTAAAGAGTGATAAAGGTGTCTTTTGTTAATGTTAGTGAGGTGACTTTGGAATAGGGTGAGTGTTGGTTGCTCAGAGAACCAAATGTGTGAGTAGACGGTTCAACTTTCAGTCCCACCCTTGACCTCCACGGTGGGGAGAGGGGCCGGAGGGTGAATCAATTGCCAATGGCCAATAGTCTAATCAATCATGCCTAGGTGATGCAGCCTTCATAAAACCTCAAAGGAAGGTTCGGAGAGCTTCTGGGTTGATGAACATGCAGATTTTGGGAGAGGGATGTGCTCAGAGATGGCACAGGAACGCCTCGCCCTTTCTCCATACCTTGCCCTGCCGTAAGTGTCTTCTAAGTTCTGTGAGCCCTTCTAGCAAATTAATTGAACCCAAGGTGGGGGTTGTGGGAACCTCTGCTTTACAGTTGATTGGTCAGAAGCACAGGTGACCTCGTGGCTGGCATTTGAAGGGGGTGGGCAGTCTTGTGGGACTGAACCCTTAACCCATGGGACCTAATGCTATCTCCAGGTAGAGAGTGTCAGAATTGAGTTCGATTGTAGGACACTATGCTGGTGTCCTAGAATTGCAGGGTGTCACGTGGGAAGCAACCCCCTACTTCAAAATTGGGCCCAGGAACCTAATTTATTGCCCTCCCTCTGCCCCCACCGCAGAGCCTGGCAGCCTCCCTTTTCTTTTCTCTATAAGGAGCTGAACACACCCGTGCAGGGCCAAGGGCAACTGGAGGGTGTGTGCCCAGCAGATGACCAGTGCCCCTCAAATTGAGTGGCTCTAGGTCCTCTAGGCCCCATACCTGTCTATACCTGCCTCAGTCCAGCCGGGACCCCAGGACAGGTTAACATCTACAACCATGCCCCTGGGGAGGGAAGGGGCCTCTTGGGACCTGAGGGTGAGGATGTTGAACTTCCCTGCAGGGGGAGGTCCAGGAGAGGTGGCTCTCCCTCAGAGGCTTCTGGGCGTAGCCCAGCCAGGTTGCGGATCCCCTCTGGGTCCTGGGGCCAGTTCCCCTTCCAAAGCCTTTCTCTATACCCATTTCCTCTGAGTCCTTCTTGGACAGACATGTGCACACAGTAGCTCTTGAATGCCCTCCCCCGCCCACACACAGCTGTACATGTGATCCTGCCAACATGTACACGTGTGCCACCCCCTGCCCCCAGAGCACTGCTCACTGAGTTGCCGATGGCGTTCCCGAAGCTCCCGGGGGTCTGGGTGGCGGTAGGGGTCACGGGAGTGGTGGGCCAAGGCCATGTCCTCGAGGCGGTAGTGTGGCGGCGTGGGGTGGGGCAGCCCATTGCTGGGGCTGTAGCGCTGGGCGGGGCTCAGGGTGCACGGCCGTTTGCTGAGGGGGTCAGGGTGCAGCGGGTCGCGGTCTGACCCATTCTCTTTGGTCCTGGCCCAGGGAGAGGGCAGGAGGCCAGTGGTCACGGAACCAGGAGCCGTGGATAGAGGTCCAAGCAGGAGGGGTGATGGGTAGACAGAGGCGGTAGGCAGAGAAAGAGTAAGGGGGAGACAGAGACAGAGACATTAGACCAGTCCATGGGGGCCCAGCCTTGATTCCCGTCCCTGGTGTGCAGGCTCCAGAGCCCAGAGATCAGGAGGCCTGAGCCTCTATTGAGAGGAAGAAGAGAGGGAAACACCCTCTCCTGGCAGCAGGACAAGATCCCATCTCTGAGCCCATAGCGAGGGCCAGCCCACATGCCTGGGCACCTCTGGCTCCTGGATGCTTGGGGTCCACATCTTGCATAGGGTAGCCACAGAACTTTCTCCAGACAGACTCCCCTCCTGCTTATTCCCTCGTCCACCCAGGGGGACATCTGAGTCCCCAGGAGGCCTTGCCACAGCCTGACAGGGTAGCCTCTCAGAGGCTTGGCCTGTGCAGTGGGCCTTGCAGAAAAGGCTGAACTTGACCAGCCTGCTCACTCGCTGCGGGCGGCAGCACTGACCCGGATTCTCTCAGCACTGGAACTGGGATGCCTGCTGAGCTATGGTGCCAGTTGTCTGATCCCTCCACTGTGCCCCTTCCCAGCCACAGAAAGCCTCCAAAGTGCCTACCTGTCAGGTGTCCTCCTCTTGCCGTTCTCATTGACTTCGAGCAGGAGCTCTGAGGAATCAATGGGGGAAGAGGCGTTGGCATCCAGCAGGAGCTGCTCGTGCTGGGCCAGGTACTGGGCAGGGGTCTGCTTGGCCAGGCGGGCGCAGTGCAGGAGTTCCCGCTGCAGCAGGGGCAGGTTTGCCTGCAGTGGGGAGAGAGGGGGTTTGGACTCACTGCTGATGGAGGCCAGGGCACAAGGGTGCACTGCCTCGCTCTGATACCAGGCAGGGGGGCTGATGGCCAGACTTGCTGTGTGACTTTGGGCAAGGCGCATGACCTCTCTGAGTATCGCGTTTCTCCACTGCAATCTGGGTACGAGGGCAGGAAGGACGGCTAGGCAGTACTGTGCCCCCTGGCCAGGGCACACAGTGATTTGGGGTACAGCGGGACCTGAGCCCAGAGCGTGGTCTCCCAGGCTGGGGCTTTTCCTCTTCACTGAGCTCCCTCCATTGTGGCATCTGGAGAAGGCGAGGAGGGGCCCATGATGACGATTCCTTGCCTGTGCCCCGTGGAAGCAGGCACCAGACAACCCACTGTCAGAGAGGAAACCAGGGCTTCGCGAGGGGAAGTGGCAGCCCCACACGCGCTACCTGCAGACGGAGGGCCTGGGAGGACCGTGGTGTGCCTGCTCTAGGCCCCATGTGTGCTGGCGGAAACCCCCGCGCGGCCTGGAATGAAGCTCGGAGCTTGGACTCTACCGATTAGTGTGCCAGTACCGCTCTGAGCAGTCACGTGTGTCACTGACCGAGGTTGTACCACCCGTGGCCCTTACAACCATTGGGGATGCACATTGTGACTCAGTTCCCCATTTATGGGTAAGGACACTAGAGCACAGGGGGTGGAAGGGTACTTCGCAGGGAGCACAAGATTCAAACACAGATCCCGCCTGCAAGTATCATGCCTAACAGCTGTGCCCTCCTGCCTGTGCCCTTGCCCTGGCTCTGGGCCTCCCAGAATGCACTGCTGGGCAGTAAGCAGGCTCCTCATGTGCCTTCTGAAGAGTCTTCCCAGAGCTACTGTGGGGAGGGGGGAGCAGGCTGGAGGGAGGCCCAGCGGCAGGCCGCTTGGGAGAGCCAGAGTTCTAAGTATTTGTAAATAAATACAATTCCCCAACTTTCTCATGGTGTTTCAAAGCTGCCACACAGCCCTCTCCTGCCTTTGCCTCCCCAGAACCCATTAGCGCACCCGGACCCAATCAAGCAGCCGATGCAGTTTTGTCAAGCAGTGCCGGCTGCCAGGCCTGTTTTTCTATTTGGATAGCTGAACGGGGGCCAGCCCGCCATCTGTCGAACATGTTAGGAGCATGAGCTGGGAAAGGAGGTCCCGGGAGGTCTGAAGACGCCAAACATCCTCCTCTCCCTTGCCGGCCCCTCCTCTCCAGAGCAGCCTCCCCTTGGCTGGCCCAGCAGGGTGGGGACAGCACGGGCACCGGCTGGTCGCTGTTGGGGTGGTGGAAACATCTGGATTCTTGGCCGGCTGGGGCCAGCTGGGAGCCGGGGCCACGGGTGGAGGCTGGCTGGGCGGGGCAGCCTCCTCCAGCTTCTGGAAAGCTCCACCACTCTGCCACGCACAGTGTTGCGCTCAGGAGAGGGTGCAAGGGACATAGGGTCTTTGCCGGGGGCGGGGGCCCGGGGGACAGGGACCCCAGCCCAGAAGAAATGGGTAGAAGCTGTGGAGAACCATGTCTTGCAGATTCCCCGGGGGCAGCAGTCCCCATTGTGTCCCGAAGGCCCCGAAGGCCCCGAAGTCTCCAAAGGCCCCGGTGCCAGGGAGGCTTCACCACTTTGAGGCTGGACAGGCTAAAATGGCGGCAAAAGCTCTGAGCCTCAACTTCACTGTCTGAATGAAGGTTCTGATGCTGCAGAAAAGCCTAGAACTACCCTCTTCATAGATGGGAACTCCGGCCAGAGCGAAATCGGGGTTTGCAAAAACAACCACAAAAAATAGTGGTGTTATTTGAGCGGACGTCTCCCACTTAGCAAAGGTTTGTGATGTTTCTGCCGCTTCGTCAAGCACCTCCGCTACTGCCCACAGAAACTGTGTGACTGTGGGCCCTGTGGACAGCCACCCCTGCTCTGCTGTGTGACCTTGGGCAAGTCACTTAACTCCTCTGACTTCTGCCTCATCTGCAACTGGACCTGTGAAAAGCACCTGCTCCTCCCACCCTGGATGTGACGGGCTCCTGGGAGCATCTTAGAAATTAACTCATCCACTCCCAGCCCCATGGGATGGGTTGTCCCATCACCAGTGATGGCAGAGAGGGCTGAGGCTGGAGTTTTTCAGACGCCCACAGCTGGATCTGGGGTCTAAGCCAGGCGGCTGCCCGAGCTGCACTCTCAGCCACAGCTCCTACCTCTCTGCAGTACAACATCTGCACGGTCCCCACCGTGAGGGTGCATCCGCGCTGCCCGGACAGTGGGCCTGGCACACCACCGCTGTGCCAGCGAAGGTCACAGAGGAGGAACCGAGGCGGCACAGTGCACCGGGCGGGGGGTACTCCCGCTGGGATCCCCCGTGGTACTCTGTATCCTAAAGCAGCCAGGGCTCCTCCAGCAAGGGGGGTAGGGGCTGCTCCCTAGGCAGGACCATGGGGCCAGGCCAGAGCCTTGTCAACAGGAACTGGAAACAACTGGCTCCACCCCAGGAGCTCCATGTCAGCGGGAGGAGTGGACTCTGTGTCCTTGACAGTCTGTCTGCCCAGGGCCCTGGGTGGGATCCTGGACCCCGGCTGTTGCAGGCAGGCCTCTCACCCTATAGGAAGAACTATCTAGGCACGAAAGACATGAGAACTGCCCATAACACATGAGAACTGTTGGGGGCAGAGGGGAAACTGAGGCAGAGCAGTAGCTCAGCAGGCAGCGCTAGGCTGGGCACGTCTTGTCCGGCGCCGCATTGGGGTGTGCCTGGGAGGCTGCTGGGGTGCAAGGCGCAGTGGCCAGTGAGTGGGCAAGGCCTGGCTGGGGCGAGCAGGGGACACGGATGTGGGCCCTACCCCTGCTCCTCGGATAAACAAGGGCAGCTGACGCGGGCGGGCGGGACATCTGCTGTAAATATTTGATCCGACAGAATAAGCAGGCGCGCTGTGTCCCCAAAGATGGGGAGCGGTGGAGTCAGCAGTAAGTTGAAAGGAGCAGAGAGAAGGGAAGGGCTCCTAATGAATTGCAAATGACTGCCAGATGGGCCCGAACCCTGCTCCATGCCAGCAGCCTCTTTGTCGCCAGCTCAGGAGTGTGAGCACAGTGGGGTGTGGGTGGGAGGGCAGGAAGGAGGGAGGGAGGGAGCAGATGTGGGGGTACAACGTGGGGTTCCCTTGGCAAAGGACTGCAGGGAACAAGGTGCTGACCCGGGGCATACCCTGTGAAGGCAGGGGGGTTTGGAGTCTGATGGATCCAGGTTCCAGCCCTGGCTCCATCTCTCCACCAGCGGCAGAAGACCTCAGGGCCTCAGTTTCCCCGCCTGTTAATCAGGAACTGTGCCTGTGCCACCCCTCCTCACAGGGCTGCTAGGGGTCAGCAGGGCCGGTGTTGAAAGAGCTTTGCAAAGCATGCCTCTTGCGGAACACTTAAGTCCCTAGATGATGATAACCAATTCTTCACGTGCATTGCTTTATGCAATCTTCCCTACAGTCTGAAAATGATTCCCATTTTACAGTTGCAGAAACTGAGCCATGGAGGGGTGAGCCTGCCTGGTCCAGGCCAACGGGTTCAGTTGCAGAGGCTGGGCTCAAACCTGGGAGTGTCTGGTCTGTCCTCAAGACCCTCTGGAAGGCAGCCCCACCAGGGCCCGGCCATGCAGTGAGCAGGGCCCATTCTGGAAGCCCCTCAGAGGCCTGGGAAACAAGAGTCCCAGGGAGAGGCCAGTGACACTCAGCGTGGCATCTCTCAAGTGAGCCCCACAGAACACTGACCTCGGGATGCACAGCAGCAAAGGGTCACGGGGTCAAGTACATTTGGAAATTGTTTCATCTCGGCCCTTGTGGGACGTGGGTGACCCTCGTTTGGGGAGGCAAAGGCCCTGAGAAGTCCTGCAGTGAAGACATCGCTTTAACACGGTTTAGGCCTGTGCCTGTGCTTGTTAAAGTGCCCGTTCTGATCTAGCGGACCTGCATTGCTCATAAGCCCCTGGTGCTGCTGCTGAGAGGTCCCCGATTAATTGTTTATCTTCCTTATTTGACCACATGACCTTTTATATATCTGACAGCATTCATCTATTCACCTTTTCGCTAACACAACCACCCACCATCTGTCTGTCCACCCAGCTGTCCCTCCATCTGGCCACTGTCCCTATCCCCTTCACTGTGTTCCAGCTACACAGCCCCCTCGCCATCCCTCAAACACAGCAGGCACACCCTGCTGCAGGGCCTTTGCACATGCTTGGAAGGAAAGCTCTGTGCCCTGCCATCCACCATACTCCCTCCCTCCCCTCCTCCCCATTTGCCCGCTCCTCATGTCACACACCACAGAGTTTATCACTACTGCTGATTGGCTGCCTCCTCTCCCTCCAGGCCATTGGCTGGCTCCAGAAGGAACTGTGTCTATTTTGCTCATGGCTATATCCCTAAGCCTTGCACAGTACTTGGCACGTAGTAGGTGCTCAAAAAATAGCCATCCAGTAGACGAGTGCCTTTGGCCAATAACAACAGGACCGACTGGGGAGTTCTGTCTTAGGGCACTTGGGTTTGGTAGCCAGCTAATCTAGCCTGGTCAGAGCTGTTCCCCTGGGGTACCAGATGGGCTGGGCATGACGCCTGGTCAGAGCTGGCAGGGAATGGACTTGGGGCTCCTGGGGGAGGCCTTGGCACGAGGGAGTAGGGTTTGCTGTTACCTTTAGGAAAGGGATGACAAATGGGCGGAGTGGAAAGTTGGTGGCCTCCTGGAGCTTGGAATGAAACTCCTCAATGGTCAGTGTAGAGTTCTGAGGGGAGAAAACCACCAGGCGTCAGCCCAAGCCCTGGCTGCCCAGCCCGGAGAGGGCAGGAGGCCCCAGGGCTGGGCATGGCCCAGTGGCACCATGTCCTTGCTCAGCAGACACATGTCCTCTGAGGCCATGCTGCCCGGACTCACCACAAGCCCCAGCACAAGCGTGCGCACACGCTCCCCGATCTCTGGGGAGATGTCGCTGCCGAACTGCTGCAGGGTGGTGAGGAAGCGCTTGAGCTTGCTGAGCTGCCGCGCCCCACAGGCTGGGGGCAGGTGCTGTGTGGACAGTGAGGCCGTGGACGAGGTGGCCGGGCCATTGCTGAAGCCGTTGGGCGTGGACGGGGTGCCGTTGATGGCCGTAGGCGAGTGGCTGCTGCCGTTCATTACTGCAGGGGAAGAGGGAGGCGTGAGGAGCACAGCAGGGAGCTGGAGCCCCCGACCAAAGTTGCAAGGATGCCATGGGGGTACCAACACCCTTTACAGATGTGCAGACTGGGGCCCGAACAGGTGCAGCCTCGCCCCAGGTCCTCAGTGGGTGGGGGCTGTTTGATCAGGCCCTCCACACCCCAGGGGGATGCCAGGCCCCCGTGCCGCCTGGCGCACACCTACGTCCCAGCCAGGCTGCTCAGCGTCCACTGCGGACAGGCAGAGGGCTTCTCCACTCTGAGGGGTCTGATGGCCCACTTCAGCTCTTCTCGGGAGAGGCCACTCATCCGCCTGGGAGGCCGGCGACCCCACCTGCACCAAGACAGCCCTGAGAGGTGCCCGCTCCCAAACAGGTGCCGTTGCCTGCACAAGGCCCCCAGTGCCTGTGCTGCCAGGGCTCGGGTGGGGACGCTCCAGGACAAGTGGGGCTGGAGCTCGGCAGGGAAGCCCCTGCGCTGGCTGCTGCCTGGCTGTTGCACAGGCAGATGCGTGCACACACGGGCCCCAGGCTGTACGTGTCAGGGACCCACCTTGAGCACACTGTGGGGGCCTCGGGGGCAGTGGTTAGTTACCCAGGCCCTCCCACTGGGGAGATCGTCCCAGGGAGTCCCAGGGCTGGCAGAGGCCAGGGTGCTGTGAAATAGTGCTAGGGCAGGACCTGCTCCCTTACCCTTGGGTGACAGTGCCTTCACACTGGAGGCTGGGGGAGCCCCTCTGTGCCTGACCACCTGTATCCCAGTCCCCCAGTCTCAGAAACCCTAGTGGTGACCTCTAGGGTCTACAGAGAGGTCAGAGGTTGCAGGGTCCCAGGGCCCTTGATGACAGGCGGAGGGGGTCAGGGGTTGGGGGAACAGGACACCTCCGGGAGGCCTGAGGCTCCACTGCTAAACCTGGGGGCCACTCGCACCTTGTGTCCTCAGCTGCTGCACAGGCACCTGCTCCAGGCGGCTCACTTTCGTTCTTACACTCAGCCCCTGCACACTTGTCTGCCGGTTCCCTTGTCCTGCACGTGTGGGCACTCCCGGCACCACCGGGGCTGGGAGTGGGCATCCTGCCTGAGGCCCCAAACTGCCTGGACTAGCCTAGACGCTGGTAAGACTTGGGGCCTGGCCTCAGGTTCTTCATATGCAAATGGCCCTTGGCCCAAACCAGGGGTGGAGCTTCTCTGCCCCACAGGTGCCTGGCCCCTCTGCTCCAGGCTTCTGCAGCTTAGAGAACCAAAGTTATCCTTCCACCAGGGGAAGGAGCCGGAAACGCTTGATCTTGATTGCTTTTATGTGTGGGTGATCGCTCATCAATAACTGGCCCCGACTTGGCAGAAGTCTGGAAACCACTGACTGGAGGCCAGGGTGACACAAAAACAGACGTGCTACCCCTTCCTGAGGAGGGACGGGCGCAGGAATGGAGCCCCGTGCCCTGCGGCTGGGGCCCGAGGCCTTCTCAGCACGGCTTTCCCTGCCCCGGAGATGGGGCCACCAGGCAAGCAGAAGCCTGTTTGCCTCCCTGGTCTGGGTGACCCTAGAAGCACCGTGTGGGCCCCAGCAGTGAGGCACCGGCTCTGGAACAGTCCCACAGGAGAGGTGCACCTCGCTCCGGCCTCGCTCCTCGCTCTTGGATGGAGAGTAAACTCCGGACACGAGACAGGGTGAGGCCCTGTCCCTCACCCTGTCTGAGGCATCATCTAGAAGACGCTTAGACCAGAAGACCCCGCTTTTGTGCTAATTTTCTGTCTTGTTGGTGAGCTCCAGCCAACCCCATGGTGGACCCTGACACACACACACCCTGGTCAAGACTGATGACAGCCACTGGCGGTCACCCCAGCCAGGTCAGGAAAGGGCCCATTGCCATGGAAGACCTCTCTACAGTGGGGGTCTCATTCCTTGCGGCAGAGTTGGGCTATCACCTGGGGTCTGGACCTTTCAGAGGCTCCTAAGATGGATGGCTGTCCACGCGGCCTGGGTCCCCACCCTCGGCCCCGGCCCAGCCTGGGCCCGGCCTCCCTGCAGCTCCCTTACCAGCCTGCCCTCGGTGCCTGGGTCCTCCCGGAGGCCTGCTTGCCCTCGCTGGCCCGTGCTCCCTCCCTCGGGCTGCCGGGCAGTCTCAGCAGCTTGCTAAAGAGACGCCGAAAATAACCCCAGCCACAAGTGCTTTCATTCCACAACAGGTGTGTTACTAAGTTAGACTGCACACGTGTCCCTGGCTGAAGTTTGGGGGCACACACTAGCACCCCCGCAGCTCCCCCAGCCCTGGGCCTGGTGGGGGTCAGCCTGAGATGATGAACCAAAAGCAGCCTCCCTGCCAGCCCCTCTCGCTGCAGCAGGGCATCTCTGGGGCTGGGAATCAACACGGTCCTGAAAGCACTGCAGCTCAGCAAGCGAGCTGGACATGAGAGCGAAGTCAGACGTCACCGAATAATAGCAAGGAGGACCATGCATCACAGGACATGAATAATGCACAATTGTTCTGCCACCTCCCCTTGGAGCCCAGAGCTATGCAGCAGCCATGTCTGGGCTGTGCAGCCCAACTCGCTTGAGACGAGTGCCTGTCCTGACACCAGCTGACAAACGCTCTGAGCATCGCTCCATGAAAACTTCCCCTTATGGACACTGGATGTGGCCTGAGCACTTTGACAGAAATGTCCACTAGTGACTAGTGCCCACTGAGCACCCAGTGCGTGCCATGCTTCATGCCGACTCCACCAACAGCATCTGATGACTTTCCGGTGGGGAAACGGAGGCACAGATGGTGGCACCTGCCCAAGGTTACTGGATGGGAAAAAGGAGCTGGGATTCGACCCAGGCTGGTATCTGCCCTTGAGATGCTGGGCTACGAACTTGCACTGACATTCTACCTTCTTACAACTCTGGGATCTGCTATATTTTCCGTGTTTGGGGATTAGGAAAAAGGAACCCAGAGAGGGTGTCCACCTGCCTAAGGCCATGCAGCTTGTGAGGGGCAGGGCTGGGCTGTGACTGGGGGTCTGAGGACTGCGACTGCCTTGCTCTCCTGGGCCTGTCCCTGAGACCTCTCTGCTCAGGCCTCACCCACATGCAGGTGCAATGGCGGCTGTGCAGGCAAGTGGGGCCATTGGCTCAGCCTTCGCAGGGCAGAGGGTGTAGGTGAGAACCTCCCAGGAGGCCTGTGGTTTTTGTTATTTTACTTACAAAGACAGACCATAGACCATTTTAAGCAGCCATGAAAACGGCCATGGGGCAGAGACATCGCAGGCCCATCCTCTCGATCTGTAAGCAAAATAAGAAAAACACTCTGTGAGGAAAGGGGCCGTGGGCAGCCGGCTCTGCCCTGCGGGGGTCTGCACTCGGCCCCTCCCCTCTCTGCTTCTGGACTGCAGTTTTGGGGATCAGGACTGCTGCCGCCTTGGGCCAGTCATTCCCTTCTTTGGGCCTCAGTCTTCTCTGTAAAATGATGGGGCTGGATGGTGGCATCTCTTAGGGACATTTTTGGCAGGCCCTTCTAGGGGTCTACCAGAAGTTTGGCCTCTCCATCTGCATGGGTGGGACACCCTGGTTCTTAACAAGCTCTCTTCCTGGAAGGTGGTACCTGGTGACCCCATTCAGCATCATCCTCAAGGGACCTAGAGCCTGAGTTGACTTGTGAATCAGGGCTTGGGGTCTCCATCAACAGACAACCCAATGGTGGTTCCAAAATGAAGCTCAGGACCCAGCTGCCACGAGGGGAGAAGGCACCAAACAGGAAGCAAGATTTGATGTGTCTGAGCTGGAGTTAGTGAGGGGAAGCCGCAAGGAGACAGGCTGTCCTGCTGTAATCAGAGAGTGAGCCCCTTGTCAAAGGGGGTAATCAAGGGTAGGATGGAGCGTTAGCCCTTTGAGGGTCCTCCCAGCTGTAGAGTAGCTCCCTACATTTCCTCCCAGACTCCTCTTAGTCCTGCTGCCCACCTCTCTGGCCACACCACAGTTTCAACTCCAAAATGAATTTGTGCCCAGGGCAGTCACTGGGCAAGAAAACCACAGCTTGGTTCAAGGTCAGCCTCTGGTCAGCTTGGCTCACAGGCTGGTCCCGGGTAAGCTGGGGAGGCTCTTGGCAGGAATCCGCAGCTGAGCGCAGGGGTGCCTTCTATTTGGGCTGCCACCAGCCAGGTGCATGGACGTGGTTAACCACCCCGCTTTCAGGGAATTCCTCGGCAGGGAAAAAGTCTGAGGCCACTTTGGAGGTAGCCTGACACTCAGATAGACAGTCCCAGCAGCCTGATAAAACTTAAGCGTCGGCTTAGAAAAGAACGACTTGTCTCTTATGACCTCTGTGCTCTAAATAGAGCCGGGACCTCAAATCCAGGAGTGTGAGCCCGCAGTGGCGGGGGCGCACGGGGCTGCGAAGGGTGTGAGGGGAGGGCGGGAGCCACACACAGGCCTGCTGCCCGCACGCACATCTGTTCACAGGCCGCACCACACATGCAGGGGCAATGTCAACGGACCCTAGGGCCCTGTCCCCAACCTGGAACATCTGGTCCCCAGACCATTGCTTTCTGGAACATGGGTTCCTGGATCAAGAAGGAAAAGTAGGTTGAGGGAGATGCACATGCCCGCAAGGGCTGGAGACCCAGCTCGGAGCCTTGGCCTGGCCGTCAAGTGCCCGCTGATTTCTTCTGCTTGGAACGAACGTGAAGTGGGTTGTCACTTTAGGTGGCGGCCTGCAGCCTTTCTTCTTGGGAGCTGCTGTTGCCCTGTCATGAGCAATTAATTCCTCCTCTCTGCAGCTGAGGTGCAGGCTGTGGGGTTGAACACAGCTCTCACCTCCTCTCTCTGCCTACTGGCCCTGACTGGGTGGCAACTGTTGCGTGGACAGAGATGCTGCCTACGATTCAGTCACAGGTGAGGACTGGCTCTTCTGGAAGAGAGGGAGGGATAACCAGGCGGCCACAGTAGCTGTGCAAGAATGGTGAGTGGGAGAAAGCCCAGCCTCTGGCCCCTTTGAGTATGGCTGATACAGACAGACAGGGACCTGCGGGCTGAGAACGGTGGGAGAGTGCCCTGCTGCCCTGGGCCCTGTCCTGGTGCATGCGGCAGGGCCAGGGACCCGTTCCAGTGTCTGTGATGCATGGGGACCTTGCCTCAGACCTGGCAGAAAAGGAGAGCTGGAACCTTCTGTGCTAGGTGAAGGTGCAGGGAAGGGTGTTTGGTCACCAAGCTCCTACTGTGTGCTGGGATGTCCCTGCTTCCAGGCTGCTACACGTGGAATCAGCCCCATTTATCAAACCCAGGCTTGGAGGGGTCAGGAGACTGGCATAAGCCAGCATAGTACAAACAGGGGGCCAAACGTGACCCCACCGCCAATGCCTTTTTCCTGAGGGAGCCTGGGCCTCGATGAGGCAGGATCTGGCCTTGGGAGGCAGAGCCAGCGCCCTTTATGTCCAGGTACAAAGGGGTCCAGGCCGGGCCCTGCGGTCTTCCCCAGGCTCTGGGCCCTGGCTAGAGGCAGCAGCTCTTACTTCCCAGTCCAGTGGGGACTGGGAGCCACAGGCTAAGGAGTCCAAGGCTCCTGCGTCCCCCAGAGAGGCTTCATTTGGGTTTCAAAGCCTGGGGCAGGGTCCCCAGGTGTGGGCTTCTGGCCTCTGAACGTAGGGGTGGCGGTGGCACAGGGATTCTCCCCATTGTCCACCAGAACCCTCAGGGCACACTGCTAAGCCCCTGGCCTTGGGGTCAGGGAGCACCATCCCCACACTGGCCCAAGCACAAGGGTTTCCTTCCTAACTGTTCAGGACCCAAAGTCACTGAATGCCCAGCTTCTGTGACTCTGAACCACCAGGACTCCAGCGGTGGTTGTGGGCTCCAAGATCCCTGAGCCGCTGTGAGTGCTGAGACCCCCCCACCTGGCCCTACCCAGAGCTGGTGAGACACCACCCGAGGGCCTGTTCTACCCACCATGGTGCTGGGAGCCGCGGCCCTGCTAACCCCAGGCTCTGGCCAACCCGCCAGAGCCCCCGGTGTCTGAGCTGGTGTGGAGCTCCCCTAAAGCCAGAGCCATCTCTGATGAGCTCTCCGGCAGGGTGCAGGCCTGACTGAATTCGCCTGTACTCTAGTAACCTGCTCGTACTCTGCTATCCGACCGTGCCTGCGTTCCAAATACAACAGCTTACTTGGATGGAACGCTCACGGTGTGCTGGCCTCTGGGCAAGAGCTTCTGTCTACTCACCTGTATTCACAGTAGCTGGGTGAGGCAGGGGCTACGGCCAGCCTTGCTTTATAGATGAGGAATGCCAGGCCCCGAGAGGCTAAGTAGCTAGCCCAAGTGCACGCACACCTACAGAGCAGAAGAGCTGGGATTTGGACCTCAAAGCTCGGCCTGAGCCATGATGAGATCCTCCCTCTCAAGGGCCTATTGGTGGGTGTCGAAGGGTTTAGGGTGGAGGGACCATAGCCCTGACTCTTTTTGCATGAAACAAGGTTTGGTGCCTCAGATGACCTGAGGGCCCCCAGAGGCACCCCTTCACGCTGCCCGGCCCCGGAGTTACTCACTTGTGTGGGGCGCGAAGGAGGGATGCCGCGTGGTGCCCTGGGAGGCAGAGGGTGGAGGGGGTGGCATGCTGGGGGGCGTGGACCGGGGCTGTGTCTTCACCTCAGCGGGGGAGTCGGGCATCGCTGCAGCCTTCTTCTCCTTCCTGTCCGCTGCTGTGGTGAAGGTGGGGGGAGGGGAGAAAAAGAGAAAGCCGGTGAAGCAGGCGGAGAGGGAAGGGGTCAGCACCTCCCCAGCCCCACTTAGGGCCTGGCCAAGGTCCCTCCACCCACCACCAGCAGCTGGGTTTGGGCCAGGTGAGGGACACCCCACTGGACCCAAGGCAGCTCCTGCCTCTGCCCACAAAACCCGGCCCAGTCCCAGGGCCTGACCAATTCCAGATAAGCCCCAGGTGTGTTCCCAGGTGGCTGACATTCCAGCCACCTGGACCAGAGGGTGGGTTTGGGTCAGCCCATTTCAGGCAGGCTGGAGGGTGCAGCTGCAAGAGCCCTGGGCAGGCCAGAACGGGTGGAGGTCCTCACTGGAGCGGCGGGTGGCCCTGGGCCTGCAGACCAGGGAGCCGGACAGTACCCCCTGAGGCAGCCTCTACCAGTACTTCCTGAAGGGCCTGTTCAGACATACGCGCCAGCCTCCCTGCCCCCATTTCTGATTCAGCAGGTGAGGGGAGGGCCCGAGAATATGCATTTCCATCAGGGTCCCAGGTGAGGCTGCTGCAGCGAGTTGGGCCCCACTCAGGCCGGCCTGGGGAGGTTTCTAGGAGATACTGGGTGGTAGGAACCTCAATTTAACCATCTCCTCATCCTGGGTGATTCCTGGGAGCAGCCAGGCTGGGGACATCATCAATTTCAGGCCATTTGAGGCCTGGCTAAATGGACCAGGGGTTGTAGCCCTGGACACTGTGTCAAGAGTCCCACGTGGTCAGACGTGTGGAGAAGGGGTGGAAGTGGCGAGACCAAGCCTGGGGAGGGGCCTGAGCCCCTGGCTCCACAAAGCAGGACCCAGGGGAGAAGGCCTGCGTGCATCTGACACATACCCGGAGCCACAGCTGTTTAGGCATCATTTGCAGGTGAAGAAGGGTGAGCACTGGGCCTCCCCCTACATCTCAACACAAGGTCAGCCAGGGCCCAGGCAAGCTGCAAAGACCTGGGAGCGGCGGCTGGGATTCCGGGTGGCCCCGCTGCTCAGGGCTGTCGAGATGGATGTTCTTTCTTTCCCTGTTACATGAAGAGGCGCAGCCCACAGTGTCCTGAGCTCAGCTTGCTAGTGCCGATGGGCGTCTCCCCTGGGCCAGGGACGAGGTGGGGCAGAAGCACTGTCAGGCTCAATAGCCCTCAGCAGTCACTATGCAATTATAGTTCTTGTCTCCTCTGCTCTCCCCCCACATTCTCCCTCCTAGAGGCCCCCCATGATCAGGGGGGTGTCAGGGCAGACACATAGACACACGCATGTGTCTGGGGCGGCCCGCCTTTGGGGATGATGACTAAAAATGCTAACAAATGGCATTTACCATTATTTCATGCCTAATACTGTGCAAATCTCCCATCATCTGCCCCTACCTCCCCCTTCACAGAGTGGAGGTGCCCACCCATCTGCAGCACTGGGGAGGGGCTCTCAGAGTTCTCCTCGCTCCAGGGCCCGTGGGGTGAGAGCAAAGCCCCCTCCCTGACGGGCCCCATGGAGGGGAAGCAGCCAGAACCAGCAGCTACCCAGCCTCGCAGCACCTGCTGTCCACTCAGCTGCAATTGCTGGCCTCCCTCCCGCCGGGCGCCCTGCCCCCCTTCCCCACAGCCCGCCTGTCAGGAGTCTGATGGCCGGGCACACGTGCATCACAGCTGTGGGGCCCATCAACACCATGCGGGCTGCAGGGCCAGTGGCCAATCCCCGGTGACAACCAAAGAAGGTAAGCGTGGCTGGCCGCCATGGACCTTGGGCCACCCCTATGGGTGCAGACTGTCCTGGCCAGCCCTTCATCTGACCAGGCCACCCCAGGGCAGGCAGTCCCACCAGCACACTTGGAAGGGTGTTCAGAAGCCAGGCTGGGACACGGGACGAAGGGCCTGTTCCGACTTTCCAAAGCCCTTCCACACTGGGGCTTGGCAGGAGCCTCAGAGATCAAACAGACCAGAGAGGCAGATAAAGGAAAACCCCGCTGGGGAGGGGTGGGGGGACCCTGCCAGGGCCACCCCAGTGAACTGGCACCCCTTATGCGGTGCCTGTTTAACAGCCTCGCGCTCAGGGAGAGGCAGAGGAAGGAGCCGGGCGGGACCAGCCTGACACGGTGCGCTGTCTTCACAGCCCTGGAGAAATGGACTCTGGGCATTCTCATCCCTCGATGCCTGCTGGGACCTGAGGATGGAGCAGGTGCGCTCCGCTGGTGCCCAGCGACCTCCTTTGGCAGAAAAGGAAAGGGAGACAGGCCCAAGGCCATCCGTTTACTTAGGAGAGAACGCGGGTCCTGCTCTCAGCACTGGACAGTCATCGCTCCCTTTATTCTCACCAAAACACTGTTTTACAGGCACAGAGCACACAGGGCACATAGCAAGTATGGGTACATCCCTGCAGAGTCACATGGGTCTGCAGGGTTTCAGAGCCCCGTTGTCACCTTCCTTGCAGAAGAGGCATCAGGTCTGGGATTCACACCCAGGTTGACGGAGGCGGCAGGGGGGAGGCTCCTGAGGTCTGAGTGTGGTGGGAGCCCCGCATGGGACCTCATGAGCCTTTCTTGAATCTCGTTTGAGTCAGCTCTGTGACCTAGGGCACGTCGCCTCACCTCTCTGGGCCTCTCTACTCCTCTATAAAGGGGGCAAAGACAAGGACTTTCCACTGGGCAGGCGGGAGGGTAGATGAGAAGATCAGGTGAAGAGCCGGCGCATGCGAGCACTCAGTGAAATTCAGCAAAGGTTTATAGAGTAGCTCACGCATCGGGACCCTGCTCTTGAGGCCGCCCTCGGCACAGACCCTGCCCAGAAGGCAGAAAACGGCGAGGGCCCCGGGGGAGCAGTGGTGGTGTGGAGGTGGCGAGGGACAGCATCTGTGGTCAAGGAACAGAGAGCACAAAGGCCAGAGGCGAGGGTGTTTGGGGCTTTAGTTGTGCAGGAAATCAGGAAGGAAGGTCAGCGAGGGCTGGGCTGGCGAGGGAGGACTGGCTGCATGGCAGCGGGAGCGGGTCTGGGGTGTGCACGTCGCTTCTCTGGCCTAAATCCCTTCAGCAGCTTCCATGCACGTGGGGCCTCACCAGGCCTCACCAGGCTTATGTGGCCTGAGGGCAAAGCAGGTGCCTCTCCAGGCTCTAAGGAGTCACCAGAGAGGGCTAGCCCCATTCTCCTGGTGCCAGCTTCCTGCCCCACCCCCTCCAAGGCCTCACGCTGACTAAGCCAAGGTTGCTCTGCGGGCCCCCAGACCCACTGGGAGGCTCAGGCCCCTGGCAGCTCTCACACGGCCTTTCTGCCCAGGGCAGCCAGGAGGAACCCTGTGCCCATAAGCCAGTGAGACCAGGAGCTGGCCGGGGCATGGGGGAGTACAGGCAAGGCACCCTACTCTGGGATGCTGGTGCCAGTGAGGGGTACAGCTGTCACTTCCCACCAAGGCTGCCGAGGGAGCCAGCACGAGCTGGCTCAGCAGGCAGAGCTCCCAGCAAGTCCAGACCACCGCCCGGAAAACCTGGGCCAGCCCCATGAGATGCTCCTTCCCTCCCCACTCTTGGTTCCCCCCATCCCCCGGCATCCACTCTCAGGTGTCCTCAGACCCAGGTGGAGCTGGGCCCACGCCCTGCACACCCACGCAGCATCTCGTTGAATCCCCACAGCCTCCCCATAAAGCCCTGTCAGGGACTGTGTGTTGGCTCCCCAAGGTCACCCGCTTGTGAGAGGCAGACTAGGCCGGCCTTGCCCATCATACCCCTGAGCTTGCACTGTCCCCTCTGGGCCCACCCAGGTCTCTGTTTCCCTGGCTTCAATTCTGGGGTCATCTTGGGACTCTTGGAACCCAAAGTGGGGGTCCCCATGAACATGCCCCCTTTTCAGGGGGCCCGGCTGCGGCAGGTCTGGGGTAGGGCCCAGGCAGCTGGACGTTTGTCTCGTAAGATTAACATACAATGTAACAGCTGCCTCCATACAGGGCTCACCAGGTGCCCCCCCGACACCAGCTCGCCTACCCCTTGGGTCAGAAGTGAAGCAACCCACAACACTGGCTTTTCCATATTCCAGCTGCTGGAGTCACTGTACCTTCACAGCAGGAGGCAGGTCCCACTATCACGCCCGTTTTATGGCTGGGGAAACAGGCTCAGAGAGGGCAAGGGACTGGCTCAGGGTCTCGGAGCCTGATGGACCGCAGGGCCTGTGCCTGGGGCATCCACAGCCCCTCAAGCTTCCTGAGCTCCACAGCCACCGAGGAGATCAGAAAGTTCAATTGCCAGACCAGCGGGCTCCGATCCCGCGCTGCTCGGGACATGGGACGGGCAGCTGCCTCCGGCTTGCGGTTAGAGGCAGGAGGCCCATCACTGCTGAGTCAGTGGGCGATGCTCCAGGTGCCCAAACTGGGCAGGCGAGTGCGAGGACCATCTCCCCAAGTGCACGGGGCTCTCTCCAGATCGCAGAGCACCCAGGGAAGGAGCAATGAGACCCAGCCCCCAGCATCCCCGCGCCACTCCCAGCCCTGTCGGCAGCCAGGGGGCGAAGCTGGTGTGCCCAGGATGCTGACCAACAGGGGCACCCTGGTTCTTTCTTTCTAAATGTCCCATCAGGCCCAGCTTTGCAAGTGCAGAAACCTGCTTAGTGAAATGAGGGCCTAACCCCACAGGAGCTCAGAGCCTTGTCACCTGACACTGTGGGTCCCATCAGCCCTCCTGGGGCCCTGCACGGTGTCACAGCCAGAACAGTGGTCTTGTACTGACACAGGTGGGGCACAACTCTGGGGGTGCCAGGCCCCTCACCCTGTGGCCCTGGCCCCGAGGTAAGCAGTAGGGAGGTGAGGGACCTGTAGTACCAGTGAGCCCCAAGCGTATGGAAAGGAACATTTGTTATGCAATGAGGCCGGCCAGCCGACTTGTGTAGCGTTCCCACAAACCCTCGGAGGCAGAGAGTGCTCCTCACCGTCTTACAGATGGGGAAACTGAGGCACAGAGAGGCTCAGAGACCTACCCAGCTCAGAGCTGAGA